AGGATAACTATACCTCTAATCCCTCTCTATATAGTAGATTTAGAGAGTCTTTAGTGCAACATTTCATAAGCCTAGAAAGATATATACTTGGATTTTTGCTTCCGCTTTTATGTATTTAGATAACTTATTATCCTATTTGCTATTTTAGAAATTGCTTAGACAACGTTCTCCCTTTAGTCAATCTCCAGCAATTAGCAACTCTTTTCTACCTCCCAGGCAAGTCAAGATGATACATTTTTGTTTGTTTTTCATAAACTTTGTTAATATTTCTGAAGTTGTGAATTATGGCTTCTTCATTTTCAATAGTTGTAGACTCTTATAATCATTTTGGGGTTGTGATTGAAACTCTATTGTTTTGTAAGTAACCTTGACGGTGGTTTTTACGTAAATAATTTTTATTTACATTTACACTCCTTTGGTGTACCCATACACCAAAGAATATATACCCTTATATTGAGATGAGTTAATCTATACCTAATAAGAACGTGAACAACCCATCCTCTCCTCTCCAAAAAAAGGGGAAAATGCAAGGTTTCCCATTTTAGGAGAAACCCAATCACTTGGAGGTCCAGATCCATAAGAATGAAATTTCAGATTTCCAGTTCCAACCTCTTCTTCTCCACTCAAAGGTCTACATCGTATAAAGCCATTTTTTTTTTTTTTTTTTTTCTATAATCTCAACTCACTTTAACATATTCATATGGATTTTGGGACTTGAATTGGTAATTAGGGAATTCATTATGAGTTTAAGTGCGAGAATATTGTTGAAGTGAAATAAAGAACAATTCTGGTTGCAATATATTAACATTATATGGTTGATATGCTTTGTTACCTTTAGTTTGATTCCATTTTTATCATTCACTCTATTGCTCAGGAATTTCAATTGACTAATGCAATTGGATTTAATTCATGCAATTACTCAGCCACTGTCTAGCAATTGGATTTAAGTTATGCAAAGGGGATTCGAAAACTTGTAAATTACAAGATTTGGGTAATTATTATAAGGTTTTGCAATTTGATTACAAAGTTATGGTTCACCTCAATTTCTAATATTGTAAATCTCCTTTTTACATGAATATGGATCCAACATTACAAGGAAATAGTAAAGAATGAACCTTTGTGATATAAAACGGGGTCCTCATTCTAGTAAAATGAGGATTTACAAGATTAAAGACTGGTATTACGATGTTTTGGACACTAGGGTACCATAACAATGTAAAAAGGATCCTAAAACTTGTAAATTACAAAATTTGGGTACTTATTTACAGGGTTTTGCAATTAGATTACAATGTTATAGTTCATCCCAATCCATAATATTATAAATCTCTTTTTACAAGGATATGGATACACATTACAAGGAAATGGTAAAAAGTTAACCTTAGTGAAGTAAAATGGGGTCCTACTTATAGTAAATGGTTATTTACTCAAATGTTCCTCAAACTTATACCCCAATTACATTTTGGTGCCTCAACTAAATTATTCGTTCAAATGATCCATCAACTCTATATTATTTGGTGCATTGGTCCTACCGTTACACTCTGTCAATATTGCCGTCAAATTAAAGGGTAAAAGTGTCCACAAGTCTGCTCTTAAACGACAAAGGCACCATTTTTATCCACTTCCTTCTTCCTATCTTCCCCAAATTGAAACCGAAGTGCAAAACTACACAATATCAACGAAGGCTGCAAATTCTCAAAGTTCAACGGATTCAACTTGGTCCAATCGGTATTGATTTCGCAGGATAAAGATTAAACGGTGCAGGCATGTGACCAAAATCGAGTAAGGATAGAGTAAAGGTTTTGTTATGTTTAAGTGAAGAATTTAATGATGTGCTAGGCTCTGATTATGGGTAACAAATGATGTGCATAACAACCAAACAAGAATATATAATCAGCTCACCTTACATATTTTAAACTTAGTTACATTTTCACTACAATGTAAAACTAGTCCTATCTACACTTTTTATATTTAAAATCTCGCTTTGTCAATATTTGAAAAAATTCAACATGAATATATAATACTTCTAGAACTTATACGAAATCACAATCATGTAACATAGAATGGTTGACCAGTTCAATGATCATTATCATTATCATTTTACAAATTGGATTCTTAGAAATGCAATCTGATCGAAATACCATTTGAGAATATGCGACTGCATTTTAAGATATACAACAACATTTCCTGTTCAAGCAATTTCATAGACATCTTCCTTGTCTATGTATACGAGATAATAGTTTTAAATTCTCAAGTTCCTCTCGATAAAGAAAAGAAAAAAAAACCACCCCAACTTGGGGATGTAAAAGGGAAGCAAACTTCGGGATGGTTTTTAATTTCTTCGTAGCTTAAGTTGATAAGTTTTAGGTTTGACTCTCCTCTTCCATTATTGCTTGTATATAGAAAATAAAAATAAAAATTGACATACAATCAAAACACTTATTTTGTAATGGATTAGTTAAAAAAAGATTTGGTTGGGTTAATTGAGTTTAAATATGGTTGGGTTAATTGGGTTTGAAAAGGCTAAAAATATTACTTTGTTTAAATATTAAATAAGACAAATTTAAAACAAAAATAAATGAATAAAAATATGCTACTTGAGGAACTAGTAAAAAAGACTTTGGTGCACCGATGCACCAAAGGACCGTAGACGTTATCATGTTATACTACTAAATTACTAGTTCAACCTGTTTTTGATTGATCTCTTGGATTATAAGGGTTCAAGAGATTTGTGGTCACTCACCGTTGGATGTAAATTCAACGGTTTACTCACTCTTATACTCCTTTTAGGAAACTTTTTTGAACCATTTGATTAATATCCAACAGTGGGTGAGTGACCACAATCTCTTGGACTCCTGTGGTCCAAGAGATTGGAACTATGAGAAATCTAATACGTATTTGAAGGAACGTGAGAATACAATGCTATGACAATTGAGTGTTGTACTCTTGGGATCCTTATGTGTCAATGTTATGTACCCAAATTTATTTTGGGCGAGTTTCCATGTATTTCACACTTAATATATTTACTTATTAGAAAATATCAAAATTAAAATAAGAATTAGATAAATAAATAAAATAACGGCATTGAAAATAAAAAATTTAATTTTGTCCCGAGTCTTAAATAAATTCGATAATAACCTGATTTGATCATGTGGTTATTTGATTTGAATTTATAGAATAAATATATGATCCAAATTGAAAACTTCAATTATAACTAAATTCAAAATTTTACTAGGTAGACGCACGTAGACTTTATTCGATCATAAATAGATTCATAATTTGATTATAATCATTTATCTTATACTTCTAAATATCCTTGTTTTTGACACAGGTAGACTCTCAAAAAATATTGTCATGACTGAAAATTGTTTAATGGAAAGAAGAAAAGACTTGCATATGATGTTTGTTGGAAGTAAAGGATTATCTTTCAAATTAGGGGTTGTACATTTGTTGTAAATTATATTTCTACTAGATTTCTTTAGGAATAAATTAAATTTCATAATAAATATTTATATATATTTTTTGTTGGATGATAAATATCTTTTTTTTTATTTACTTTTTTTATAAATAAAAAAAAAGATAAAAGACTTTGGATAGTATATTTGAAATTCTTAAAGGATAGAAAATTTTATTCCAAAAATTTATTAGTTGATCATATGCGAGTTGAGACTTGAACTCAAGACCTCATGCAATGGGTGCTCTAACTAGCTGAGCTACAAGAGCCCTTTATGTTCATCTCTCTTAGAAACAAAATAAATAAATAAAAGCCCCAAAATAAGAAAGAAACAAACAACTGAAAACTGGCCCATTTATATCATCTTTTCTATTGTAGGGCTTTTATGTATTTATTTTGTTTTTAAGAAAGAAGAGCATAAATAGCTCTTGTAGCTCAGTTGGTTAGAGCACCCGTTTAGTAAGCGGGAGGTCTTGAGTTCAACTCTCAACAAGAGCATAATATTACCAATTACAAATTTTCACAAATTTTTTCTTTCTTATTTTTGGTATAAATGTTTCCATTCTAATATACTATCTAAAAGTCTTTTATCTGCCAACGAGGGTTGGTTGAGTTGGTAATGATCTTTTTTTTTATATTCAGGCCTAGGTTTGAGCCACGCTGCTAACAATCCTTCTTCGTGTGTAATCTGTAAAAATATTAGCTAAGACCCCCTCTGTAAGTCCTCAAAAAGGGCCTTGGAATGTCCTCAAAGAGGGCCTTTCATTTTTATATATAAATATTTATCATGAAATTTAATTTATTCCAAAAGAAATGTAGAAGAAGATATAATTAGTCTATATATATAAAGCAAAAGGCAGAGAATGGTGAATCATTCGAAATATCATAAAATACCCTTGGTTAATGCAAACATAAAGAATTGAAATTATCTTTATCAAAATATATATAAAAAAAAAAAGAATTGAAATTATTAATTAAATGAGAATAATATGGTAAATGTAGGGGTGGCATTTTAAACCGAAAAACCGAAAAACCACAAAAACCAACCGATAATTTACCGCAATAAAACCGAGATCGCGGTAAACCGAACCGCATTTGCGGTATTAAGAACCGAACCGCATTTGCGGTTGCGGTTGCAGTATTCGATTTTCAAAATTTGCGATGACCGCAAACCGCAAAGTATAGCCGCACGGCTATACTTTAAGTATACTATTGCATTTTATTGTCTGTATCCTTATGTCTGTTCTATATATAAAAAAATAAAAAAATTAAAAAAATTAAAAAAAAATTAAAAAGAACTCTGGGAACTTCAGCCACTGTCTCGGTTGGCTTCTCTTCTTCTTCCACTTTGGCTTGTCTTCTTCTTCTTTGGGCTTCTCTTCTTCTTTAGCTTCCTCTTTGGGCTTCTCTTCATCTTTGGCTTCTTCTGCTGCTTTTGGTTCTTCAGCAGCAGCAACTTCAGCTTTGGGTTCTTCTTCGGCCTTACCGCAAATTTTCAGAGAAACCGCAACATTTTTCTCGAAAAATCCCTGTACCGTATGCGCAATCAATGGCTCCGAATCGTTGGTTGAGGCCTGAGGTAGGCTCAGATCCGCCCGTACCCTTTAATTTCCCTTTAATTTTGCGCCAGATCGGCCTTGATTTTGTTTGTTAGGTCAGGCTGTAAATCTGATGTATGTCGTATTTGTACGTGTAGGTTTATCCACTGTTCGCGGCCACAGGGGTTGCCGTAGCGATGAGTGGGCGGAGCAGTGAACTCGTGCTTGTTGAGGGCCTCCTGGATGAGTTGCTTGAGCTCCTCAAGAGCCTTCTTCTGCGGCTCGGGAATCTCACCAACAACATAGCTCTCTCCCCACCCCCGTTTGGTTTTTGCGGTTTTGCCGACACCGACCGCATTTCTCGGTCAACCGCATTGCGGTTAACCGCATTTTCTCGGACGGATGCGGTATCAAATATGTCAATACCGCAAAATCACGGTCGGTTTGCGGTTTCTCTGAAAATTTGCGGTATGGTAACCGCAACCACCCCTAGGTAAATGTATACTTTTTCTATTTAAAAAAATTAAAAACTAAAACAAAATAAGATAATAGATCTTCTTCTTTTTTTTGGTGTGATAATAGATCTTCCTTTTGTTGAACAAAACTACCCATTTTATATTTCTTAATTCTAAAATAAAAAAATAGAAAATAAAACTAATTGACACACGCGTGAGTATTTACAAGGAGCTAGTTTAAGGATTGAAGCGAAGAGGGATGGGATTGAAACTCTGATGTCCATATATAGGAATTGAATTCTCAAAAACCTTTTTTCTTAAAATAAACCAAATCAATTCTCACTATTGGTTACCAAATCTTTTTCTCAAACTAGAAGGGCAAAATGGCATGTCACGTTATTAAGTAAAAACATCCAGGCTTATGTCACATAACATACTCGGCACTTGAGGCTTCCAAGTAGTTTTACAAAAAAAAGATGTTAAGGGCTTTTTTGGTATGGAGGACTAAACTAGACTAGAAGAATGGCTATATTTCATGTGCCATTGAAGGCATAATATGGATATGTTGCCTACCTTGGAGGAAGAATGGGTGACTAAAACTTATCTCCTCCTTCCCTCTTCACACATCACACCACCCCCATCACACACCCGCGCGCCACCCCCCCCCCAAAAAAAAATCTTCATACTCCAAGTTAGACACCAATATACATATATTAAGCCTTGATTGCTAGGCATTTTGCCAGTCTAGTCCTCCCTAACAAACAAGGTGTAAGAGCATTGTGGAAGGGAGGGGTTTCAAAGTTGTGGGTTAAATTATAAATGATATTCTAATTCATATGCTATTTTAATTTTCTTATCTTTGGTCAATAGTGATAACTTCTATGAACTTGTTTGGCTTTGATATGCAGCTACATCTTCTTGTGTATGTGAGTCTGCCACTGATTTTGAAGCTTGTTTTCGAACATTGCTTGACCATGCAAATATTTTATGAGTTGAATATAAATGTGTATCATGTGCATGGTTTTAACATTTTATGCTTCTATATATAGTAAATACTTTAATTATTTTCAAATCCGGTCAAGGTGACCTTGCTACTTGTCAATTCCAGCACTGAGCAACTCTTGATGATTGGTTTTCATAATGAAAAAGATAATTATGAAATATGCAACATTTATCATCACGTTTAAATTAATCAAACACTTTAATAGATATAAATGTAAAATATAAATGAAATACTAGAGAAATTGATTTATGAATTATTAAACATAACTCCATCAAATTACTTAAAATATTCATAAATTTCTTAATGACAATTACCTAATAATAAGCATAAAACTAACTAGATTAGATCCTCACAAACAAATCCGTCATATGATCCAATCGTGTTGGTTCTGGAAATTAGGGATCTAATCCAATACTCCAAATAATCGAAATCGATAAAAATTGCATTGGATTAGATTTTGTACGCCCATAAACTTGTGTCTTTTTGTTTTGTGTGTGTGTGTAAACTTTGTTGAAGTTGTGAATCTTTTGTACCCTTACCTCATTTTGAATCGTCTTAAACCCTTATATAACTATTTGTGCAAATTTCCTCCAAGGCGAATATTCGCAGATGATCCTCTTCTCACTCAATCTTCTTCTTCCTTCATCCCTGCAAAATAAATTCAATCAATGGAACAATGCTGGGGGGTGTTGGCCAAAGGCCTTTAGATACCTAAGTCAGTTAAATAGTCTTAAGAAGATACAGCTTTAACTGAAAGGATGGAGCTTTCTCTTAGTGAAGAGAGATGGGGGAGGGGGGGCAGCCGAAGCTGTGAGAGAGAGAGTGGCTTGAGGGAGAGGGAGTTTCTTTAGGGTTTTCGGATTACCTCATGTGTGGTGTGTAGCCATCTTTATATAGAGTCTCCTCATTGGCTAGGGTTTATAGAGATAATTATCATATGGAAGGGAATTATCTTTTCCTTAAATGAGATGACATGATAATATCAAGGAGATTTGTTGGGAAACAAATCCTTGATTTAGGGAGATATTCCTATCTTAAATAAAAGATAATTGGTTAATTAAATCGTGTTTAATTAACACAATATTTGACCTAAGGAATCTTCCTCTATCCACGTGTCACCTTGGGATTGGTTGCCAAAATTCATGTTCTTACAAACGCTCATAGCTTCTGCATGGCGGGAGTAGGGCATGTCGAGGATGTGAAATTCTTGTTGGGCTTTCCAACTCCCAATTGCTTATGGGCTCTTTTTGAGAGTTGGGCTCCTAACTTGAGAAGGCTTTTTAATTCCTTTTTGGAGTCAAGCAACTATACTGTGTTGAGGTCAGCTTAGACCGGGTAGCTATTGAGCTAGCTGACTGGTGCAATGTTTTGCTATTGTATGTCTCGAACTGCTAGTCTACCTTACTCACGTATCCAAGGTTTCGTTATATGTGAGTGACCAATTGACTTTTGTCTTCTGCTTCAATTGACAAGATCAGTAAAAGGTTTGATCTTGAGCCGAATATAGCCAAAGTTCGCCAAGCCATGAAAGCATGAAGGTGGTTTGCCCCCAGCCAGAGATGTTGAAATATGGAAACATCATGGTCCCAACTTGGATGATCAGCTCGATGAAATGGATAAATCCTTGACCGACATGTCTAGAAAAAGGAGGCATGTTCCAAGGATGAATCATGTTTGTGACTGGCTGACTTCTGTCTGTTACTTGGATTGTAAGAAAGGGGTTCCTTCATTCTACCCCATTAGTGATGAAAAGGTTAAGTGGCTTTTTCCGAAGGAGTCTTTTGCTTAAGGTGAGCAAGATACAATCATAAACACATATGCGGCCGAGGGGCAGGTAGCCAATGAGGCTAAAGTCGAGGAGCATGCAGCTGATGAGACTGGAGCTAAGGATGATGGCATCAAGGGGAAGTTTCCTACTAACATCTCAAAGTATATGAAGACTTTTTCTTCTTTGCAGCTTGAAGTATTAGTTTCAGTTGACCACTTCATTTGTTCTACTGAACTTGGCTTCTCGGCTGCTCACAAATATATTTGAACTTTTGGATCTGTTGATTGCTTGTTCTTTCTTTAGTTTTAGGTCTGCTGATTGCTTTGTGTTGCATTTGGCGTTTTGAATGTGGATTTGCTGACCACTTGAGTGGCCTACCAACGCTTTTAATATGAGTTTGTTGATCGTTTGGTTAGGAAATTGGGTGAGTTGTCTCTTGAGTGGACATGTTGACCTCTTGGTTGGGCAATTGCGTGAGTTGTCTCTTGATGGGATGAATATTCAAGGTTTTAAAACCTCCAATGCCTAAGTTAGTAGATGGTCTTAAGGAGATGCAAATCATACTGAAATTATGAAGGTTTTGTTCATATACTGAATAACCTTTCGAATTCATCTTCTTTTTTGGCTGAGTTAATGTGTTAATTAGCCACAGAGTGATTTACCATGTTCTCAGCATTTGATCATCTCCCTTAGGATGCTTGAAAGTTTACTCACCTCTTACAAAAAGGGTGTCGTCCTCTACTAAGGAATAAGTTTTACCCACCTCTTACGTATAGGATGTTGTCCTCTATTGAGGGATAATTTTTACCAACTTCTTATGTAAAGGGTACCTTCCTCTGCCGAGGGTTAACTTTTACCAACCCTTACATAAAGGGTGCCTTCCTCTGCCTAGTGTTATTTTACCCACCCTTATGGAAAGGGTCTCTTCCTTTGCTAAGGGTTATTTTACCCACCCTTACGAAAAGGGTGCCTTCTTCTACCAAGGGTTAAGTTTACCCACCATTTCGTAAAGGGTGCCATCCTTTGCTGAGGGGTGAATATTTCTTGAACACTTCTTTGAATGAAAAATTGAACTTTCTTCAAATTGAAGTGGAGTGGAGTCATCCTCTGGGAACTAAGCTATTTATTTTTTTATTTGTGTGGTAGCAGGACATCAATTGTTGCTAATAAGTTGCAACTGAAACAATAGTCTTTTCTCGTTCTTCTTTGAGCAGGTCAAGGTTAGTCTTCATCTGCTTAGAATTCTGATAAATGCTGCCTACCTCGATGCTCAAGGATAGAAAAGTGATATGAGGATAAATGATTGCTTCGGTTCCGAAGGCTAAAGAGAATGGGGTTTCGCTAGTTAATCTCCTTTTGGTGGTGCGATAAGCCCATAATACTCCGAGTAGCTCGTTTGCCCATTTTCCCTTAGTGCCTTCCAATCTCTTTTTCAGACAGTCTAGCACGATCTTGTTGGAGACCTCCACTTGACCATTGCCTTGTGGATATTTTGGAGTTGATAAGTGTTGTTTTATACCATACGTCACAAAGAATTCGGCGAGCTGCTTGCCAATGAATTGTGATCCGTTGTTGGTGATCAACAACTATGGGTAGCTAAAGCAGTGGATGATGTTCTTCATGATGCATCATTCTGTGTCGGCTTCTTTAGTACATGAGAGAGTATCAGCCTCAATCCATTTTGTAAAGTAGTTGGCCACCATGATCATCATCCTTCTTGGCAAGAGCCGTGGCATGGGACCCACTAAGTCAATGGGCCATTGCATGAATGGTCATGGGTTGTTCTGCGAATGATACACTTTAGCTGATAGACTAGGAATTGGCTTGTATCGTTGGCATGAATCACATCTTTTGACATACTCCGTAGAGTCATGATGCATAGTAAACTAAAAGTAGCCTATGCTGAGAGCTTTTTGGGTGAGTGATCTTCTCCCATAATGGTTTCCATACTCGCTGTCATGAATTTTGCATGTGAGATGAGGACTAAAATATGATATGCAAACAAACTTGTTGTCCTGCATGTAGTACCTTGCGGCTTTCTGCTGGATTTTTCGGGCCTCGAACCTCTTATTTGGTAAATTTTTGTTTAATAAGTAGTCGATGATGGGGTCTTGCCAACTGGGATCCTCATCGATCTGCATTAAGTCTGCTTGCTATGCCTCTTCAATGCTTGGTTGATCAAGGTGCCTAAACCGGTGTCCAGCTCCTAAACTGGTGTCCAATGCTAATCTTAGGCTTTCTAGCGCATCTGCATGAGTGCTTTCTGCTTGGGGAATTTGTTGGATGGTGAAGGTTGAAAATGCCTTCAAAATATCTTGAACTTGTCGAGGTATTGGATCATTCTTGGGTGTTTTGTTGTGTACTTCCCTAAGGCTTGATTAGTGATAAGCTGGGAGTTTGAATAGATGGCCAACCTTTTGATTGATAATTATTTTGCTAAGCGTAGTCCAGTGACCAATGCCTCGTCCTCCGCTTCATTGTTTGAAGCTGGGAAGCCAAGTGTGATTGCTTACTTCAGTCTCGACCGGGGTGATTATGATGATGCATGCTCTAGCTCCCTTATGATTTGACGCTTCGTCTATCCACAACTGCCACATATCTTTTAGTTTGTCAAGTTCAGCGGAGGAGTTCTTGTTTGCTCTTGAACTTTCCTTGTTTCTGTTGACTAACTTCTCTTCTTCAACTAAGGATGGAGTGAATTCTGAAACAAAATATGCTAAAGCTTGGGCTTTTATAGCAGTTTTCAGCTGGTAGAGGAGATCATATTTACTCAAGTCGATAGCCCATTTTATGAGTTGTTGAGAAGCATCGAGGCTATGAAGAATCAATCTTAAAGGAAATTTTGTCATGAAGATCATCCGGTGAGCTTGATAGTAAGGTCTTAATTTTCTCGCAGAAACTTAAAAGGCCAAAATGAGCCTCTCCATTTTCGGATAGCGAATCTCTACATCGATGAGAGCTTTTTACGTGTAGAATACCGGATGTTATGCCCCCCAGCTCTTCTCGAATGAGAGCAGATTTGATTGCTAAGTTGGACACCACCAGGTAGATGAACAGGTCTTCGCCTAACTGAGGCTTTGAAAGCTGGGGAGGTGAAGTGAGGTATGCCATCAAGTCTGGAAAGGCTGCTTCTCACTCTTCATCCCACTTATCTCTTTGTCCTTTCTTCAAGGCTTTGAAGAATAGTCTGCACTTGTTGGTAGATCGGGAAATAAATCGGTTCAAAGTGGATGCTCTACTCGTCAGACTTAGTATTTCTTTCGTTATGGCAAGTGACTTCATGTTGATGATGACCTTGATCTGGGTTAGGGTGAGCGTTGATGCCCCTTTAAGTAAGTAAGTATCCTAAAAATCGGCTAGATGAGACTCCAAATGTGCACTAGGTCTGATTCAACTTCATTTGCCATTTTCGAAGCAAGCCGAAAGCTTCGGCAAGGTTTTTGACGTGATATGCTCGCTAGGGAGCATGTCATCTATGTAGACCTTCATAGTCTTTCTAATCTACTCCTTGATGATCTTGTTCACGAGCCTCCCGTACGTTGCTCCGGCATTCTTCAGACTAAAGGGCGTGACCTTTTAGCATTATGTACCTCTTTCGATTATGAAAGAAGGCTTTGCTTTGTTGTCTTCATGCATCATGATCTGATTATAGTTGGAGTACGTGTCCATGAAGCTGAGCAACTAGTTCCCAGAGTTTGAATCCACGAGCTGATCAATTCTTGGCAAAGAAAAGTTGTCCTTCGGGCATGCCTTGTTGAGATCTATGTAGTCTGCACATACTCTTCATTTGCGTTGATCTTTCTTCGTCACCAAAAAAACGTTGGCGAGCCAATCGAAGTAGAAGACTTGTCTGATGAAGTCGGTTGCTAAGAGTTTGTCAATCTCGACTTCAAGGATGGTAAGTCACTACGGAGCGAAGTTGCATCTCTTTTGGGCCACTGGCTTGCTGGCTAGGTTGACATGAAGCTGATGGCAGATGACATGCGGGTCGATGCCAGGCATGTGAGATGACGACCATGCGAATACATCCTTGTTGTTTTGGAGGAAGTTGGTCAGCTCCACTTTTCCTCTATGCTTAGGCGCGAGCAGGGGCGGAACCAGCATATGGGCTACAGGGGGCTCTAGCCTAGCGACCTTTTGAAATAAAAATAAAGATTAGAGGTTGTTGTTCTTAGGGAAAATAATAAATAACATTAAATATATGCTTAAATTTATTCTTAGGGAATTTTTTTAATATAGAAATTTATCTTAGATAATATTAGCTTGCAAGCATTTTTAGAGACCTTATAAATATTAGGCTTATTTACTGTGGCACCCCCTGAAACTTTGGTCAAATATCACTTTACCCCCCAAAAGTTAAAATGGCCCACTTAACTCTCTTGACCATGGTTTTGTGTTCCACTTTGCCCCCTGCTGTCATCTCCATTCATAACTCCGTCAATTTTGATGACGTGGCAGGGCTATTTTCGTATTTTTACCACAAATGCTGATGTGTTATGTACATGGCCCACTTTTTTTTTGAAGTGAAATAACATATTAATAAAAATAAATAATGTATTTGCTATTTAATTAAAAGAATCTCTTGTTCTTCGTCTCTCTCTCTCGACCTCTCCCCTTCTTCCTCTAACTTCACCATCATACCACAACCACCACCCAACACAAAGCTATCCTCACCACGACCACTCCAACCCCACCGGAAAATCACCCACCTGCACCACAGTATAGTGCATCCATCTTCAACCCTGTAAAGATACATCATTTAAAATCACTAACAGAAAAACCCTATGAGTAATGCTTCTGGGATTTCAACCTACATAATTTATCAATCGTCCATGTGAATGCTACAGACACAGAAAAAATGATTCTGCTTTTTCTCGACAGACAGAGAAAATGGGAAGTTGCATGCAAGACTGTTCCTACACAAATTGCAACATCCAAGCTCCTGGTCCTCTGTAATTGTATATACATGATATTATATATACACATATGTATCATTGTATATTTGATAAATGAATAAAGAAAGGGTTGATTATATCATTACAAAACGCAACAACCTGCTCAGCCTCCATTTTTGGTCTAACAACCCAAAAACAGTAAATAAAAGAAAAATCACCATATTATAACAATAATAAACACCAAAAATCACACAACATAGCCTAATTTAGAAAACCCATTAACTCAATCATATAGGGCAACACATATGATGCTACAAACAACATTCTCTTATACTACACACCGAAATAAATGTGGACAAAATTACTCTGCTTATTTTCTGAAGCATTGCCCTGTTTTTGTTTTCTGTTGGCATTGATTTTGAGTTTTGAAGAAAATGTTCAGTGATGAGGAAAAGTAAATGGGCGGACAAAATCTGATGCTATGTAGATTGTCTGCAACTTCCACTTGTGGAATGGCTCTGAGGATCTTTGAATTTTGTATAATTCTACTTGTAGGCCCAGATCTAGGGCTTTCTGCAAAGGTCTCAAGCAGGCGAAGAATGGTCAGGGTTTGAGCGGTGGCCAAGGTGTGTAGACGAGGAGCCCTTGGGACATGAAGCAATGGTCGTGCTCCATGTCAACAACAACAAAATCGTAGCCGGAGATGCCATCAATCTTGGCGAGGGTTGGGGAGAAGGAGATGAGGTAGCTGTGGCAGTGGAGGTGTGGTTGGAGAAGGTGGTTGATTTGATGGGTGAGGAGGTGGCAGTGAGGTTTAGGGTTTTGACTGGTGGCTGCTTTGGGTGGCGTTGGGTTGGGTGGTGGTTGTGGTCTGATGGTGAAGTTAGGGGAAGGAGAGGGCGTAGAGAGACTAGAGAGATGAAGAAGAAGATATTTTTTTTAAATTAAATTTTCCATTATATTTTTTTAATTAAACAATAATTACATTATTTTTATTTTTATTAATATGTTATTTCACTTCAGCAAAAAAAGTGGGCCATGTACATGACACATCATCACTTGTGGCAAAAATACGAAAATAGCCTTGCCACGTCATCAAAATTGACGGAGTTATGAATGGAGATAACAGTATGGGGCAAAGTGGAACACAAAACCATGGTCAAGGGGGTTAAGTGGGTCATTTTAACTTTTGGGTGGCAAAGTGAGATTTGACCAAAGTTTTAAGGGGCGCTACAATAAATAAGCCTAAATATTACAAGCTGAAGATATAAACACAAACTCAACCGCAACGAGTTGGATAAGGCGCTGTGGTTGATTGAGAAAGGGAGGGGTTCGAATCCCTCTATGCGCAAGAGGCTTTTCAACATTTTTCATGTATTTTTCGGTTTCATATCGTGAGATTATCGATATTATCGATAATATCGCGATATATTGCCCAAATAATGCATGAAAAATGTTGAAATTATCGTCCACGACATTATCGTGATAATATCGACAAAAATATCGATATATTGACGATAATTAAGTGGATATGTGCGAAAATATCTCCCACTCAAAAAAACGATATTATCGGCGAAATATTCAATGATGCAATAGATTTTCAATTGGCAGAGTTGAACAGTATCTTCAGTGAAGAGGCAATGGATACTTTGCATGGTTTATACTTTTATTTTATTTAATGCAAAGTTTTATTTTAGTTAAAAAATTTAGTTAGCCCACCAGTTGAAAAATTCCTGATTCCGCCCTTGGGTGCAAGCTAATCTGCTCTTTTCTTTTTGGATTGTCAAGATCAAGAACTTCGAGTCTGGCGTCTTTCTAGGCCTCCATCCTTTTCAGGAGAAGCCTCAAGGCGAACTTGCTCTTCTTGATATTGGTTCAGCAATTGTGATTGAGAAGTGGCTGATTCTTTTCCCTTATGGTCTGCTCGACTTACGAGAATGAACTCCACCATCTCCTCAGCCTGTTCTTTTCCCTTATGATCTGCTCGTTTCTCTAGAGTTTTTCAGATTACTTCATGTATGGTGTGTACCTAAACCAAGGAGATTTGCAGGGAATCAGATCCTTAGTTTAGGGAGATATTTCTATCACAATCAAAGATAATTGGTTAATGAAATCAAGTTTAATTAACACAATTATTTGACCTAAAGAATCTTCCTCTATTCACGTGTCACCTTGTGATTAGTTGCCAAAATTCATGTTCCCAGAATAACCATGTTGTTAGTCTTGTTTTGAAATTATGTTGTTTTGTAAACTTAACCAAAGGTTAAGACCGAATCGATTGTAACCTTGAGGGTGCTTTTTATGCTTTACTAATAAATTACTAATCTAACTCGTATCTAATTAAGAAATAATAAATAAATAAAACTTATTTTAAGGAATGTGGGAATACAATGCCATGACAATTTTAAGGAACGTGTTGCTTTTGTGGAATCCTTAGATTGTTGCAATTATGTATCCGGATTTTAGGGGGGTGATATAATGTAAATATTATTTTTATACCATTTATAAATGTTGTATGTGTGTAAGAGGAATTTGAGCTTTCCATGTATTGAAACACATTTACTTATTATAAAAGATCAAATTTTAAATAAGAATTACATAAATAAATAAAATCACACTGTTAAAAATGAAATTTGATCTTGTCTAAAGTATTTTTTTTGGCCATCTTGTCTAAAGTCTTAAAATAATCCAATAATAATCCCATCCCATGCTTGTCTAATGTAAATTAAAGTTATAGTTAACCTTAAAAAATTTGACCAAAAAAAAACTTTGAAAAAAAGCTCCCATATTACAGTCTGAATAAGATCCAAATTTAAAATCCAGATTCGGAATTTTATTAGGCTTAATCCCATCTGTTTATAGGTGTCACACACCTATGTCAAGATTGACCAATTGGTCAAAGGGAGAGACGAGAGAGGAGAGAGAATAGTTATGGAAATTAGAATTAAATTTTTACTTTATTTTTATAGAAGATGGAAATAATGTTAGGTCTAAATGGAGGAAAAAAATCATGTTTTCACGTGTACCATTCATGTCTCATTCCTGAGAGAAATTGTAGAATGATACGGTAGTACTACGTCAGCGTATAGTACTCCCATTCAAATACAGCCATATGTCTATTTTAGAAAAGAAATTAATTATCATTTCACAGCTGAGCTGGACTTTTTAGTTTAATTCTTAACTTTTGAAATAAAATTAGAAAAATAAAAATAAAAAAAAGAATTTCCTAACAGCCAACTATCTCCTAACCCAACCCTTATCCCAACTACCTGCTATGACGGCCACTCATCTCCTTCCACTATCTTCACCCCTGATACTAAATGTAGACAGGGGGTTTTAGAAGAAGGAGGATTAAACTGGTATTGCTGATGATGAAATGGAGTAGTCTTGATAATTAAAAATTGGTTTGTTCTTGAAGGTCTAGATCTGGGTCTGAAAATATTCCAAGGTGGCAGTGGGTTGAAGCTGGTGGTGGAATTAACATTGTGTAGAGTGTCATGAGCGAATTCAGGAAAAAAAAAAACGGGAATTAAGGAAGATGATGATATTATTGGGTTTGGATGTTGATGGTCTTCATGAGAAGCGGCGATGGCAGTGGTGAATAGGAAGAGAGAAGGGTGGCTGACATGGTTTTTCTTCGTTTAAGTTTTCTTTTTTCTAATTTTATTTCAAAACTTAAGAATTAATAAAGTAAAAAGTCTAGCTGTAAAATAATAATTAATTTCTTTTAAAAAATGGACACATGGTCATATTTGAGTGGGAGTACTATACGCTGACGTGGTAGTACTGTATTATTCTATAATTTCTCATGATCATCCAAATTGTAACCATTTTGGTCTGGGCCCTAATTTCTATCTGTGGGTCCCTTTAAGATTGTACGAGGGCTAAGGACTTACTCTAATTAAATTCTTACTTCATTATAATATCTAGGGGTGGTTGCGGTTTGGTAATCGTAAATTTTTCCCTGAATCGCAAACCAACCGACCATTTGAGGTAAGGTGATTTTTGAAACCACAAACCGACCACTTTTTGCGGTTTACCGCAATAGTTGGTTACCATGAATTAACAGTTTAAACCAATTTGAATATTTTGGGCCTAAATTAGACAATTTTAGATTTTTAAGTGTGGTCTTTTTGTGTCATAAAAATTCAATCTTCCATACTTTTAAGCCTAGGTTTGATGCTTCTTTTGAAACTTTTTGAGTTCAAGCATACTTTAACCAAAAAATATAAATTCACAACCTCAACTTCTCAAGTTTATATAAATTTACAACTTAAAGAAATAAATTCACAACCTCAACTTCTCAAGCATTCACAACCTAAAGAAAAATCTAATTCAAAGTTAATTAAAGTTACAAACCAAAAGAAGAATTCAAGTGTAGGTGGTGATGAATGGAGTGGAAGTTGTGTTTTGGGTGTATCGGTTTGTGTTTGGGGAATTAGAGGCATTAGATGTGTTAGAGTGGCTAGACTCCATCTATAACACAACACAACACAAAAGCAACAACATAAAAGCATATTAATAATAGATTAAACTCAACCAAATTAAAACACAACATCTAACTACTAAAATGCAATTTTTAAAAATATATATTTGCAGTTTGCTGTAATCGCGAGTTACCAAAATCACATACCGCAACCGCAATTGCAATTCAATTTCTAAAATCTCAATTTTCGGTTGATTTCTAGCTATTATGGTTTCAATGCAGTATAATATTGGTTGGTTTTTGCGATTTTTCAGTCTAAAATGTCACCCTTAATAATATCCTTTGTGAACTACAATTTAATTATGCTTAGCAAATAGTAATACAAGTACTTTTCTTATGGCAAGTAAACAAAACCATGGTTGCAACTTGTAAATTACCATCCATGGATATACTTAACCTCACCATTCTCAAAGACTTTCTAATTTTAATTTTTTTAATTTGTAAAATTAATTATTATTTACGGAATTTAGGAATCCGAGGCGAATTCTTTTCGTAACCTTTTCTTTTCACATTGCCATCCAATCCAACTCATCGTAATCTCTTTCAATCATATTTCCCATGCACATGTAATCTACATGTGGCAGCCTATGGGTGCAATTTAATCACAAATTTGAATGTCCTATTATGTATAAGCCAAAGTTAGTTGGAAGATAGGGAGGAGCAAATCACAAAAGTACCATGACTTAGTGGAGTTGTTGCTGCACACACATTTGTCATTATGATCATACATTTATTTCCTTCACTTCCCCACCTACCTATATGAACCAACCCAATCTCTTTTCGCTTCAATTCAAACTCGAAAACACACATACACTATACACACACGAACTGCCCTCTCTCTCTCTCTCTCTCTCCTCATTGATTGCTCATAAACCTCCTCCAAGTTCAGAGCAGGGATAGCAGATAGGCAGCATTGATAGGTAGTTGTTTGGTGTCTGTTCAAACCATATTACATGGACATATGTCAAAGATATTTTCCTTCTTAATGTGATCTCCTTTTCTTTTTGTTTTGGGTTTGTGAGGCCTTAAGCTAAAAGGTAGCTGCAACAGAAAAAATAGAAATAGAAAATGGAGATAGAGGGAGCAAGCGGTGGGCATATTGGTGGTGGAGGAGGAAGTGGAAGAGGTGCATATTTGGTGTGGGAAGATCTAAGTGCGGTTCTACCAAACTTCAGTAAAGGATCACCCACAAGAAGGCTGCTCAATGGGCTCAGTGGGTATGCTGAGCCTGGTAGGATCATGGCTATTATGGGTCCTTCTGGCTCTGGCAAATCAACCCTCCTTGATACTTTAGCAGGTACTCTCTCTCTCTCATCATGAAACAAAAATTTGTATTTCATTTCTTTGTTTTTATCATCCCTGTTTTTGTTATATATATCAGTAGAATGTATCCTTTCTGTTTTAGATAAATCCAAGCTTTTCACTTTTGGTGCTTATTAAAGGTGTACTTTTTGAATCCAAATACTCCTTTAGCTAATTTAAAGACTACCCATGATTAAGAAAAGAGAACCCATGACATGATTTGGCAGAGCCCAAAAGTGAAGTAATTTGGGCAAAACTAGTTGTTTTTGTTTGTTTACTGAGCTCCATTTGTTCTAGTTCAAATGAATCTTGTTCTTCTGGTAAAAAAAAAAAAAGATTATTAAATTATTAAAAAAAAAAAAAAAAAAAAAAAAAAAAAAAAAAAAAAAACTAATTTGGCCAGCTTTTGGTAACAGAAGTTTACCCTGAATTTGAAACTTCTATTTAGTCACTTAATTCTGCTATTTTTCTATTTGGAAAAGGACAATTCAGCTGCTCAATTTTTGGGTGTTGAGAAATTGACCAATCAAGAAGAAAAAAAATTCTTTATAACTCTCTTCCCCTTCGTCTCCAGTCACCATTATCGGCAGGAAAATATCCAATCCAAGGCTGAAATCTTGTCCCACATTTATCTTACTGCCTTTAAGAGCCACTCATCAATTAGATAGCAGTAGCCAATGAGGTATTGGACTTCAATGGAACAAGGCACAGTTTGAATGAATGGGAAAGAAAGCCATTACCAGCCACCAAACTTTTCCACAACTCTTTTATTTCTTTTGATGTGGAGGCAGAGTGACAGAATGAAAAGTAAATGGTGAATGACTGGTTTTAAAACCTCCAATAATATCAGAATTCATGGGCAAGGACCATTATAAGCATGGGCTGCTCAGGTCCTACTCAATTTTTAATGCAGAGGACCCGGCAGGTTTTGTTTATGTTTTTTTTTGGGTTAAAAATATAGTCCAAGACTTAGGGGATAAGGAGTTTTATCATGGGTATAGGCAGATAGTCAATTTAATAATTATTGCATTAACTTTGTAGCTGCTGAAAAACATTTATCTTATTCTTCTAAATATCCTTGTTTTGGAAACAGGCAGACTCTCAAGAAATGTTGTCATGACTGGAAATATTCTGTTTAATGGAAAGAAGAAAAGACTTGCATATGGTGCTGTTGTAAGTAAAGGATTTTCTTTCAAATCAGGGGTTTGCTCATTTGTTGTGAATTATATTTCTTCTAGATTTCTTTGTGATAAATTAAATATTTGTATAAAAAATAAGATAGAAAGAACTTAGAATTTAGTAAGTCGTCAAATGCTCTCGTTGAGAGTTGAACTCAAACCTCCCACTTACTAAACGGGTGCTCTAACCAACTGAGCTACGAGAGCCTTTATGTTCCTCTTTCTTAAAAAGAAAATTACAGAAATGCCCTCTGTATTTATCTTTTATTTAAGAAAGAAGAGCATAAATGGCTCTCGTAGCTCAGTTGGTTAGAGCACCCGTTTAGTAAGCGGGAGGTCTTGAGTTCAACTCTCAACGAGAGCATTTGACCACTTACTATATTCCAAAAGTTTATTCTATTATAATTTTTTAATAAATTATTTAAGAAATTCAATAAAGTCTTCTATTTTATTTTGATATAAATATTTATCCTTAAATTTAATTGAAGCGAGAAGGATGGGATCGAAACTCCACATTGTAATCGAAATTCTGAAGAGAATATTGTTGCCATTGCCACTTCTTTAAGCATACATGCTCCTAATTCACTATAATTGTGTGCGATTCCAGGCCTATGTCACACAAGAGGATGTATTATTGGGAACACTCACAGTCAGAGAAACTATAACATACTCGGCTCACTTGAGGCTTCCAAGTAGTTTTACAAAAGAAGAGGTTAAGAACATTGTGGAAGGAACAATTATGGAAATGGGCCTCCTGGAATGCGCCGATCGATCAATCGGAAACTGGCACTTAAGAGGTATTAGTGGTGGTGAAAGAAAAGAGTAAGCATTGCACTTGAAATTCTAACAAGGCCTTGCATATTATTTCTTGATGAACCTACTAGTGGCCTTGATAGTGCCTCGGCTTTCTTCGTTACTCAAACTCTTCGAAGCATTGCTCGTGATGGAAGAACGGTTGTTTCATCAGTTCACCAGCCAAGTAGTGAAGTGTTTGCACTCTTTGACGACCTCTTTTTACTATCTGGCGGTGAAACAGTTTATTTTGGAGAAGCAAAGACTGCTATAGAGGTAAGCCTGGGAATCTGGTAGCTTGATTATAAGGATAGTTTTTCATTTTTGGTTTTGGAGGAAACTGAAAACTTAATCCCAATTTGCTTTAGAATTGTTATAATTCGAGTTTCTAGTTTATTCTTATAGTGTCACTTTAGGATATCTTAACCTTGTTTATGAGTATTCCTAGGTCAACAATTGAATTCTTAAAGCACAATTTTGTTTTACTCTGCGACTAATGTTAGTTTTTGTTTTCACTTCTGTAGTTTTTTGCTGAAGCGGGTGTTCCATGTCCTAGTAGAAGGAATCCCTCTGATCACTTCCTTCGATGCATAAATTCAGATTTTGATATCGTGACTGCCACCCTGAAAGGATCTCAAAGAATTCGTGTGCGTATAATTCTAACTCAATTCTTTATGTGCAAAATGTTCAACACCCTTTATTCCTTTTCATGTTTCAAATGAAATACAATGCAGTACCTGCTTCTTTGAATCTCATTTGTGTCATACTTTAGAACTAATTCCTCAACTTGTGCAAACCGCCTCCCCCAAAAACACACACTTCCTTTTTCTTTCTTTATTTCATCCATTCTTTTCTCGTACTAATTCTAATTCTTTGTCTGAATTATATAGGATGTCCCAACATCATCAGACCCTCTCATGAATTTGGCAACAGCAGAGATCAAAGCCAGGCTTGTTGAGAAATACAAGCGTTCAAAGTACGCAGATAAAACGAGAGCTAGGATGCAAGCAATATTAGCAATTGTAACTTTTCCAACTTGAGCTCTGTAGTCTCATTATTTTCTGTGAAGTTAGAACAGCAAATTCTTATGCATTGACTTGGTTCTCCTATATTTGTGTTAGCTGTTGCCTATAAGAAATTAAAGCATGATGCTACTTTGAGAATTTTCTAGATATACATGTTAACTTCTTTTCATTATGTTTGAACTTTCCTTTGAAACCTATTTGAAATTGTTTTGTTGCCATTATGTCATCTTAACAATTAATTCTTAAAGGGAAAGTCCCCTCCCTCTTTCATCTTAACAATTGACTGCATCCATAGGTTGGCAAGGATCATGTTCCTCGTCAACTAAGGTTTATGTATCAGCACAAATAATCTACCAGACATGATAACTAAGCTACATCTGCTAATCCCTAGTCTTTGGCATGGTTGGCAAAAGGGGTGCCGGCTTAAAGTAGGACTGAGGCTTTTAAATATTTGCAATGAAAAAGGAACAAAGTAAAAGATGTGAACTATGCAGTTTTTGCAATATGTATGAAGCAGTCTTTGTTTGCAGGAAGGACATGTAATTGAAATGAAAAGTGGAAGTCAAGCAAGTTGGTGGAAGCAACTTTCAACCTTGCTGCGAAGATCATCTCTGAACATGTCTAGAGATGTGGGGTATTACTGGTTAAGGATAATCATCTATATACTTGTATCAATATGCGTTGGAACTATCTATTTTGACGTTGGCAACGGCTATACTGCAATCTTTGCCCGGGCAGCATGTGGAGCATTTATAACAGGCTTTATGACATTTATGTCTATTGGAGGTTTCCCATCTTTCATAGAAGAAATGAAGGTAAACAAATGCACACAAAGAAACAAGTATACATATGTATATATTTTGTTGTGTGTGTACAAAGGGTTACACAGTAGAAATTTCTGTTAGTTATTGGCTTCTCATACTTTGTTTTCTTCTTGTAAACAGGTGTTTTATCGAGAAAGACTCAATGGGTATTATGGAGTTTCAGTGTTCATCGTATCCAACTTCCTCTCTTCATTCCCATTCTTGGCTGTAGTTACTCTTACCAGTGGGACTATTACTTACTATTTGGTGAAATTTCGGACAGAATTTTCACATTATGTGTTCTTCTGTCTCAATATATTTGCCTGCATTTCTGTGATAGAGAGCCTCATGATGGTTGTAGCTTCTCTGGTTCCCAATTTCCTGATGGGCATAATTACAGGAGCTGGAATCATGGTAAGGAGATAAACTCAAATGTTTGATAAGCTTTCATTTTCTGTTTCCATCATCAAGTCTATCCTTGCTGATATATCCTTTCAACTAAATGTTTGTGTATGCAGGGAATCCTGATGATGACCTCTGGATTCTTCCGCTTGCTGCCGGATCTTCCCAAGCCATTCTGGCGCTACCCAGTTTCATATCTCAGTTATGGCTCATGGGGAATACAGGTAACACTTTGTTAATCATCTATATTTTTCAAGCCGCTTGTGGAAATGATTTTGTCAAATGGATTTTCCCCTCAAAATCATAAAAGTCCACTTAATTGCAAAGTATTCCTTTTCCCTCAGAACTTATGCAGTTAAAAACCTTTTCAAGATCCAACTAATGGACAAAAAGTATTTCATTTGTCTTATAATTAATCATTGCAGATGCAAAAAGAAAAAAGAAACACAGTAAAGCTTCATTGCTTTGACAGATGAATGCGTTCCCAACAAGTTAGAAACCAAATTATTTTAAGACATTTTAGAATCTCAACATTTTCTTATAGATGCAATTAAAGCAGCCTAACTACATTGAGTAAAACTGCTGAACATAAAGGAAGATAGTCTATATACTGACTGAAGATATAAAAGACAACACCCCCCCGCAAAAAAAAGATATTTATAAATAAAAATACTCTATATCATAGATGTAGGCAGCTTAACTTCCATAATGCCACCATGCAGGCCAGGCTAGGTTTAACATATGATGTATTAAGCACCATATGATGCTATAAATCAGATGGTATTAATTTTTGTATCGTAATTTGACATGCAGGGCGCCTATAAGAATGATTTTATTGGCCTTGAGTTTGATCCAATGATACCTGGTGATCAAAAACTGACGGGTGACTTTATCATCCAACATATGTTTGGGATACCAATAGACCACTCCAAGTGGTGGGACTTGGCTGCTATTGTAGCGATTCTTGTGTCGTACCGGGTTCTCTTTTTCGTAATTCTCAAGTTCAAGGAGAACGCATTGCCGTTGTTTCAGACACTCTACGCAAAGAGAACACTACAACAGCTTGACAAGAGGCCTTCCTTCAGGAAAGTACCCTCTATTAGTTCCAAGAGGCACCAACCTCTCCACTCACTGTCTTCTCAAGAGGGCCTTAACTCTCCACTGCAGTAGAAGAAGCATTATAACTGTCATGAGGGTTTATGAGCAACCACTTTTACAGTGTAATCTCTCCATACGGTTTGGTAATTAGTCACTTTTGCTCAGAAAAGATCAGATAGAAAAGTAGAGAGTTTCTGTTGGAATTTAAAATGCAGAAACTGTTTTAATTTATCTTTTAGTTTTTCTGATGGATATCATAAAAGGAATAACACGATACAGGGGATATTAGCTGGTTTATAGTATTTCTTTTGCCAAATCTATTTGTCACTTCTCATTGCATTTATGGGATTCGTTGCTCACACTCTGGTTTGGGTGAAATTGCACTTTGTTACTTGACATTCAAAATGTTGTATTCATAACATGCATTTTTGCAAACATTGCAACGCCTTCCTTCCTTCAGTTTGTCAATCATTTCATAGTTTTCCCTATATTGCATTGCGATGCATTTTATAGGTCCCTTTTCTTTTTTCTTCTTTTTTTAATACCAGTGATAGGAGGGGTATTTGAACTTAGGTGTGAGGGGGTAGGTTTGCTGTCATGGACAACTAGTCTATAGGTCTCATTCTTAAATAGACTTAAGGGGGTGTATTCAATTAAGATTTTAAATGAGTTAAACGGAGTTATAGAGTTTATAGAGTTCAATGTATTTCAATTGATTTATATAAACTCCACATAGAGTTTGATTGAATTCCTAGATTGATTTTAATGGTGTTCGTTAGAGTTTTATCATAAATTTTAAAAGAGTTGATTAGAGTTCTAAATGTTTACTTTCTTTATTTTCTTATTTTTTTGGGGGCTGTTTATCGTTTTTCTAGATTTTCGAAAGAAGGAAAAGTTGTTTGATGTACAATAATAATAACAACCAAAAAAAAGAAAAAAGGAAAAGTTGAAAAAGCGTAGAAAACTTGTTTGATGTACAACAACAAATATTTACAGCAACAAATATGTTGATGTTCATCTATATATGATGACAACAACAATAATTATTCAAGCAGCAACTGTTCATATTATGATATACATCGATATATTGCTCCTGTTCATTGATATATGGTGATGTACAACAAGAACAAATATTCAAACATACGATGAAAGATCATACATATATGAAAAGAGAAGAGATTTTTTACCTCCGCTTGACAAACACACATGTTCAAGGATTGGAAAGCGTAGAGCACGTTCAAAGTTTCTAGGGTTGACATAAGATTTGTCAGTCCCTTTTTTATTTATACTTGCCACTTTAATTTCTAACGAAATCGGGCAACTTATTAATTCCTTCAAAACAAATTACTTTTTGAATACACCTAAATTTTTTTGACTTTTAAAAAGTCATAATTGAATATACCTAGATTTCGATGTATTTTTTAATATCAAACGAAATTCACCCAAACTTTTACAAACTCTTTTAAAATCTGAATTGAATACACCCAAACTTTTACAAACTCTTTTAAAATCTGAATTGAATACACCCAAACTTTTAAACTCTTTTAAACTCTTTTAAAATCTTAATTGAATACACCCCCCTTAATATCAGCAATGTCTTCTGAGCTTTACCTAAAACTCAAATTGGTACCTATCATTTAACTTTGTTAAAACCGGTTAGGATCAACCCGTATGACCAAAAAATCCAAGTCAAATCCGAGTCCACTCTCTAAGACACGATAAATGAGTGGGTTTCAAACCTTTTTATTAACATGCTAAACCCATTTAATAAATAATTCGTGTCAACTCGTTTACCACGTCACATTCAACAGGTTTAATTTTGTTAGCTTTAAGTCTCAGATTTAAAATTCCATGACACCTTGGCATTATGTGTGAGAATCACACAAGTAATATTAGACGATGGAATTTTCTCATACATATACACTGTCAAGATGTCATAAGGGTTTAAACTTGAGACCACTATTATGCAACTACAAGTCATTAAATAAATGGATTACCTAAATCGTATTGTATTATCCGTTTGATAAATGAGTGGTATTCGGGTTGGAAACTTCTGACCCATTTAATGCAATAACCATGATTCATCACAAACGCAGAGAAGGAAAGAGATAAATAAAAAATAAATAAAATCATACTTGTGGAAACATATATTTTACTAGCCAATACAAAGATGACACGTGAAAAAGGAATATTCCTTAGGTCAAACTAATTACCCTAATTAAATTCTATTTAATTAGGGAAATTATCTTTGATTATCTCCCTAAATCAAGGAACCAACCTCCACTAATTCCTAAAACCCTAGCACACAAGGAGACTATAATTACATAGTTACACAAGACATTTGAGGTAATGTTTCCTCACCTGAAAAAACCCTCTCTCTCTCTCTTGCCATTGCCTCCTCCCCCACTCTCAGGCCCCGTTTGGTTCATGGAATGGATTTGAGGGGAAATCATTTCCCATGTCATTTCCCAATGAATGGGAATGAAAGATTCCTTTCCCACGTTTGGTAATATTGGGAAAGTAATCGGGATATTTCACTTTGTTTCCTTTCCCATGTTTGTTTTGAGTAAGAATGGAAAACAAAGTTTGTATAATTTTCCAATTATACCCATATTAAATCAAATAAAAAAAAAGAATGCATTTAATGATAAGTTATAATTATAAATTGTTCATAGGGACAAAATAGTCATGAAAATTGTGTATTGAACGTTGGTTCATTTTCCCAAACTTTCCCATGAGAAGGGAAAACAAAACCCAAGTTAAGAGGAGGGCTTCACTTTCCCCCTACTTTCCCATGTGACAGACAACCATTTCCCATGCCTGACTTACTAAACATGGAAAAGCAATTGAATTCCCATTCCCAAGCTTTCTTTCCCATGAACCAAACGGGGCCTCATGGCTCTAGCCACCACACATGACTAAGGCCACCCGGCTCTCCCCGTAAGAGAAAACTTCATTCATTTTCACTATTGTCGTATCTTTAAGATCCAATTGAACTAACTTAGGCATCGGAGAGCCTTTGGCCAACACTCTTGGGTGTGGTCTATTTACTCTTATTTATTTTGTAGAGATCAAGGAAGAGAGAGAATGAAGATCAAAGGTTGAGGAATCAATCCACAAATATTCCCCGTGTGGAATTTTGCTCGAACAATATTCATGGCCTAAGAACCAGAGAGAGAGAGAGAGAGATAAGGAAGAAGATAAGTGGTGGCTCATGATGGGTTTGGTTGGTGGGCTTTTTTAGTTGAAAATATCGGCCCAAAACTTGCTGTCCTTTTTTTTCCAGACCTCCAACTTATCATGCCAAACCCAAACCAAAACCATTGTTGTATCAAACTCGCTTGTTTCAATATTGCATAAAAAAAAACATATTTAAGGATAGTTTCAGCTAAGGTCTAAAATATTGATGGTATCGGAAATATCGGTAGTCTAAAAATACGGAAATTTCGATGGAAATATCAGGATATTATCGATATCAATAAAAATTGAATAAAAACCACGGAAATTGTAAGAAAAATTTGGAAATTTTTATTAAAATGTTAGAGGATGTTTATTCAGTCAATTATCTATTAGTTTATCACAAACAATTGGAAGGAAATGCATTGCATGATGGGTTTAACTTATTTAAGTTGATTATATAGCGAGCTGACAAATATTGTGAGTGTAGAAAATATGTAGTAATTAATGAAAGAAGATTAAACACACCATAATAATTTATATATAATGATTTACTACAGTATTTAACACTTTATACATAACATGGTAAGATACATGAGTAACTTAGTACCATATAGAGTTCCTATGAGGTTCAAATTTTTCACTATCTTTATCATCTCTATGTGTAGAGTAAGTGTATTGTGAAGAGTAGTCATCAAATGATAAATTCCCAAAATAGTTTGGCATTTAATTAACATGCCACCCATATGGATCTGAGATTGGTTGATGTTGTCCATAAGCAAAATCATTTGAAGATTGGATTTCGGATTCTTTCCATGAGCTGCTCGATTCCATCCCAAAAGGAAAGGTCAAACACTCACATTCTCATGTAAAATCTAATTCTTGCAAAAATAGTTCAAAACAAAACAATATAAATATACATATTTTAGCATATTATCACAAAAACATAAACAATATGGTGGTTAAGGCGAATGGCAAGGGTTTGAATCCCCTTTGCGTGTGTGCTTTGTGTTTTTTCCCCCTTTTTTTCATTCCATCGATATTTACTATATTTTCGATATTATAGCAATATTTTGACAAAATATTGCTGAAGTGTGAGTGAAATTATTGACATCAATATTTTCCTATATTATCATCGATATTATCGATATTTATACGATATGTGTATGGATACATTCGAAATATCCGTGATCCGAAAAAACGATAATATCCTTGATATTTAGTCGATATTATTGATAGTTTAGACTATGGCTCCAGCCTTAAAAAAAACATATAAAATGTACGGGTTATAACCTATAAGTCATAACTCTATTTCCTTTTCGTATTCTTCAACAAATTGTCGTTTCTTATTTCTCCTCTCTCACCACCACCTCCCCTTCTCGACTCCGTCTCTGCCTCTCTCTCTCTCTCTCTCTCTCTCTCTCTCTCTCTCTCTCTCTCTTCTAGTTCCACTAATTAATGGTTGTGGTGGTTTGATTGGGTGATGATGGTGGTTGAGCTGGGTATGTGGTGGTTCTTCTTCTTGTCTTTGTTTTTCTTTTCTTTTCTTCTTCCTCTTTATTTTTTTTTCTTAGTTTGCAGATTTGTGTTATTTTGGGTCGGAGAAGATGGGTGTTATTCCTGTTGGTGGGTTTATCGGTTGTCAGAAAGCAGAGAAGAATGTTGGTTTTTGGTCTGATAGGGATAGAAGATTGAGCGAGAGATTGAGCAGAAGCAGTGTGTTTTGAGCGTTTGTTTTCTGGGAGAACGAAAACATCTTTTTTCTGTTTTGTAGAAGTAAAAGTGAAGTTGGTCTCATTTTATGAAAACATTTTCAATGTTTTTTGTTTTGCCAACCGAACACGGTTTTGCTTTGTTTTTGTCTTTTGAAAATGAAAATGGGCCTTTAAAATGTAAACGAACGGGGCCTAAAATCTTCAATTGCCAGAAATTGAAATTATGGAAGTCTAAATTTCATCATTTTAGAATTTTATGTAATTTTCAATTTTTTCATCCAAACAAAGGGTAGAAATTGACAATTCCTTGTTTGGCAACTTAAGTGCAGAATTTATTAAAGGGTAAACTGCCAAATACCCCCCTGAACTATCACACTAGTTGAAATCTACACCTTGAATTAATTTTTCAACCAATTTAGGACTCGTACTAAATTTTATTGCCAATTTACCCCCCACCGTTAGTTTCTAGCAATTTCTATCCCAATCTCTGTTAAAAAAGTCACATGTCAAGCACATGATTCACTGTTAAATTAAAAACTGATTTTTTAACCTCTCTCTTATTCTCTCTCTCTGCTAGTGTCGAACCCAGATGGGGATTCTAAATTACAAACCCAAATCACTAAGATTTTGTGACCATGGTCTAAATTACAACCCCAAATCCCATTCCTCCAACAAGGGTACTCTCTGGTGTATTTCTATATCTCATTCCTCCAACACCATTGGACAAGTTTCTCTTTTTTCTATTCATCCCTTCCTTCCAATATAGCAGAGACATAGGAGTCATCACCACCAACTTCCTCTGACCTTCAATTAATAATTATATTGTTGCATAATTTTCTCTTTCGCCTCCTTGCCCTCCTCAAAATCTGTTGTATCTCTTCCTCTTTGGTTATGTGTTTTCTCTTAGGTTAGAAGAATTTTTTTAAAATTTATTTTTAAAACCAAGTATAAGTTCACCCCGGTCTCTTAACCCAGCCCCTCTCAGTCCCTCCTCTTCTCTCTTCTTTGAAAGTCCTGGTTCAGCTAAAGCATTTGAATGGATGTTAAAAGGCTTAGGTGGTTAAGCCCATGAGAATTCTTGGGTTGAAAAAAGTTAGGACAAGGGAGATCAGCTTTTTCTATGCTTAAACTGGCTTTGTTTCTTTAATCTGGGTAAACTGTCAAAGAAACAGGGAGAGGGGAGAGAGAAGAAGAGACAAGGAGATAGTGAGAGGGTTCGCTGGGTAATCTGGGTTGAAGGGTTGGCATGTGCCATTCAGGTGATGTTTTTAATAGAGATTTGGATGGAAATTGCCAAAAACTAACGGCGGGGGTAAATTGGCGATAAAATTTAATACGAGTGCTAAATTGGCAAAAAAATTAATTTAGGGTGTAGATTTCAACTAGCATGATAATTCAAGGGGGTATTCGGTAGTGTAGGGGCTTTTTCTTCCGGCAGCTACAAATGGGTTGGGCTGCCGTAAGGAGGAAACTGAAGAAATCGTCCCCTATGTCTGAGATCGAAAATTAAGCCCCAAAAATGCTTCGAAAGTGCAGTAGAGCCTTAGGAAACATCTTGGTTACCTTCATCGACTAAAACAACAGCAACTTACAAATAATTTATGCATGCTTACAGATAAACTCTTATGCTTAGCATGAGTGGCATGTGGCATGGGAGCAAAATCAACATGAGTTTAGCACTAAGAGAAAATTTAGGCTTGCCCTGAGGGAAAAGGAAATGTTAGGGTATGAAAGGAGAAGTTTTGTGAGAGATTTGGCTAGGAAAGGGAAAATGAAGAGCAGAGTTCTTCTAGCAGCTGCCAGAAGAACAAAATGGAGAAGAAGATGAATAGTGCACGAGGTTGCTGGGTTTTTGCAAGTTAGAGAGAATGCTTGCTCTCTGAATCTGAGTTGTTGTTGTTAGGTCGGAGAAGCCTCAATTTATAGCCGCTGGAAACCACCATTTTTCAAGAAACCCTAATGGCTTCTACCCATTTTGGCTAAGCTTTTCCCTCCTTTCTTATTTCCTCCTTTGGTTTTTCCATTTTGATGAAATCTCTCCTGTCATATCAGAGTTTTTTGAAGCTCAAGGCCCCCCTTTTCCCGCAGCTACCTCAATGGCAGATCCCCATTCCAGTCATTTCTTTTATTGCTTTCCTCTCTGTTTTTCATGGCCAAGTTTGATGGGGAAAGGAGTTGGGATATATATGTTGGGTCGAAGGATGCTTCTGGCAGCTCGTAGGCTAATATTCCTTGGTCATTTGAGTGTTTCTTGTTTGGAACTTGTTCCCTCCATGTGCTGGAACTTCCCAGCAGCTCTTGTTCAATGAACCTGCCAACCTTTCTACGTGGTTTCTATTTTTCCAGCAAACGGCTGAGACTTTGTGGCTTATTTTGGAGTTTTATATGGGCCAAGATGGTTCCTTAAGCAAATGGGCTTTTTTGTTAAACATTGGGCATTTTGATTGTATTAATAGGCTACTTTTCTTGGGTTATTGTGCTATTTTTTCTCTTTTATGCTTACCCATATGTTTGGGCCTAAGAAATGGGCTTGAGTCTCGAGGCTCCCAAGCAACCCGAGACTTTCCATTTCTCGGCCCATCAATGGACCTCATGTTGATTTATTACCGTCCATACCACAACCTACTCAAGCAAGCCCTGGGTATTTGAGTGGCTTGGGCCCACTTAGGCTTGTAGCATGGTTGGGTGTATAATAATGATTTCCTGCTTGGCATGGCATGTCGTTTGGCATGGCATATCGCTTGGCATGCTTTTAATTATTATGCTTAACTGGATAATTAGCATGGATTTGCAAAGATAATGCATTTTATAATCTTAATCTCGATTCCTAGCATGACGGATTATTTATTTGGCATGGCGTGTGTAGTGTGACTCGTATATGACGAGCCTTCGTGTACTCAGATATGTGACTTTTCTTAATACAGTAGCGTATTGGACCAAAGACTTATTTGGGCCCAACCATGGATTTTTTTGGGCCTCAACAGGTAGTTTACCCTTTATTAAATGCTGCGCGAAAAAAACATGGAAATTTGAGCATCAAATTCTCGAGTTTAATTTCCACCAAAATAGGCGTCATTTCACAATTTTTACAGTGTCATTAACAAAAATAAATTAATTGTCCTTGAAATTGTACCCTTGAACTTTTACTTTCAATCTTTAATTTCCATCAATTTTCAATTTTTTTTTTTTTTTTTTTTTTTTTTTTTTTTTTAGAAAATTAAGTACACGGACTAATTTTTATTGCCAATTCCCCCATATCATCTAAATCTCAACATTTCATCCAATTTTATGTTGTAGGCAAATTAGTCATTTTATATACTAAAATAATATAAAATCTAAAATAAATAATTTTAATAAAAAGAGGGACCCACCCACTTCACCTCTTTCCCTTCTGTTGTAATTAAAAATATAGAGGGGAGAGGGAGCTCGAATAGGAGAGAGAAAGAAAAGGGAGGGGGGAAGGGAGGGTGGCTTTCGGTGGTGGTCATGGGGGAATGGGGAAGAAGAAAATGGGTGGTTGCAGGGTGGGTTTGTGGGTTCTGGGTTCATTGGGGGTGGGTCTATGATGGGGGATGGGGCTGGGCTTGTGACTTCTAGGTTCGTTTACGAATAGTGGTCATAGGGGAATCGGGGGGAGGATGGGGATGGGGTGAATGGTATGGAGTGAAAAAAACATAAGGGGGAATGTGGGGGGATTGGTCAGGGATGAAGGGTTATAGGGGAGTGGGAGGAGAAGAATAATGCAGGGAACTGTCAAATTTTGTAAAGGGTTAATTGTCGATTTACCTCTTAAACTTGTATGCCACTTTCAATTTGCACTCTCAACTTTTTTTTTGGAAAATTAAGAACATGAACTAAATTTTATTGCCAATTTTGCCATAGTATAGTTATCCGTCAAATTATTTTAAAAAAATATTTTTGAAAAAATTAAAGAAAAAAATACAAAAAGAGAAACAAAATTTTAGGGACCCAACCAAAATTTATGTGCTATTTGATGCCCTTTTGTTCTTGTTTCTTAATCTCAGTTTTGTTGGCAGAAATTTATGCTCCATTTGAACCTTTATCTATTGATGCCTTAAGTTGGGCTGACAATGGGCTGGCTATATTTTCTAAATTCCATCATTTTAGAATTCTATGTAATTTCCAATTCCTTCATCCAAATGGAATGTTATGGAACAAAAACTATCCATTATATTGTTTTTATTTTAAAATAAAATTTTTAAAAAAAAATTTTAAAAAACCAATTGGCAGGGTTAGTATAAATTACTTTAAGAGATATTTAGTCATATACCAATTCTTAGCACTAAAACTACAAATAAACCCTACATCATTTAATTTCTATAAAAAAAAACCAAAAAAAAGAAAACCCTAAAAAGTGATAGCTAGCCCTATTGAATATAATTTTGATTATTAAATTACTTTGATGCCCTATTGAGTGTTTTGAGCTTTTTTATGAGGTTTTGGGGTTGGGTTTGTTTTAAGAAATCAATGGCAGTTTTGTAATTTAAAAAAAGTTAAAAGCCTTTTTGTTATGTTGTAAATGAGTTTTGAGTGTGTTTCTAAAGTCCATTTTAGGGTTAATGACCTAAATGGTCCCCCAACTATTGCTCAAGTATCATTTTGGTTCATCAACTAAAATTTTCATTTCAAACGTCCTTAAACTTTTTATTTTGTATCAAGATTGTTCATCCATCAAAGTCTGTGTATTATTCCGTGAAATTGAGGAACAAAACCGTAATTTTAAGTGAGTATCCTCTTGTAAAACGACCAAGCCAACGTAGGAATGCATTTCCTCCCAAAAATCCTTTATGCTCCACTGCCTAGACGACGACGTTCTGGTCGACTTGCCTTTCAACCAATTTAAAATAAAAAACTCTAAGCAACCAACGCTTGCTCCTAACCCCACTGCCTGTACACTCCTCACATACCTATTCCTCCAAATTCACAGCTTAGCGGCCGCGCATTCCGGGGCAGGTAAGGTGAAAGTCGCACTAGCAGCCATCGTAGCCAACCACTTGGTCGTGAACCTCACGCTTTCCGTAGAAGGAGCAATCGAAGTTGCGAGCAGAGTCAGGAACACCGAAACAGAGAGACCGGTTTTGCTTGGATCCAACGACTAGGGGAAATTGCTTGGTTAAGGGCATACGATGTCATAGGAATTAGAGGGGGCAGTGGCGGAGCCCATGGCAGCCATGGAAATGGGCTTGAAGGTCCTCGTTTGTTAGTGATGCAACTTTGAGTTCCCACCAGCTGCTCGACGAAAGTCCAGAGGGAGAGAAGGGTTTTTGTTGGGATCTAATTGACCAAAATCTTTGGAATTCAGCCTCTTTGTGAGGCCATCAAGTCATTGAGGATATGTGCTGGGTAAGGAAATGGGAGGGGTTGCATTTTGGGGATGGTCGAGGAAGACTAGATTGGGGTGGGGTGGGTTGTTTTTTCTTTTTCTTTTTAGCTTTTTGTTATTTTATTTTTTGTATTTACCTGATTTTTTAAATTAATTTAAATAATTGAGATTTTTTATATTAATTTTTAAGTCAATCTCAACATTAAAAATAAATAAATAAAAAGAAAAAAAGAAGAAGAAGAAAAAGAAGAAGCCATGTGGCTGGTGAGTGACAGTTGTGGTGAGATTCAAAATTTTCAATTTTCTAAGTTTTTTCTAAGTTTTATAATAAGTTTCTAATTTTTAATTATTTAGGCAATATTTTAATTTATATGGACAATTTTACCCATCGATTTCACAGAATAATACACAGACTTTGATGGATGAACCATTTTGGTACAAAATAAAAAGTTTAAGGACGTTTGAAATGAAAATTTTAGTTGGTGGATCAAAATGATACTGGAACAATAGTTGGGAGACCATTTAGGTCATTAATCCGTCCATTTTATATAGGTTTTTTTTTATATTTATAATTTGAGCTCCTATATTGAGTATAATAATGAATCTCCCTTAATTTAACGGCTTTTGTGGTGTAACCGCACAACACTAATACAAACTATTGGCACCACGAGGACAGGCAACCAACGACCCCAAACATTCTAAAGACATGACGACGTCGTTTGAATCGTCTTGTCCCCTTTATTATAATTCTCTAAAACCCTAGCAAATAAACAAAACAGACAAAACCAGACTCTTAAGCTCTCCCCTCTCTCTCACTCCTCACTCTCTGACTCTCAAATCCTCCAATGGAGCAGAGATTAGCAAACACATGGCGCATGTCAGTGAACGAGAAGAAGTTCATCGAGACCTCTTTACTCTCCGACCTCCGAATCGATGGCCGTCGCCCCTTCGACTACCGTAACCTCACCATCAAGTTCGGCAAAGACGAGGGCTCGGCGGAGGTCCAGCTTGGCCAAACCCATGTAATGGCTTTCGTCACGGCCCAGCTTATCCAGCCTTACCGGGATAGGCCAAATGACGGCTCTCTCTCCATCTTCACCGAGTTCTCTCCAATGGCCGACCCCTCCTTTGAGCCTGGCCGCCCCGGCGAGTCTGCTGTTGAGCTCGGCCGCGTAATTGACCGAGGTCTTCGGTTAGTTCCTTTTCCCGTTTCTACTACCAATTTGTTTTTACTTTTAATTTTAGTTGAACCTTGTGTGCTTTCCAAATTTGGATTTTTTTTTCCGTAATTTATGCATATTTGTATAGGAAAAGTGAGAAATTCAGTACCAAATAAAGCATACTCTATGAATCCATTTTTACTTTTGTTTTAAAGTTCAATTTTTGTTATATTTAGTCATGCTCTGGATATGACGTGCATTGTTAAATTTTCACATTGTTTATAAATTTTTGGGACTAATGAGCTGAACAATATTGTCATTTGAGTAATGAGAAACAAGAAGGAAGAGATATGTGACAGGACAGTGTTGTTGTTGTGCATTGAAATGAATTAATATGCAGGGAAAGCAGGGCGGTTGATACAGAATCGCTTTGTGTTCTTTCAGGGAAGTTAGCATGGGCTATCCGTGTTGACCTCCATATTTTAGATAATGGAGGGTAAGCTTTACTTCCTTTCTATTCTGACATTGTATTTTTTTCTTTACGTTTTCCCTGCTATATATTGAAATTTACCTTTTTAGAAATAAAATGTGGACAGAAACCTTATTGATGCTGCTAATATTGCGGCATTGGCTGCTTTGTTGACTTTTCGGAGGCCTGAGTGCTCCGTTGGGGGAGAAGATGGTCAGGAAGTGATTGTACATCCACCTGAGGTTAGCTTCTGTTGCTCTCGCTCTCTCTCTGTACACAGATTCTCACTGATCAAGTCCTATTAAATTCTTATATGAAGCATTTGCATGTAGAACTCAAATTTTCCTGAAGTCCTACTTGAAAATGGATGATATTTTCCACCAACGAACTGAAACTAGATCCAAACGAAATAAAAATGGACAAATATTCCTAACCAAAAAAACACAATAATCTGAAATTATAAAGTTACCAGAAGACCTGTATGTTGTGGTCAAAAACATTAATTTGTGCTTTTGACACTAGGTGATGAGCTTTGCAAATCAAGACACAAGGAAGTATACGTGTGTTAGTGTTAAATATTATGCATATCACACTGGAATAACCCTTTTAATTTTTATATGTATGGCATTTTGACAGGAGAGGGAGCCACTTCATCTAATCATACACCATCTACCTATAGCAGTAACCTTTGCATTCTTCAGTTTCGAGAGCAGAGTGGTAAGAAAAACTTTCTTTTCTTTCTAAATATGATGTTTGCATAAAACTTGGCTGAAACCATTACGGTGCGTTTGGATGAGGGAAATAAACTTGGGATTTTGACAAAACTCAGAATTTCTAAATTGACATGAACCAATTCCTGTGTTTGAATAAAAAAAACATAGAAATTTAGAAATTCTGCGTGGGAAAAAACATGAAATTTGGAGATCATAAATCCCAACTTCAAATTATATCTAAAAGTCGTCATTTCTAAAATTCCAAGAGAGATTGAGTTTTTAAAAAAGATAACTTTACAAATAAAGGTTAAATTCCGTGTTTTAAATCCATCATCCAAACAAGAAACTTTACAAATTCTAGAACATTAATTTCCGTCATTTTAAATTCCGTCATTTATGGAATCCTTTGTACTTTTAAATTTCCTCATCCAAACGCACTGTTAAGTTCTTTGTCTGACTTGATTCGATGCCACATAGGTGATTGATCCAACCCATCATGAAGAGGCTATTATGGGGGGACGAATGACTGCAACACTTAATGCAAATGGAGATGTTTGTGCCATTCAAAAAGCTGGAGGGGAGGGTGTCTTGCAGAGTGTTATAATGCAATGTTTGCGAATTGCCTCTGTCAAGGCTGGTGCTATGACAGAAAAGATAAAGAAGGCGGTGAGGTTTTCACTCTATGAAACAGTCTTTTAATACTTGATTTGCCTCTCTTTCACTTGAAGAAAAATGATAACCCTTTACGAAAAATTCTAGAATCATAACATGAACTGGCTAATCTAGAAGGCAAATGGCAGATTTTTTTTTTTTTTTTTTTTTTTTTTTTTTTTTTTTTTTTTTTTTGCTCAAGTACACATCAGTGACATTTTCATCAATATTGCTTGGAAGGTCTCTTGGAAAAGTACTCATGATCAGAAGAGACTAAATAAGTGTTTACTTCAAATAAATATTTGGATATAACAATCAAGATGTTGATTCATTTGGAAAAGCTTTATGTGGTCAAATGTATTCTCATGTTTTGGCTATTCTTAGTCTTTCTACTGCAATTCAAATGTAGGTTGATTCATACAACACAGAAAGAGCATTACGCAAGATCAAGCGCCACACTTCTTCTGACCCCATGGATGTTGATAGAGGTGCTTCTAATACAGGGGTGACACAAAACTCTTCTGTTGATCATATGGAGAGATTAAAGCCGGTTTCTGAGGAAGGCATTGCCAATCAAAGTGAGGATGTTGAAGGTGAAACTCAATTATCAGGCAAAAGGCAAACTAACAAGGTTAATGATACGAAGATTTTTATTGGGGGGCCCTCAAGTTGGTAAGTTTCTGATTTAATGAAAATTTAGGGCCTCGCTCCTGATTATCCTTCCTTTCTGATTATCAAGGTGAGTTCAGAATATCCTGGCTCACCATCTGTTTCTTATCCACAAATCCTCAGGATGGGAATATATTGAGCAGTGGATGGGTTAAAATTAGGCTTTCCTATTTTCTCCTAAAAACTGAACCAAAAATAGGCCATCAAACAAGTGATTGGGGAAAATGAACATAATTTTATATTCTTGAAACGGGTTCTGTAGGCACATGCACACTTATTTCTATGCTATGAAGAATAAATTTATTCTTTGTATAACTAGTTTCAGTAAAAAAAACATTCTTGATAAGCCCAGGCCCAGCAAAAGTAAATAATAGAATAAATTAGGAAGGTTAGACCTGTATCGATTTATTTAATTCTAGTTTTCTTATTATTATTCATCTTTCATTTTTCCTCAGGGATCCATACTCAAAGGGTGTTGATTCGGATTTCTTAAAAGCTTCTCTAGCTTCCCATGGTACTATTTTTTGTGATCACTTATAAGAGCAAAGGAAAATGACCATTTACCATTTGCTGCTCCTTGTGATGACTTTAGCTCATTCCAGAGTTTTTAAGACTAATGATCCTGTTTATTTAGTTATTCATCCTTGTGGAAAGTGGAATTGACTCATAAAATGGGGAAATGCATATTGGTTATGACTTACAAATGAAAAGAAATTACGTAGGTTCTTGATTTTTACCCTTCTTATGCGACCTAATGGTTAAGAATCATGCTTCCATTTTGAAATTAATAGTGTTGGCCCTGCTGATAGCATTGAAGTTAGTGGATCTGTAGAGGTGATGTGATGGCCATAGTAGCAGTGGGACAAAGCATCGCAACTTTCATGTTTGTTTAGAAATTCCAACATTGTGCTATTGTTTCAATCTTAGATGATTGTATCTAACTTCTCAGTAAAAGAAAAAGAACTCAAGAGGCAAATTAACATTGTATTCTGTAGAATTTATTTAACAATGAGCACCTTTCTTTTGACCTGATGTAATGAGCATGCTTAGTAGTCTATATTTGGCATGTAAGATGTTTGTTCATACAAGTTTCATTCATGAAATGTTCAACTTAGAATGTAGATATAATTATGCATGATTGTGCATACTTATATGAGATGGAGAGAACTTTTGTTTACATGCATGCACTCCCAGACATGCACATGCACATTTATATGAGATGGAGAGAACTTTAATCTACGGGCATTGACTGCAGATGCATGATATGTGCAGGAATGTCAATGGCTACTAAGAAACAAAACGACTCAAAAGGTGAGGAAGCAACCAGTGGAGCCAAGCCAGAAGAACCTCCTGAAGATATTAATCCAAAACCTTCACCCATTAGCCCAGCTGAAACTGCAGAACAAACAAATGGAGAGAAAACCTTGAAGGATGCTGTGAAGCCCAAAAACAAAAGACCCAGGAGAAAGAATCGCTCCTCTACAGGTCCAAGCTAGATGGTCTTGTCCTCATGGCATGTATGGTGTTATTCTGTTTCTTGGACTTATTTTCATATGTGCTTCTCTGTGCAAGTGTGGATAAATCAATTTTGTAAAAGAAAAAAAAATCATTATCTTTAAAAAGCAAGGATATCTCGTCTTCTTACTCACCAATCTTAGAAAAAGATAATTGATCTGTTTTTATCGTTCTGAAAAGTGAATACGTGCTTTCAAATGCTTGGAGTGACAGAAAATTTCGTTTGGTGATATTTTTCTGTGCACGTTGCTTTCTCACCATGTTACTTGGCAGATACTTGTGTGCTGCAGTTCTCTTTGGAACTCATGAAAGGCAAAAGGAGTTGAGCAAGTCTGCGATCAACTGCAAATTGATTTGAGGGGGATCGGTATGGCTGGTAAATTGAGATATGATAATAGATCGTCTGCAACAAAGTCTGGCTTGACCAAGTTGCTTGCAACTGTTGACCAGAAAAATGAAGCATTATCTTGTTCTTGTTGTTGGTTAAAGCTGCTAAGTTGCTTCTCATGCAGTTGTGGTGACTCACATCTAACTGTTTAGTTGACATTTAGGATTTTATGTGTTGCTCTGTCGTGTACTTTGCGTTGTCATGTATGATTGTTTTGTTTACCCCTTCAGTTTTGGTGTGCAAATTGTACATGAACGAGGTTACTAAAATTACAAAAAAATTTATGTTGCACAAGAAATGATAATTACCTACTTTCTACTATTTCATCTTCAGCCTCCTGAATGTCAATACTTAAGGTAAAGGTGACATCTAATTTCATTTTGGCAAAAATAAAGAAATAAAGAAATCAACATTAGGTAGGAATTGATCAAAAATTCTTTTTCCATTCCCCTACAGCATCGTCACTGCAGTGGAGTGGAGTTTAACCAACAAATTCAGGATGGATTCGCGTCCTCAATGCCCAGGACAGTTTAACCACCAATTCAGGATGGATTGGTGTGACCTCTATGCCAAGGAGAAATTATATAATACTACGGTAGTATGACTACGTAGTACAACTACGTAGTATATTTTGTACATGTGTTGTAATATGAATGAACAACATGGTTTATTTTTTCCCTTTTAGGGAATAGTATGAATATATATCCACTAATATTACCGTACTTCTGTAGTATTCTATAATCTCTCGTGTCAAGGACACCAAAATGTCTAACCATGAATGCAGAAATGCATGAGAGACAAGCATATTAGCTGGTGATTTTGAGGCCAACCTCTACTTTTCCATCCATTCGACAGAGAGTAGAGGGCAGAACTTTTCGTTTTTCATGTTGTTAAAAGAGTTGAACAATCAAGATAGATGACGAGTGCTTGATCAAATTGATCAGGTCATTTCTTCAAGTCTACCGGTCTATCAGGATGCCTCAGTTGCATACATCACCACATCTCCACTTGGCACCTATTGTAATTATAAAAGGTTCGTCTTGTACCTACATATCTTTAGTAGCCCTCCCAAAATTAAAATCAATTAAAACCTACATGCCTTTTGCCTACTTGACTTCATATCTCTCCTCTTCTCTTAGCTTCTCCTCTTGGGTTTCTCCTAAATACATGTATGTATCTTTAACTTTAGTTTTAATTTGAAATTGAGTATTCTAGGGTTTAAGTTAGGCATGAATTATAATTTGGGGATTTTGTGAAATTAGGGCTTTGATTTTAGGAATTTTGTATAAAAATGCATTTGAGGTGTAAGGCTCATTATGTCCCCCTGATGAGCTGTATTTTATATACATATATATATATATATTTATTTATTAATAAAATTCACTCATACCACCAAGAAGTATGCAAGTTTTTCCAAGCCAGCTTTCAAATCTTAAATCCTCAACTAGTCATGACCTTCTCCTGAATGCTCAAAACCTTTGTTGCTCCACCCTTGCAGGGGCCAAAAAACCATCATTCATGTCAAAGTTAAACCACTTACATTACAATGAGAAATGTTAGCGAGGCCACATAATAGTACCACACTGTGTATTACTTCTGTAATAAAGGTATGTCCAACCAATATAAGTAGGTCACACAACCATTAGATATGTAGTACACAATACGGTATAGTAATGAGGTCTCTCTAGCATCTATCTTTGAAGGTTCAACTAACATCTAGGGAGGTCGGCTACCTCCAAGGATGGACCTATGTGTAGGCTGAAGTGGGCTTCAACCTAGGGCAAAATTTCCAAGTTGGTGTAAATTTTGTAAGGTTATTTCTACTACAATAAATATTAGCCCACCACTACAGCATATAAATATTAGGCTATTAGCCTAACCATGCATGTCTTTTCTTGTTTTAATATTAGTACATTCATTCTAGGTCTCTCTTTAACCTAATAAAATAATAAAAGACAACATGAGATATTTAGTACAAAAGAAATTGTGGGAATTTCAATCAGGAAGCAATTAAAGTCGGCTTGGTTTCTCCGTTATCTTTTCTCTCTGCTACCAAAACTCTCTATTTTCATCTCATTGAACTTGATAAGGAGGCAAGAGGGAATCATAGGCTCTCCTTTCACTTCACTATTGCACATTTCATCTATTTTTCTTAGAGAACGTGGAATCAATTTGTAAAAATCATGACATTGATGTGCCAGATATGAATGCTTGTTATAAAGTTGGATCCGTCTTTCTCTAAAGCGGACGTCCGCATGCTTTGAAAATCCGGTCGTCCCTTTCACAGCTTGCTTTTTCAAGTGGATTGGATTCCTGAAATTCCAAGTAATCCACAATTTGCCTATATAAATAATTTATATAAAAGCAATCATGGGTTTGGGAATGTGCAGATGCAGAAGAAGAAAGCACATGTGGGAAAGTGGAGTTGCAGAAGAAGAAAGCACTCCCATTGGTTGCTCTCATGTCTCTTGCAGTTTATTGTGGAAAATTGATCAACAAATATTAATATTAGCCACCACTAAATTTGACCAAAAATGTAAGAGAGGACTAACGGTGCTTAATGGAAGTGGAGCGCAAATTTAGAGACCATTACTCCTAAATAGCCACTAACAATAAAAACAATTTTGAAAAAGAACAAAAGATAAAGCTTCATTAAAAGCGGACTTGACAATGTTAGTCCACCTACCTAGTAATTTTGGGCGGTGGATGTAATAAAGTAAAAGTACCATTGTGATTTGTTGAATTTTGTAAAGAAGCATAGCCAGTGTAATAAGTAAAAGAAATCAAAGTGAAGGGGACCTAAGGATGGCGTTGGTTACTTACTACACCCCCTACGTACCACTTTTTCAAACTTAGTTTTAAGAAAAATGCGGACATCAGCGTTATAAATTATACATAAATAAATGTATATAAATCTTTTATTGAGAGATCTTTCAAATAAGTTTATTTGAGGGACACCATTGTAGGGCCCACTTTGCATTATATTTTACTAATCCAAACCATCTATTTTTTAGATAATCATTCAAAGATTATCTCTACAAAAATTCGCTTGAATCTGATATCATTTGACAACGTAATTGAGTTATTAAAATTTTAGTACTTTCTTGAAGTACTGTGTTCATTGACTTTGTAGGACACAATGGATCGAAAAACTGGTTTTCCCTTACCCAATTTTTTTTTTTTTTTATTTTTTTTTTTTTTTTTTTTTTTTTTTTTGCAAGGTTTAAGAAATAAGTGGTTTGGATCGTTGAAAAAAAATTCATAGGAGACCCTAAAGGGTGTCGCTTAAATAAAATTATTCTCTAGTACGGACGTCCAGAAACTACTTAACGTTTGGACTCGTTTTGTTTTTTCACTTGATCTAATTGAATTCATTCATTCAATGAAAAGGAAACCATTTCCATTTTTTTTTGGGTGCATCTTTCTTTCTTTTTATTAAAAAAAAAGGCTTATTTTTTTATATACCCTCTGAAAGTGGATTTCAGTTTCACTTTGCCCCCTGAAACTCATTTTGTCTCACTTTACCCTATATTTCACACAAACTTGTCTCACTTTACCCCATTTTCATAAAATAGTAATTAATAATTTCAATTTCAATTTTAAAACTTAAATTCCATAAAATAAAAAAATTGTAAAGAAAATTAATATTTTAGAAAAAAATAAGATTAAAACAAAACAAAAATGTTTTTGGAGAAAAATGATTCCCAGTATTGAAGAAAGGGAACAAATAGCTTAGAACTTAAAATTACAAAAACAAAGCGGCAAAGGATCATAAGAGAGGCACCTGGTGGTGATGGGAGTGGCAGATTTTTGTTTTGTTTTTAATCTTATTTTTTTTCTAAAATATGAATTTTCTTTATAATTTTTTATGGATTTTAAGTTTGATTGAAATTTCAATTTTTAATTAATATTTTATAATAATAAAAATGGAGTAAAGTGAGACAAGTTTATGTGAAATATAGAGTAAAATGAAACAAAATAAGTTTCTAGGGGCAAAATGAGATTGGAATACACTTTCAGGGTTATATAAAAAAATAAGCCTTGAAAAAAGGGCACTAAAGCACACATAACAGCCTCCAACTTCTCTCCACAGTCCACCAATGAAGGAAAAGCCCAATCTAGAGGTGATGTTTCTATTCTACCTTTACCAAGAAAAGTGATGAAAGTGTTTGGGTTGATTTATTAGTACAAGAAGGCAAAAAAACAAGTAGTCCACACGTTAGAAAAAATACGGACGTCCATAGTAGAGAGAGAGAGAGAGAGAGAGAGAGAGAGAGAGAGCTTCCGTTGAGGGACAAATAACCTTATTTGAGGGACATCTTTGTAGGACTCACTCCGCATTGTATTTCACTAATCCAAACTATCGATTTTTTAGATAATCATTCAAAGATCATCTCTACAAAAAATGACTTGAATTCGATATCATTTGACCACTCAATTAAGTTTTGGATTAGTGAAATGCAATGCGGAGTGGCCCGTACAAGGGTGTCCCTCAAATAAGTTCATTTGAGGGATCCCTCAATGGAAGCTCTCTGTATATATGAGAGCATTTTTACTCACTACTTTAATCCAAGGTGTACCCTCACCACCCTTCTTAAAATTTGACACATGTCCATTTTTGTAACCATAGTTAACTCTTTGTTTTTAAATATTTAAAAGTATTTAAAACTAAAAAAATAAAGTTAAATAATAATTAAATGACATTAACGCCTCACTCCTTCCCTCTCCCCTCATCTCAACCCACCCCCATTAAATAATAATTAAATAACATTAACCCCTCACTCCTTCCCTCTTCCCTCATCTCGACCTACCCCTGCACCCCATCCCTAGTACCATTCCCCAACAACACCCCTCATTCACCCTCTGCCATCCTCACCCAACGAAGTTTGCAACCAACAACAACCTCACACCCTCTAATGTAAAACCAGAATTCAATCTTTGTAAAACTTACTAAAATTTTTGGGCTTAGTTTAAGTGGTTGATTGGACATAGTGTTCAAGCGAAATTTCATATAGGGAATATTCGTGGGTTGATTCCTCGACCTTCGATCTTCCTTCTCTCTCTTCCTCGATCTCTGCAAAATAAATAGGAGTAAATAGACCACAGCCGAAGGGTGTTGGCCAAAGGCTCTTCGATGCCTAAGTTAGTTCAATTGGATCTTAATAAAGATACGACAATAGCTAAAATAGATGGAGTTTTCTTTCACGGGGAGAGTCAAGTGGCCAAAGCCTTGTGTGGTGGCACTTAGCAATGTGGGAGAGAGAGGAGAGAGAGTGGCTGCAAGAAAAGGTTTTTAAGGTGAGAAAGAGTTACCTTGAATTGTCTTGTGTATTCATGTATTTATAGGCTCCTTGTGAGCTAGGGTTTGAAGAATATTCCTTATTTCTTAAGGATTATTCTTACCCATAAATAGAAGATTGGAATTAATCAAGGAGATTTGATGGAAATCTCATCCTTGATTTCGGGAGATATTCCCATCTTAAATCAAAGATAATTTCCCTAATTAAATAGGATTTAATTAAGGTAATAAGTTGACCTAAGGAATTTTTTTTTCCACATGTAGCCCCTCTATTGGTTGCCAAAATATGTGTTCCCACAAATGTCCCCCCAGCTTCTGCATAGTGCTTAAGTGGCACGGAGGAGATAAGAAATATTTATTGGGCTTCCAATTTTGAGTTGGGCTCCTAGCTGGAATAGACTTGTGACTCCTTGTTGGCCAAGGATACATAACAGCTATAAATACAAGGCTTCTTTTCACTCCTCTTCATATCTCAAACTTGCTTTCCTTTACTTTCTAACTTGGGAGAGAGATATTGGAGGATTGTACTGATTGTTAAGGAGAGGAGTTGCCGTGCACACCAAGGTAGGTCACACTTGGGTTTTTATTTTTCTTCAATTTTTCTTCAAGGCAAAGACCAGGTGGCCGGTTGTTGTCAACTGTGGCCGTCACCTGTCGGCTGCTGTCGGTTGCTGTCGATTGTGGCCGTCACCTACCGTTTGCTGTCGACTGTGGTCTGTTGCTATCGTGGGCCTGCTAGGGTTGCGACCTCTTGCCTTGTGCTACTTGGGCCGCAGTTTGCCTTATGCCATGTCTTGGGTTGTGCTAGCCGGCTAGGGCAATGTCTTGCTATGATATGTCTCGAACTACTGATTTATCCAAAGTTTTGTTACATGTGAGTTCTTGTGGCGAACCGACTTCTGTCTTCTGCTTGTAGTTCACAAGACCAGTAAAACACTTGATCTCAAGCCGTACATGGCCAAAGTTTGTCAGGCCATGAAAGAAGGAACGTGGTCTGCCCATAGCTGGTGATGTTTAGAGATGGAAATGTTGTGGTCTCGACTCAGATGATCAGCTCGATCTTCTGCTTGAGGTGAGCAGGATACCGTCATGGACACAGATACAACCGAGGATCTGGTAGTTGGTGAGACGATCGCTGATGAGTCTGCAGTCAAGTAGAATGAAGGCAAGGAGGGCACAACTGATGAGACTGAGGCTGATGCTGTGAAACAGGTAGCCAAAACTGACGAGTAGGTGGCTGCAGCAGATAAGCATGTAGTCGATGCTGATGAGCAGGTGGCTACAGTTGATGAGTAGGTAGCTGAGGCGGTTAAGACTGGAGCCGAGGAGCACCCCAAAGAGAGGGAGTCTCATGCTGAAGTTTCAAAGATGAAGATTTTTCTTCTTTGTAGATTTATGGCTTTAATTATTGGTCTAGGTTAACCACTTCATCTGATCTGCTAAACTTGGGCATGTCGACTGCTCACTGATACTTTTGAACTTTTGGATCTATTGATCGCTTATTCTTTGTTAAACTCTGGCTAGTTGGTCACTTTACTATGAAAACTTCGGTTATTTCTTTAACTTCAATTTGCACTATGTCTTGTGAACTGCTTGAGTGTTCTGCTTCAATATTTACTCACCACCTACTTGAGGGGTGTTCTTCTATTTTTCCTTTAGAATGTTTTGAACGTTGTCCTACGTCTCTCTTAAGAAGTTTTTGGATAGATGCCTGCGTCTCTGCTATGAAATTTATTGCAAGTGCAGAATTCGTACAAGTAATACAATGATGAGTGAAGTGTCATTCCCATGAAGAGTGATTTAATTTACTAAGTACCGATTGTGATTAACCCAAGACTTTATTTGAACAATTGATGATGAGATTCGATTGATTAATTATCTAAAACAATGAATAAAAGCAAGCGTAGAAAAATAAAGTAGTGAGATTAAAGTTATGAGAGCACTAGAGCTTCCGATTTCACCATAGCCAATTCTACCCAATTCCCTTAGCATGTTAATCCTAATTATTCTCCCTGTTGACAGTTGATTTTCCCTACTTTATTCAATACGCCATCCCTGGTTATACCAAAAGTATTCTTATTACCAACCCACTTTATGCCTAGTAATGGAATTAAGATAAAAAGAACCCATTAAATTCCTTGGAAAACCTACAAAACAACCACATAAGTCATGACAAACATCCCTGTCTAATCATATAACTCATGGCATCTATTACAAGAAGCAACCCCAAATTGGATATCCCTATTGTCAATTTAGCATAGAATTTTGTTTTTGTTTTGTTTTTCAGGTACTTCACCTAGTGCATGAGAGTTGGGAGACATTCGCAGAGTCTTACGCTTATACCATTAGATCCAGAGATCGAACTAATGCTTCACAAGCTTAACAAGCTCAAAAGGAGGAAGGATGCAATATTGGAAAAGCCATCACTTATGGCTGAGGAACCGAAACCAGTAAGGGACTATGATGTCCCATCTGTGTTGGCATCACCATCGAGCATTCGTCGTCCAACCATTGATGCCAATAATTTTGAAATCAGACCAGCCATAATTTCAATGATTCAGCAATCCTCCATCTTTTATGGTTTACCTCAAGAAGACCCTAATAGCCATATCTAATTTCTTAGAGATATGTGACACATTTAAGTGCAATGGAGCTACCAACGATGTTGTTCGCTTAAGGCTTTTTCCTTTCTCATTAAAGGAAAAGGCAAAGTCATGGTTGAATTCTCAACCACCTAATTCGATTACTACCTGGGACGACTTGGCCAAGAAATTTTTAGCTAAATTCTTTCCTCCTGCAATGACTGGAAAACTCAGGAATGACATCATGTCATTTGCTCAGAATGACATGGAGCCTTTTTATGAAGCATGGGACAGATACAAGGATATGCTAAGGAAATGCCCACATCATGTGCTACCTACTTGGATGCAAGTTCAAGCGTTCTACAATGGTTTGAACAATACAAGCAAAACAACAATTGATGCTGCAGCTGGAGGAGCTTTGATGGGAAAAACATAAACTAAAGCATATAACTGGTTGGAAGAGATGTCGTCTAATAACTATCAAAGGCCTAGTGAGAGATCAACACCAAAGAAAGCTGGAATTCATGAGATTGACGCCATATCTGCGTTAACTACGCAAATTTCTACTCTGTCTAAACAACTTGGTACTTTAAATGTTAATGCTATTCAATCTACTAACTTAAGTTGTGAATTTTGTGCAGGACCTCATCATGGCAATGAGTGTGGAGCTGGTCCATTCACACCACCATTCGAACAAGCGAACCAAGTCTTTGATTTTAACCGACAACGGAATAACCTTTACTCTAACACTTATAACCCGGGATGGAAGAACCATCCGAATTTTTCATGGAGTAATAACCAAAATGTACAAGGACCTCCAACTGGTTTCACACCTCAAGAAAAGAAGCATGGATTGGAAGATATAATTACTCAACTTGCTGGAAATGTCAACATTCTCTCCGTCAATACAAATCAATTTATGAGCAAAACCGAGACGACCCTTCAGAACCAAGCTGCCTTTATCCAAAATTTGGAGGTTCAAATGGGCCAGCTAGCTAATGTATTGACAGGAAGAGTAAATGGGGCTTTGCCAAGCAAAACTGAGATTATTCCGAAAAGCCAAGAACATGCGAAAGCGATAACTCTTTGGAATGGGAGGCCAATAAAAACAGCAGTAGACTTAGATGAAGAAAAGAATATTCAGCAGCAAACTACAGAGAAATCAGAAATTACTAGCGTGCCGCCGTTGCCGTCTACCACCGCTAGAACTGCTACACAACTTGATGAAATTTCTGCATAAATTGAACCTACTACTGTAGAGAAATTGCCGCAATCTGCTGCCCTGTAAAGCCATATGTATCGCCAATTCCGTTCCCACATCGTCTTCAAAAAAACAAAGTGGAAGCCCAATTTTCGAAATATCTTGATATCTTCAAGAAATTAAAATAAATATTCCTTTTGCCGATGCTTTGGAGCAAATGCCGAGTTATGCAAAATTCATGAAGGATATTATATCAAAGAAGAGGAAATTGGGCGAACATGAGATAGTGAAATTATCCGAAGAATGCAGTGCTATTTTGCAGAGGAAGCTACCACCTAAGCTAAAGGATCCAAGGAGTTTTACTATACCTTGCACTATTGGAACCACTTACTTTGAAAAAGCTTTATGTGATTTAGGATCCAGTATTAATCTAATGCCTTCTTTTGTTGCTAAACATATTGGGTTGGGTGTAATTAACCCAACCACTATTTCTTTGCAGATGGCGAACAGGTTCATAATATATCCTAGAGGCATAATTGAAGATGTGTTAGTTAAAGTTGATAAGCTCATTTTTCCAGCAGATTTTCTGATTTTAGACATGGAAGAAGATGCCGAAACCCCTATTATTTTAGGCCGCCCCTTTCTAAAACCGGGAGGACATTAATTGATGTGGACAAAGGTTTATTAATTTTGCAAGTGGCTGATGAGTAGGAGACTTTCAATGTCTTTGAAGCAACAAAGTACCCAGTGGAATCAGACTCTTGCTTCTGAGTGGATATAGTGGAAAAAGCTGTCTCTAAAAAATTTAAAGCAGAACATCTAGGTGATCCATTAGAGGCTTGCCTTGTACATTCCATTACTACTGAGCATGAGGATCCTAAAATTTCTAAGATGGTATACTTTTGGAAGCAATGAAACCGCGCCCTCCTAAAAGGTGGCGCGAATTTGAGGAGCTTGGCCTCACAACCTCCAAGCCACAACCTAGTGTCATTACTGCACCAACCCTCACATTGAAGCCCCTACCTTCCCACTTAAGATATGCATACTTGGTAATTCTGAAACTCTTCCTGTGATTATTGCTGCAAATATGAGTAAACTAGAAGAAGATAAATTACTACGAGTTTTGAGGGAACATAAAACAGCAATAGGGTGAACTATTGCAAATATTAAGGGAATTAGCCCTTCCGTGTGTATGCACCGAATTCTAATGGAAGATAATTTTAGACCTTCAGTTGAGCATCAGCTTCGATTAAATCCGAATATGAAAGAAGTTGTGCAAGCTGAAGTATTAAAGTTATTAGATGTTGGAATAATTTACCCGATTTCATATAGTAGTTGGGTGAGCCCAGTTCAAGTCATACCCCAAAAAGGGGGTATTACAGTGGTGACAAATGATAAGAATGAGTTGATCCCGAAAAGAACAACTACAGGATGGCGCGTCTGCATAAATTACAGGAAATTGAACACTGCGACAAGGAAAGATCATTTTCCCTTGCCTTTTATTGATTAGATGTTGGAAAGACTTGCTGGACATTCATATTATTGTTTTTTGGATGGATATTATGGGTATAATCAGATTCCAATTGCACCTCAAGATCAGGAAAAGACGACGTTCACATGCCCATTCGGCACTTTTGCATACAGGCGCATGCCCTTCGGATTGTATAACACCCCTGCCACCTTTCAACGTTGCATGATGAGCATCTTTTCAGACATGGTGGAGCACTTCATTGAGGTTTTCATGGATGAATTTTCTATTTTTGGCTCATCATTTGATTCTTGTTTACATAATTTGGCATTAGTTTTGAAAAGATGTGAAGAAACCAATTTGGTTTTGAATTGGAGAAATGTCATTTAATGGTGCAAGAAGGGATAGTCCTGGGGCATAAAATTTCAACTAAAGGCATAGAGGTTGATAAGGCAAAAATTGATACCATAGAGAAATTGCCACCGCCCACTACAGTAAAGGGGATTTGAAGCTTTCTGGGTCATGCTGGATTTTATCGGTGGTTTATCCAAGATTTTTCCAAAATCATGAAGCCCTTATGCAATCTCCTTCTTAAAGATGTAGAATTAATTTTGATTCAAGGTGTTCGGAAGCATTTAATTTCTTGAAAGAGAAGCTTACTTCTGCACCTATCATTGTCGCACCGGATTGGGACTTGCCTTTTGAGATTATGTGTGATGCTAGTGACTATGCGGTAAGGGCAGTTTCGGGTCAAAGAAGAAATAAATCACTTCATGTAATTTATTATGCCAGTCGTACTTTGAATGACGCCCATCGGAATTATACCACCACGGAGAAAGAATTGTTAGCAGTAATCTTCTCCTTGGATAAATTTCGACCTTACTTGATTGGAGCGAAGGTGATAGTGTATACCGATCACTTAGCTTTAAAGTATTTACTTTCGAAGAAGGATGCAAAACCAAGATTAATTCGCCGGGTACTATTGCTCCAAGAATTTGATCTTGAAATTCGAGACAAAAAGGGGTCCGAAAGATGAGTGATGATGCCACACCCATTATGGGGATGTTCCCGGATGAACAATTGTATAGCATTATATCATCTGAAGCTCCCTGATACGCTGACTTTGTGAATTATTTAGCTAGTACTACCATTGCAGCTGATTTATCGTTTCATTAGAAGAAGAAGTTTTTCTCCTTGGTTAAACATTATTATTAGGACGACCTGTATTTGTGGAAACATGGCCCTGACCAAGTTATACTGAGATGTGTGCCTGAGGAAGAGATGGAAGACATATTACGACATTGCCACACATTTGCGTGTGGGGGGCATTTTGGTGCCTCCAAAACAGCAGCCAAGGTATTGCAATCCGAATTTTTTTGGCCAACTTTGTTCCAGGATGCCTATGCATTTGTAGCTGCTTGTGATCGATGCCAATGCACTGGAAATATTTCTAGTAGAAATCAGATGCCATTGAATAATATTTTAGAGGTTGAATTGTTCGATGTCTAGGGAATAAATTTCATGGGACCTTTCCCTGAATCTTGGAAGAACAAGTACATATTTGTGGCTGTTGATTATGTGTCAAAATGGGTTGAAGTCGTTGCTCTCCCTACCAATGATGCCAAGGGTGTTGTCAAATTTCTCTGAAAAAATACTTTCACCAGATTCGGGACTCATCGTGGCATCATCAATGACGGAGGTACACACTTTTGTGATCATCAATTTAATTCTCTTTTAGCTAAACATGGTATTACCCACAAGATTACTACTCCCTATCATCCACAAACTAGTGGACAAGTTAAAGTTTCCAATAGAGAATTAAAACGAATTTTGGAAAAGACGGTGAGTGCTTCAAGAAAGGATTGGTCACTGAAATTGGATAACGCCTTATGGGCCTATCGAACGGCGTTCGAAACACCAATTGGCATGTCTCCTTATCGTCTAGTTTTTAAACAATTGATGATGAGATTCGATTGATTAATTAACTAAAACAATGAATAAAAGCAATCGTTGTTGGTCCGTCGCAAATCTCGCGGCCTGGTGCTCCGGGCTGAGGGGATGTGCGTCAACACGTGACGTCCTCCTTTTGGATGCGGTGCAGTTGTGCGCGGGCGTGCCAGCACGGTCTACCGTGCGTGGTGATGATGAGGTTCGGGTAGAAGATGGTTCAAATGTTGCGCCTGTTTTGCGTTCGACTCCTAATCAAACGATTGTGACCGAGTGAGGAACGAATCTCGGCCGTCAGGTTCACGGCCTGAGCTACAAGGCCGTTTAGTGGTGGTGTTGGTGGTGGGTTTTTAGGCGGTGCTCCGGTGTGTTGCTCAGAGAGCGACGGTCGTATGATATATGGGGTGAGTGAGGCGATAACAGAGGTGGTGCTCTGGTGCCTTGAAAATCAAGGGTCGTATGATATATTGATGAATGGATTTTCCTTACAGTTTACCACTACTCCTAAGAAAGCAAATAAAGGTATTGAAAGTGCATTACAGAAAATATAAGTTGCTCCGTGGAAGGCTTTTGGTTTGGTGTTTGAACCCTTTGAATGTAGTCCTGAGCTTAGTATTTATAGGAGTCCCGGAAGGACATTCGAGGCTGACAAGACCTGGCCGGGCAAGTGGATAGTCAAATCGGCATTTGGGATCTTGAAGCATGGTGGTCTGGGGTTGAGAAGCATGGTGGAGTCTGATCGGGGCAAGTGGATAGTCAAATCAGCATTTGGGATCGTGAAGCATGGTGGTGTGACCCCCATAAATCTCGGCAAATCTCGGCCACCGCCCTGATCGTGGGCTCTGCACTCTTGGCCGTGGGAATGCATTTTAATCCTCTGGTCCAGTGGTTGGTGATCTGACCTCAAGCTGTGAGAACGCTTTGTGAGAATGTTTGCGCCTAACCACTCTGATTCCTGTTACCAAATCTTGACTTCAATCACTTCCTTTCTGCCCTCGTGCATTAAATGCTTCTTGCACCCAATGGTTTTGTTGTGGCGGTCAGAGGCATTACTTCATTAAATGGGGCGTGGGACCCTGAGGCTACGTGGCGATTTGACCATAGTATATTTGGCCGTGTCTCTCATGGACCTCGGCCTTGGCCCATAATGCCGTGGTTGTGAGGCCGAGAAGATCCTGCCTTCATATTTTCTTCTGTTTTCGAAAAGGCTAAATGTTTGACGAAACGTGGCCGTTTCAGTCCATGAACAGGTGCTACAGCCGAGAAGAGGTCCCTTCTGACCACTGTGATTTATTAGGCACAAACAATCGTAGAAAAATAAAGTAGTGAGATTAAAGTTATGAGAGCACTAGGGCCTCCGATTTCACCACAGCCAATTCTACCCGATTCCCTTAGCATGTTAATCCTAAAATTCCCCATGTTGACAGTTGATTTTCCCCACTTTATTCGATACTCCATCCCTGGTTATACCAAAAGTATTCTTATTACCAACCCACTCTATCCCTAGTAATGGAATTAAGATAATAAGAACCCATTAAATTTCTTGGAAAACCTACAAAACAACCACATAAGTCATGACAAACATCCCTGTCTAATCATGTAACTCATGGCATCTATTACAAGAAGCAACCCCAAATTGGATATCCCTATCGTCAATTTAGTATCAAAACAATTAAATGTTGGCCAAACATTCAAATTAGACATCCCTATGGTAATAGATACTGAACATGGAAAAATACTTGGAATTAACATTGACTAAAGTAATTGAGTATTCATGGCTAGGCTACATCGTAGCCCTAGCAAAAAGAAATTAGTTCATGACAACTTTAATAAAAACCATGATAAATAGTATCATATGAAAGAAAAAACCAATTGAAGATTTGATCTCTACATGACAGCAACTCTAGCTCCAGGTTGTCTTCTTTGTCTTTCTAAAACTCTCTCTGTCCTTCGAGTGTTTCGGCTATGAGTATGAATGTGTTGGAATTTGAGGGTAGATGATAGAGGATGTGGATGGATGATGGGTAATGGATGATTTGAACAATGACCTAAACTCCCTATTTATAAAAGTCCTAGAAATCCTACCTAATGTATAATTACAATTGTTATAAAAATAGAATTCCTTCTAATATAAGGTCTTCTTTATTTCTCCTTGTTTGACTTGATAAGATTTGAACCATTTTAAACTAGGAAATTTGACAACATTCCTTGCAACAAAAGGAATGACTTGGCTTCTTTTTAATTAAACTCCAATCTTCATCTTCTCCTATTTCACAATTCCCTCACAAATCTCACAAAATCAATTAGAAACAACCAATTTAATCCAAGAAAATTAACAAATAAATAAGCAAAGGAGGCATAAAATATATATAAAATATAGGCTTATCAGTCTCCCTTAGGACGTTTATGGCGGTCGTCCCACGACTTCCTTAGGAAGCTTTTAGTTGGCGTGCATCTTCCTTAGGACGCTTTTAAATAAAAGCATAGATCTCCCTTAAGACGTTTATGGCAAAGCAAACTCTCCACTGGCCCTTATGTTTTCTTTGTTACCAGAAAAATGTTACCTAGCCATTTTGGTGTGAGACTTCTTAATGAAGCCGACAGCTAGGAGGTTGTCACTCTCGGCTTCAATGATTACAACTCGCTCAGGTGCAACGTTGCATCTCTTTTGCGCCACTGGCTTACTGGCTAGGTTGACGTGCAGTAGGTGATTGATGATTTGCTGGTCAATTCCAGGTATGTCAGACGGTGACCATGCGAACACGTTATTATTGTTCTAGAGGAAGGTAGTTAATTCCACCTTCTCTTCTAGGCTTAGGCGCAAGAGGATCCAATCTTTTCTCTCTAGCTTGTCAAGATCAATAGGTACTAGCTCAACATCCTCCTCGGGCTTCCATCCTTCTTCATAAAAGGCCTCTGGAAGAATTCCCCTGACTTGGTCCTGACTCTTTGATTGCTATTGGAAGGGTAGCTACTCCTTTTCCTTTTTGGTGTGCTTGACTATTAGGAACGGGATCTGCTTCCTCATCCGCTTATTCTATCTAGCTTATCTATATGAACTATGCTTGTTTGCTCTTCTTCAGCCCTTGGGCGGAGTATCTTCTCGCCATTACCTGAACATTATTGATCTGCCCGATACTGCCTCTAGGGATTGGTTAATGGATTTTCAGATGAGTGGAAGAGGTGATAGCTTTGATCTTGCTAATCCAAGGCCTACCTAGGATGGCATTGTAAGGGAGACTTCATTAATGATCATAAAGATTTGTGAGTTGATTACCGATGGAGAGTAGACGTTGAGGTTTATTGTGCCTACGGTAACCGAAGTCGGGCCATTGAAGCCGGTCAGTGACTTGGCTAACTTGTTGATCATTGTCTCCATGCTTATCTGCTAGATGAACTGACAATTGTTGGATGTTAACTGCGCTACCTTCATTTGCGTGGGTTCAGTCAATCACGGCTTGGGCAATTTGAATGCTGATGACGAGGGCGTCATTGTGCAGCAGATCAAGGTCAATCAAATCTTTCTTCTAGAATCCGATCATGGAATCATCTTCAATTGATGAAAGGCTGGTTAAGACTTGTGAGATAACAATGGTCTTTTTATTCTTCCTCTTCTTTTCTTTGTTGGTCAACCTGGACTCCTTAGAATCGGCTATGATTGTGTTAATCCTTATGACTTTCGGTAGAGGTTCCTTGGATGCATTGTGGTCCTTGGTTTGCTGGATGACCTTCTTTGCTGTGAACTCTACGCATTGGCCTTCTCTCACCAATTCTTCGAGGTGCTTTTTCCAAGTAATGTAGTTGTTTGTGTAATGCCCATGCATCCTAAGAAAGGCACAATACCATATGATATCCCTCTTAACTAGATCTCGCTTCAAGGGTGATGGTCTCTTCACCCAAGGCTTATCTTTTACTTAGGCAAAAATTTGATGTATGAGGATGGAGAACTTGGTGTAGTTCTCATCTGCTAGAGCTTCTCCTTGGGGCTGCGACTTACACTTGCCACTGCTCTTGTTGTTGAACGTGTCACTCCTCTGACCTACTTGTTTGGTCGGTTGGTCAACCTACCTAGTAAACTTTGTTGCGGTAATTCGATCGTCATCCCAAAACGTGTAGCGTTCTGCAATCGCGAAGACCTCTGCCAGAGTCTGGCTGGGAGCGATAGTCAGCTTGCGGTATAAATCATGCTCAGTCGGCAAGCCTTTCTTGAAGGCAGAGGACACGATTCGGTCATCATATCCTATGATGTTTGTCTTTTTTGCCTTGAATCTCTTGATGTAGTCTCAAAGGGGTTCAATGTGCTTCTTGTGCCAATTAACAAGTAGTCAGTGTTCTTTTTGATAGTCTAATAAGAAGTGTAATCTTTGGAGAAGACGAGGGTAAGCTCCTTGAAGCTGCTAATTGACCCAGATAAAGGGGTAGGGAACTAGTCTTGGGATGCTCCTCACAGGCTCATTACAAACAACTTGCACATCAGTGCATCTTTAGCTTTGTATAGAATTGACGTCTTCTGCTCATAGTGCTTCAGTGCGGACCAGTGAGGGTCTTCTTGCACGTTCTCCATAAGGATGGCCATGAGGCTGATTTCCTTGTGGGCCTAGTAGGCGTGGATATTAGATTGTGCCCTGCGTGAACGTGGTTCTCAGACCTAACCTCAAACGGATACTCGATCTATTATGGTGTCTGCGTGTTGAACAACATTTTATGTCTTCCTCCTTGCTTGCTTGTTCGTGCTCGACCTACTTGGGACATCTCAAACCGTCTGCCAATGCGTTCGTCCATCCTTCTCTCTTCACCATTGGATCCATGGCCAATGTCTTGGACCAAGTCAATTTGCTAAGGAGCTATCCAACCAAGTTTTTTTGATCATCTACTCTTTGAGTTCACTAGTCAACTCTAAGACTAAGGTCTACTTGACTGCATGAATCAAGAGGAGAGAATTTTGTGGAGCCCCATTGCATGCAGGCTAAGGTTTCGTTGGAAGTATATATGGGAGCTGCGAACATCAAGCAAAGGAATGGTCACAATTGCCCCTAGAAATGGCTGTAGTTGGGGGCAGCAGCAGGATTGCCGTGATAGGAGGTTGTGGCTATGCCATGGGTGAAAATCCCAACATCGGCCATAGCGCCATGAGTTGGATTTTCGGCTTTGGCAACGAGGCCCAACTGGAGGTTGTCGGCCTTGTTTAAAGGATCATGCATCAGCCTAACTGACAGATCGTGAATCAAGTTGATCGGAGAATCATTTATCGGACCGAGGATTCGCAAGTTGGTCACCAAGTCGTTGGATATATTCCTGATCATTAGTGAAAAAATATAATTAGTGGGCATGATAAAAGCATTATTATATGCCAATTATAAAATCACATGTGCCTTGACAAAATAATTGAATTATTAAATAACGCATGTGCAATAATTTTATAATAAAACATTAATTTTGAACATCTATTAAGAATTTGCATTGATTCAAAATTAATATCAAATACTAATAATTATTAGGAAAGTGCATTAATTCATAATAGAATATTAAATATTAATATTTATTTAAGAATTGTAAATCATGAAATATGGAACAAAAATAAAGGCTTTTTCTATGTCTTTGACCACAGGAGGAGCCGTTTGCAACTACTGCGTACGGACTTAGTCGCCGATGCGTGGAACCCAGTTGTTGGAGACGCGATAACAAGGCTTGATGTTCCCCAAAGCATATAGACTCAAGTCTCCAAGTTCCACTTGTGGTGACGGTGTCACAAGGGGAGGAGTGCAACGTCATTGACGGAGCAAAGCAAATCCGACGATGTTTTTCACGAGGCATCGGTGAATTTTTGGACACGAATGGCAATGGACTTTCTGGGTTTTACATATCGGAGGCTGCTGGTTCATTTGGCGCTAGTGGTGTCACAAAACGATATCAGGATAGATCTCCACGAAATTGGTAGCGACTTCTAGTTTTTCTGGAGATACTTCGTTAGCGAGTTGTCGGCATCAGGTGGTGGAACTACGTGCTGGCGTCTACTGTTCGGATGTCTAGGAATGCGATGGTTTTGGTCGGGGCCTATGGTGAATTTTCCAACGCCGCCAGGCTATTTTCTTGTGACTAGTGTTGTGAATTTAGACAACCTGAAAAATGGAGATTATAAAGATTAGTCTAAACACAAATTATACTCGCAAGTGCACAAGGTCAATCATAATATAGTATGGCAAATACGAGGTCATTCCCATGGGGATTGAGTTCAACTACCAATTAGTCTAACCTAATTTACTTCATAAAATACTTTAGCTACTATAATTATATAAATAGAAATTAAACACGTAGCATACTGACGTAAACACAAAAGGGGTTTTTGAAAGAATGATTTAATTACCAACGAAATTAAAAGACAAAATAAGTAGGAAGTCACGAAACAAAAGAATGAGATATTCAAATTGATAGAAGCATTAGGACAATGAATTCACCACTAGTAATCCGATCTAGCCTCTTATTCACCTACCTATTAACTAACCAATTGATGTCACCGCTTAGTTTTCCTTTTTCATGAATTACCTATGGTATTTAGGCTAACTCGTATATTCCTACATGCAATTCACCTATGGTATTTAGGCTAACTCGTATATTCCTACATGCAATTCGCCTATGGTATTTAGGTCAAATATCAACACATAGAAATTCATTAAGATCAGTGAAAACCTCGAACAAGCATGTAAATCCTAGGAGTATGGTATTTACCCTAGACGAATTATAAATCCTAATCACAAGAACCAAGCCTCAAATTAAATATGATATTTACTCTAATTTGCATCCGATTAACTCAATTAAAAGTCTAGATGGTGATCAAGCATCAAGATAATCAACCAAGTTATTAAGCACAGTGATTAAGAATCCAACATCAAATGGCAATCAATAGATAGGTAAAATAAGAAAACTAGATTATCATACTAGGGTTACATCATGCCCTATCAAAAGAAAATTAGTTACAAATAATCATAGAATTCGACATAAACAAAAACATAAGGAAGAAACAATCAAACTTAGCCAATTGCAGTACTCTTCCAGTGTCAACAATTTCTCCTAGTCTTTGCGTGTCCCCCCCTCCTCAAATGAGTTGTTTCTCATCCTTAAATAGAACACCACACCTCTATTCCTACCCTAGCTGGGATTTTACAGCAGCCCAAAAATAACGAAAAACCTAATTAAAACATAAATCCAAAATGGGTAAGTAATTGACTCCTCTTCCTACTTGGACTGGGATAACACGTCAATTATGTTGCACACACGTTTGGGGTCGTTCCCCCTTCAAGAAAATTCGAGAAAAATATGTAAATTGTAGATTTTTGTCTTATCTTTCCAGCCATATATTGCACGCCTTGAGAAAAAAATCAGGAAAGTATTCAAATAATCATTCTTCCACAGCAGCACAGTTTTGATGGGATTGCACCTTATGCTGACTTAACTTCGAAGACTGCTCTCATTGGCTGCTCCAAAAATTCTAGAAAATTTCCACAATCATCTTCAAGATCTTAACTTTAATTCCAACTAGTCTTGTACTAAAACTCCACCCAAAAGTCGTATTTCTATTGAAAACAAATTACTTGCTCTGGAAAGTTGAAAATTGAGAAAATAAAGTAATAAATCCTTTTAAAATCAAATTCTCCTACAAAAACTAAGTATAAAGAGTACATAAATGTGTAAATTTATGGACTTATCAGCTAGCGACGACACGAGTCTCTAGGCATGGAGGTCATAGATCCCTAGTCATGATGAGATAGATCGGGTCGCACGTGGTAGCTCGGTGGTTGACGTTGGTGAAGAGAGTAGATCCCATTTTTCTCCTTGCTATTTGTTTTTTTTTTTTTTTTTTTTTTTTTTTTTTTTTTTTTGTCGTTATTTATTGGGTGGCTAGAGGAAATTCTGCTAGACTGTGGTGATTATTCTCGCTATGATGATTTTGAGGGTTTCGGATGAAACCGATTATGGAAAGGAAATGGATTTCCCTTGACCAATATTTGAGAGCATCGCATTGAGTATATTTTGAATCTCTTAATGAAAGCACCAAAATGTTTGAGCAAAATTCCGTACTAGGAATATTCATGGGTTGATTCCTCGACCTTCGATCTTCCTTCTCTCTCCTCCTTGATCCTTGCAAAATAAATAGGAGTAACTAGACCACATCCAGGGGGTGTTGGCCAAAGACCCTTCGATGCCCAAGTTAGTTCAATTGGATCTTGATAAAGATACGACAATAGCTAAAATGGATGGAGTTTTCTGTCATGGGGAGAGCCAAATGGCTAGAGCCGTGTGTGGTGGCACTTAGTCGTGTGAGAGAAAGAGGAGAAAGAGTGGTGGCAGGAAAGGGTTTTTAGGGAGAGAGAGTTATCTTGAATGTCTTGTGTAGCCATGCATTTATAGGCTCTTTGTATGTTAGGGTTTGAAGAATAATCCTTATTTGGTTAGGATTATTCTTACCTATAAATAGGAGATTGGAATTAATCAAGGAGATTTGATGGAAATCTCATACTTGATTTTGGGAGATTTTTCCCATCTTAAATCAAAAATATTTTTCTTTAAAATATTTAAAATAAAGAGTTAACTATGGTTACAAGGATTGACATGTGTGAGATTTTAAGAAGGGTGGGGAGGGTATACATTGGGTTAAAATGGTGAGTAAAAATGCTTCTGTGTGTGTATATAGTTGATCCCTAATGTGGATGTTCACATTTTCCTTAACATTTAGACATTGTGATTTCCTTACCTTCTTGTGATTATAAATCAACTCAAATAACTTCCTCACTTTTTCTAGCACCGTATATACACTACACAGAAAGTATAACACATGTTACATTGTTTCTATAACACATGTCCTCACTTTTGGTATATACGTTGATATCTAGCTATAATATCTGTATATCAACACACTCTCTCAAACAACTTGAATAAATAACTAACTGTGCTGATTCTTTCTTCTTTCACGCAAATTTCTTTCAACTGAATGTAAGTGTCTTTGCAATTAATTTTTTTTTTTTTTTTTTTTTTTTTTTTTTTTTTTTTTTTTATGATGATGACTCCTAAACCAACACATCCTCATATTAAGAAAAATGAGGACGTCCAAATTAGAGAAGACAACGCGTTGAATTGCGCTGAGAGGCCCTGGTGATTGTCCAATTTGGTGAAAGGTTTCACTCAGTTAGCTCAATCATAAATAGATAAATTGACAAGTGGGATAGGAACCCGATTTCCATTGATGGAATGGGGACATAGGAAATCAGATCCTAGAAATACCAACACCAGTTTTGTCGAAATACTCTGAGCGAATTTCCTTTGCGATACAGATAGGGAGCGGGGCCGTGGTTGGATGGCCCAGCTTCCTGGGAACTCGCTGGATTCATGGGCGGCACAGCTTCCCAAGAACCCCTCGAATTCGTGGGTATATATATATTATTAGTTCCCCATATATTTACCATAAGAATGAATTATGAATGCATGAAGGTCTCCCCGTCAAGTTCATCATATGCCAAAAATTAGCCATTTATGGTAAAATTCTACACCAAGAAAATCCCAAAAATTTTATATGTGCATTCTGTAATTGAGTCAGGGAAATAGTTGTTTTCTTTTATTCCTGAGGGTATGTTTGGTACACCGCATTAGATTCTAGATATGAGTAAATTGTCTATGTCAATTGTTCGGTGTCAACTTGTATTATTTAATTACCTAACTATGTTAAACGAATTGGGCTTTTAATTCCATTCTTACCTGACTAACCAATACAATCCACACACTTTGGTTTAAATAATACACGCTTAATTATAAGGCTAGGGAAAAAGAAAACACGCTTTCTACTTGAAAAATCATACACTCTTTTCATCTTCTTCTCCCTGGGGTTGCGCAGCCTGGTGACAAGCACTATTGTCATCTTGGTAGTAGTAGTCTCATTAAGAAGCTTCTAGAAGCTGGTAAGACGGTCATCCTCGTTGAGATTGACGAGGATGACCCTCTTACCTAACTAACTAATATAATCCACACACTCTAATTTAGATAATACACGCTTAATTATAAGGCTATGGAAAAAGAAAACAGGTTTTCTACATGAAAAATTATACACTCTTTTCATCTTCTTCTTCCTAGGGTTGCGCAGCCCAGTGACAAGCATTATTGTCATCATGGTAGTGGTAATCTCACCAAGAAGTTGGTAAGAGGGTCATCCCCATCGAGATTGACACACGCATGGTCCTCGAGATGCAGAGACGATTTGAGGGCACTCCTTTCTCCAACCACTTGCAGCTAAAAACACAACGAAGTTATTTTAGGGAGTCATAAATACTATAGATATTTTTGAATTTAATATGATTGGTCCATCTCTATAAATAAAAAATAAAAATAAAAGTTAGCATTAATTGAAGGTTTAAACTATGCATAAAACAAAGCAACATTAAATTATAAGAAGTCACTAAGAGTCATTTTTCTTTTCTCAGATTTAGGAGCTCCTAGAGGTCTCCCTATTTTATGAGGTGGATAGAGAGCATGGTTGGACATGGTTGGAATTGTATTTTTCCAATTCCTCTCTAAAATTTGTCTAAAAAGGTGGTTCAGGAAAGTGGAAAAATCTTTTATGTGGACTAATTGGCTTCACGAAATTGTGGAGTTTTTTCTTTTCTTCTTTTGTCCATAAGTGGACCTCAAATTGTGACAGGTCTTGTGTCTATAGAAAAGACCCTAATGGCATGGTCATATGTCTACTTCATCGTGGAATTTGAAGACTTCCTTTTTTTTTGCTCTAACTTTCTTTAGCATGTTAGATTTAACGCATTGAAGAAAAACAATAGTTCTTACATATCTCAACATCAAAATTTTGTTAGCCATATGTGATGATGCCGGTGAGGTGACTGGAATCTAACAATCCTATTGATTTTTTTTTAAAGTATTGAAGTATCCATCCATCCAACGGTGGATACTGCCTGTATACCTAACACATGGGTGTACTTGAGAAAAATGGTGGACCAAGTTATCATCGACATTTTACCAATCAATATTAATAACGTGCTTATGTTTATTTACACATATTAAATCCCCGTTACAATAATTTTCGTTTTGTTTATTAAGTCAAGAAACTAGAATCTTGGCTCTTGGGAGATACGTTAAAAGCAGAATCTCTCAAACAAATTGTGTGACCCATCACCAGATTCCACTGGGCCAAGAATCCGAATCTTCTACATGTCAGCTGCAGCAATGGATCTTATTAATTTGTTTTTCAGAGATAACAAGTTTTCCCATGCTCGCCTTGTATTTGTCCATTACTTTATTCCACAAACACAGATTTGACCTTTTCCTAAAAGATCAATTTTTATGCATATCATATAGATTTATAATGAAAAGTTGTTTCCCAAAGAAAATTACTTTTTGAATAAAATAAAATAAAATAATGAGCCTCTGCCTATCTTTTTAATAACGCAACTAAATGTATGAATTATTATCAGAGATATTTAGTGATATATCTATTCTTAGCACTAATATTATAGATAAACCATACACTATTGAATTTCTATAAACAAACCCAAAAAAACCCAAAAAATGACAGTTGGCTTTATTGAATTTAATATTGATTATTAAATTACATTGATGCCCTATTGAGTGTTTTGGGTATTTTTATAAGATTTTGGGGTTTGGCTTGTTTTAAAAAATTGATGGTAGTTTTGCAATTTATAAGAAGTTAAAAGCCTATTTGTTATGTTGTAAATGAGTTTTGGGTGTGTTTCTAAAGTCCATTTCATATATGGTATTTTTATAATTTGGGCCAATATATTGGGTATAATAATGAATCTCCCTTATTATTACTACTCTCTCAATTAGTGGAGTTTTTTTATTTATTATTTTTCATTTTATCTTTATTATTTATAGAGAATTGAATATTGGACTTGAACTCTTATTTCTTTTTTGTTTTTTTTAATAGAATATTGTGTTACATATGAAGTAGTGTGCTTTATTTTATTTTATTTTCCATTAATGACAACAATTTTGAATTATTTAAAATTTTAATTACAAGGGAATTTTGATATATATATATATATAGTCCATTTTATTGAGAGATTCCTCAAATAATTTTATTTGAAGGACGCCCTTTAGGGTACCCTACGATTTTTTTTTCCAACAATCAAAACTATCTACTTTTTAAGTCTTCATAAATAGATCATCCTTGCAAAAAAACTAAACAAATCAGAAACGTTTAGATATCTAATTGTGTCCTACAAGATCAATGAATACGGTGCTTCAAGAAAGTACTAAAATTTCAATAATTTAATTGAGTGCTCAAATGATATCTGATTCAAGTATTTTTTTAGAGAGATGATCTTCAAATGAATATCTACCAAATAGACAGTTTGAATTAATGAAATACAATGTATGGTTGGCCCTACAAGAGTGTCCCTCAAATAAGGGACACCGTTGTAGGGCCCACCACATAATGTATTTCAACGATCCAAACCGTTTAATTTTGAGATATTCCCTCAAAGATCATCTCTACAAAAAATCACTTGAATCCGAAACCATTTGACCACTGAATTAGATAATTGTTATTATAATTTTTTCTTGAAGCACTGTGTTCGTCTATTTTGTTGGTACCAACTAGATGCCTTAAAGATTTTCAATTTGTATGCTTTTCTTTGCAAGGATCTATGAATGAAGACTTGAAAAATAGATGGTTTGTGATAAGTCCATAAATTAACACATTTATGTACTCCATACTTAGTTTTTATAGGAGAATTTGATTTAAAAATGACTTATTACTTTATATTTTTCAATTTTTGGCTTTCCAGAGCAAGTAATTTGTTTTCAACGGAAATACAATACTTTGGTGGAGTTTTAGTACAAGACCAGTTGGAGATGAAAGCTAAGATCTTGAAAATGATTGTGAAATTTTTCTAGAATTTTCGGAGCAGCCAATGAGAGCAGTCTTTGAAGTTAATCCAGCATAAAGTGCAATCCCGTCAAAACTATGCTGCTGTGGAAGAATGATTATTTGAAGACTCTCCTGATTTTTCCTCAAGGCGTGTGATATATGGCTGGAAAGATAAGACAAAGACCTACAATTTACATATTTTTCCCGAATTTTCTTGGAGGAGGAACTTCCCCAAACGTGTGTGCAAAGTAACTGACGTGTTATCCCAGTCCAAGTAGAAAGAGGTGTCAATTACTTGCCCATTTTGGATTTATGTTTTAGTTATGTTTTTCTTTATTTTGGGGCTATTGTAAAAGCCCAGCTAGGATAGGAATAGACATGTAGTGTTTTATTTAAGCATGAGAAACAACTCCTTTGGGGTCACGCAAAGACTATGAGAAATTGGAGACGCTGGAAGACCACTGCAATTGGCTAAGTTTAATTTTTTTCTTCCTTATGTTTTTGCTTATGCCGAATTCTATGATTCTGTGTAACTAATTTTATGTTGCTAGGGCATGATGTAGCCCTAATATGATAATCTAGTTTTCTTATTTTACCTATCTATTGATTGTCGTTTGATGTTGGATTCTTAATCACTGTACTTAATAATAACTTGGTTGATTATCTTGATGCTTGATCACCATCTAGACTTTTAATTGAGTTAATCAGATGCCAATTAGAGTAAATACTATACTTAATTTGAGGCTTACTTCTTGTGATTAGGATTTGTAATTTGTCTAGGGTAAATACCATACTCTGATGGTTTACATGCTTGTTGGAGGTTTTCACTGATCTTAATGAGTTTCTATGTGTTGATATTTGACCTAAATACCATAGGCGAATTGCATGTAAGAATATATGAGTTAGCCTAAATACCATAGGTAGTTCATGAAAAAGGAAAACTAAGCGGCGGCATCAAATGGTTAGTTAATAGGTAGATGAATAAGAGGCTAGATCGGATTACTAGTGGTGAATTCATTGTCCTAGTGCTTTTATCAATTTGAATTTCTCATCCTTGTGTTTCGTGACTTTCTACTTGTTTTGTCTTTTAATTTCATTGGTAATTAAATCATTCTTTCAAAAACCCCTTTTGTCTTTACGTAAATGTGCTACATGTTTTATTTTTTGTTTATATAATTAGAGTAGTTAAAGTATTTTGTGAAGTAAATTAGGTTAGACTTATTGGAAGTTGAACTCAATCCTCGTGGCAATGACCTCGTATTTGCCATACTATATTACGATTGACCTTGTGCACTTGTAAGTGTAATTTGTGTTTAGACTAATCTTTATAATCTCCATTTTTCAGGTTGTCTAAAATGCACAACAGTTTGGATCTTTGAAAATAAATTCAGAGGGTACCCTTAAAGGTGTCTTATGTTGACGCCTAGATGCTATTACCGTGCGTACGCTATGTATTTTTTACTACGCTTCCTTGTTTATAATGGTGTCCACACGATAATAACACCCAAAAGTTCACATAGGAGAAGAACTATATATATACCTATAATATCAAAGAGGTATGTAATTGTTTTCATATTTTATAGGACTAACAACAAAACACCCGCTAGATGTTTGGGATCATTCTCAATTTGGGCCATGGGGTTTCAATTTCATCAATTTACACCCTCCAACATTTTAAGATTCGATTAATTTACACATTCCGTTAATTTGATCATCTAGGCTTCTATTAAATTGGCGGAGGAAATGAGGGACCCACTTATGTGCTGATGTGTCAGTAAAATTAATCAAACGAATCTTTAAAATAATAAATATTAATATTCTTTAAAAAAATACTAATATTTTTAAAACATAATTAATACAAACAAACAAAAACCAAAGCCTTTCTCAACCAGTCATCCTCTATCTCCCATATCTACCTTCTCTGACCTACCCCACTGATTCGCTGCTGACCCAGCCCAACAGACCCTTCTTGACCTCGACGGTGCCTTAACCTCAACCCACGACGACCAGGGGATTGAGCTTCCCCCAAAAATCACCAATCAAAATTTGCTGAAAACAAATGAGATGACATAGCCCAATGAATTGGCAGCCCCACGACTACGTCGTCGCCTTTGCCATAGCCTACGCCCAATAGCAATGCCAAGCATCGACCAACATCCAACAAGGATGAAGGAGGGGGGAAAAAACCGACCAACATCCAACATCGATCATTTCTAGTTTTCTAGGTTAAGCAGAGGAGATCTTGAGGTGAGACACAATTGTTTGGGAGGCGATGACTGGAGGCTGACAGATGGGTGAAGGGTAGATTAGGGAAGGAAGAAAGGGATAGTGGGGTCAAAGTTGAATGGTCAATTTAACAGAAGACTAAACGGTCAAATTAACGAAATGTGTAAATTAATCGAATCTTAAAATGTTAGGTTGTAAATTGATGAAATTGAAATTTCAAGGCCCAAATTCAAAATGACCCAAATATCGGTTAACCCTATGACATATAATTGCACACACACAGCCCATGAAGATGACGGACGTGACAAGGATCCAATCATTTTATACAATAAAAAGTATGGTTAATTACAGTTTAGTATTCTGTACTTACAACGTTAAGGCATGTCAGTACCTGGCTTTTCAATTTTTACAATAACATACCCCGAATTTTTAAATTTGTTAAAATGTGATTCCGCTGTTAGGATTCCATCAAATTTCTCTGTTAGTTGCCTACGTGGCACTGTGGGTCCTATATATTTCAATATTTATTAATTTTCAATTGATTAAAATATGAATAAAATATTAAAAACAAAAAAAACAAATTAAAAAATAAATCTCTCTCTCTTCTCCCTGCGTTTCCCCCACCCCCCTTGCGATTTGCTTCTTCCCCCCAACCTGAATGCTCCACTGTACCCTCAGACCAAGACAACGTGTACTCGGAGTTCCGTCTGATTTTCGAGCTTTTCCGAACGGCTTTTGCAAAAGGGCTCCAGCGTTTTGACGACGTCGACGTTTTGGACCCGGAATCGAGAGCAATTGTCCCAGTTTCTCAAGAACACCAGCTATTGGGCCCAGATTCGCGGTCAATGCAAGAGATCTATGCCCTTTCTGTTTTCCTTCTTTTTATTATCTTTCCATGAGATGTCTAGAAACAATTCTCTTGGTCTGAGGGTACGGTGGAAGATTTTGTTTTTTGGGGAAGGGTGGGGGGGGGGGGGGTGTGGGGTTTGTGGGGGTTGGGGGGGTTCGGTGGGTTGGGTGGGTTGTGGGAGGTTGGTAGTCATGAGGAATGCAAGGAGAAAGGGAGGGGGGGGTCTCGATTCCGAATTACCGAAGCAAATTATCGCATGTAGATCTTTTTGGAGGATCCTATTTTCCTGGCATTCAGGAATCCTGTTAAGAAAATTTAGGTCATGTTGCAGACAAGATTCTCGATTTAAAATTTGCATTTCATTTCTGATTTTGTTTTGGGAGAGGGGGGTTGAAGAAAATCGCAGGGGGGGTATGAGTTATGTGGATTATGGGTTCGTGGGGGTTGGGGTTGTGGGTTGTGGGTTCGTGGGGTTTGAAGGGTGCTGGTCATGAGGAATGCAGGGAGAAAGGGAGGGGGAAGATGAAAATCGCAGGGGTGGGATGGGTTCTGTGGGTTATGGGTTCGTGGGGGCTGGGTTCGTGGGTTCTGGGTTCGTGGGGTTCACAGGGTGGTGGTCATGGGGAATGCAGGGAGAAAAGGGAGGGGGGAAGAAGAAAATTGCAGGTGGGTTATGGGTTCGTGGGGGCTGGGGTTCTGGGTTCTGGTTATGGAGAGAGAGAGAGAGAGAGAGAGAGAGAGAGAGCAGTTGGTTTTCAAGATGGCTTTGTGGATTTTGACCCCAAAATCCCAACTTTAACAGAAAAATAGGACAAAAGCTAAGATGATGAAAGACCCAGATGGATCAAATGGGTTTCTGGACTGCAGAAAGACCAGCCAAGATCAAAGGAAACAATGGAAGCGCGAGAGAGAGAGAACACAGAGAGAGAGGGAGAGAGAGAGATTTATTTTTTTTTGTTTTTAATATTTTATTTATATTTTAATCAATTTAAAACTAATAAAAATTTAAAAAATATGGGACCAACAATGCCACGTAGGCAATTAACAGACAGATCTGACGGAAACTCTAACGGTGGAATCGGATTGTAACAAATTTACAAGCTCAGGGTATGCGATTGTAAAAATTGAAAAGCCAGGTACTAACATGCCTTAACGTTGTAAGTACAAGGTACTAAACTGTTATTAACCCTAAAAGTTATAAAGCTATTATTCTAAAAAGGTGGGAAACTGAATCAATTATTTTTGGGGTTCTCTGAAATGTCACCGTTCTCATGTAAATTTTATTGTTGTTTATTGAGCAAGAATGTATTAAACAACAATAAAAACCCACTTGCTCTGCCTCCTTCCCGTAGTAATTGTCTAATGACCTCATACAGAGAATTTGTGTAAACATCTGGGCTAAGCTGAAACTTAATTACCTTTTCAAAATGCAACTCATCATAACCAAGTAAAATAATAGCAAACAATATCTTACATTTTATATTGTTGATGGTGAGAATCATCGCTGCATCAGAAAATCATTCATGAAAATATAAAATTATGTTTTAATGCCATGGTGAGGTCAGATGAGTACTTACGTTGGCATGTATAAAAAATCAACACGATCATCGATCAAAATTCAGAGTCTGACGTTTGCAACGTAGCATTTCTTCTCACCCAACATATTGTGTCAACACAACGTATCTGATGGTTTAGTAAAGTTGAACTTTGGGAAAGCAAAAGACTTGTCCGAAAGTGTATTTTACAAAGGAATAATATATTGACAAGAAGTCATTAGAATTAGGTAACAAAAACTGGAAAACGTTACAAACTCCTACAAATGACGATGCAGTTATTATAAAACAAACAACATAGCTGAAGTTACCAAATGCGTTCGCTAAATCTATTCACTAAATGATATGTCAGTATATAGAAAATATTGTATACGAAGGTTGTTTATTAATGTCATCTCTCTAGCATGTCTCTGTCAATGTACGTATTATCTCGTCAGTATACACGCTAATACCTCACTTATTAACAATAAACACCCTATAAAGTAAAACCTTATATTTGAATTAATCATACACCACAAGATGATTTTTTCATGAACTAAACATTGATGGTAGCTGGTGGGACTTTAATATAAGGTAGAAAAAGAGGCATGAAGCTATCTCACATGCTTTGTAATTACTATTGTTGGGCTTGAAATTTGATGCAAGATTCTCCATCTCCTATAACTACCCTCCTTCCCAACCCCCACAAGCACAACCTTCCATCTCTCTCTCTCTCTCTCCTCTCTCTCTCTCTCTCTCTCTCTCTCTCATGGTCCTTTGGATATGGAGGCCATGGAAAAGAGCAGTTGTGTTCCAAAATTGGAAGTTAGTCCTTTAAGGAGTTCAATACTGTAAGTCCTGTTTTTTTGTTCAGATGTGGTCCATATGCGCCACCACAAAAGATTCAAACCAACCAAACTTGTACTTGGCACCACCTATATATCTTAGTTTTGAAGCCTCTCTGTTTAATATCTGCCTCTCTCTCTCTCTCCCTCTCTCTCTCTCTCTCTCTCTCTCTCTCCTTTTTAAGGTTCTCAGGGCCACCATGTCCATATTTCATTTGATATTCTTTATCTGGATCCTTTTGATAGTGAAGTGTTTTGTGGCTCTTGGCTCTGCATCATGGTGCCAACACCAGTTTCTTGCCCAAACCAATAGACAATTTGAGCAGAAGACAGATAGGTTTTGGGAGTTCAAAGAGCAAACCAACAGCTGGGTTGAAGTTCAATTGCCCTATGATCTGGTGTCTTGTCTTAATGATAACTGCACTATAGTTGGTTCAATTGAGGGAACAAATAACAAAGAAGAGCACATAGAAAACCAATCGGATGATGTTCCGGAAAAGAGGGAGAGGGTAAAAAAGAATGATGGTTATGGAGGATTGGAGAAGGAGAATAATTCTGATGTGGTTTTGCCTCTGAGAAAGAGAATTTCTTTGACCAAAATGTCTGATATGTCCATCTGGGGTCACTGGTGAAAGTGGGGTCAATCTATGAGAGGTTTTGGAATGGGGTCCAGTGGGTGACGGCACCCCATGATTTGCCAATATCAGGAGCTCATGCAATCTCTGTTTTTATTGTCAATCATACAGTTCTTGCTCTCTCTGAATCAGGAAATCTATATCAGGTACTATAATTAACCCACCAGTTGCACAAATTTATATCAGTTTAACTCTTATAATATGAATTCATCTTTACGAAATATATCAATATATATATATATATATATATATATTTTGTAATCTTCTTCCTGCTTGTTCCAAATTTTACTTGGGTGGGAATCTATTTTTAGATATGAACTGGCAAACCTTTGATCAATTCATATGTGTAAGTAGATTTTCCCACTGTATTCTAAACTGATCACCAGAAACTATTTGATTTACTAGCTATGTTAGATGAAAAACTTGGATCCTCTGTGGATGTTTTTCTACTGATGTTGTGCTCATGTCCAGTTTCGGACCAGGAAGTCTGAAGAATTCATCATAAAACAGTTCTAAATCATCTCTCTCTTTATCTGCACGTATCATATTCTTGCAGTCATATCATATCCAGGCTGATAGAAACTCTAATTCATGGAAAGGGGCATACCTTAACTGCAAGAGTGTTCTAGTCTTTTTGTACTAGCTGTTTTATCATATACCTTCTTCATCATATGTTTCATTTCTGCACTTTCAGATGAAAATCAGTGAGAGCTCACAGCCTATTTGGGTAGACTTTACACCTACACTCAGTCAAAGCACAGATGAAGAAGGAGAACAAAGTTCTGTGATCTTAATTAAGTCTGGTCTTGTTTCATATGATGGAGAGTGAGTATAATTTCACTTTTGGAGTGAAACTTACATACTAAGAAAGCTTACCCGAATACCTGCACGAAAAGATTTAGAAAGTTGAGTATCACCTTATAACACCTTGATTTTGCTACATTGCTGCCAGGAGAGTCTATTTCTGCACGAAAAAAGGGACTCTGTTAGAACTTAGAGAAATTGAGCCTCCAAGGTAAGAATCGCATATACACAAGTGAAAGCATCACACCCAATGCTGAGCCTTAAGTTTGAATTTCAGTCTCGATTTATACTGTAGATGTCGATGGGGAGACTCTAATTTCACTTGGGCGTTTGTGCTATAAACATAGAACAGATGGGTAGATCATGGACAACCTCCTGGTGCAAATGCTGCAGCAATAGCTGATGCTGCTGGTATTAGAACAGATGTAATTTATACCATAAGGTAACTCCTCTCTCTTGCATTTGCTCATACGCTCGTATCTTCGGTTAGTCAAACCATCATACAAGTCAATTAAGCCCAATGAACCCTTAACCCCGAACTCTTTGCTATGTCCGTGGTTACTCAAAAAGAAAGGATAATTTTGAGGTTATCAAATACAGCATAACATGTAATTGTAAATTGCAGTTCTGCAGGTGATCTTTATGAATATGATAGGAGCTCAAAACCGTCATGGAAGAAGCATATATGGAGAGAAGGAACAGCTTACGAAGCTTCTCTAATACCATTGACGGGGAGTACTTTACATGGCGCGAGTGGAGATCATTCTATTTCCCTGTTTCTTCTAACAAAGGTACTCCTGCATTTTCATATTTATCACTTCTAAGACTTACGTTCAGCATTGAAGTGAAAAATAATTTGACAGATTTTAAGTGTATAGAAGGGAAAAAAACTAAGTAGAGTTTGGTGGCCAGCTGTAATGGATACCCTAATAACAATCTGGGAACAACTCAAGCTAATTAACTCTAAAACTTATATAACTATTAGATTGAGTATCGAACCTCTGTATGAATCTTGAAGATCCGAAAAAACATTTGTTCATTAGCAACTATATAAACATGAGCTACAATATGCTGATCATATTAATTTTTTCTTTTAACTGAATGCTCAAACTATTCGAAGCTAAAAGTTACCTTCCATTTAGAGAAGACAGAAAATTTGTCTCAGTACTATTATGTAAAAGCATTACCTCAGTGCTGTTTGTGTCTTACATTTTCTTTCCAAATTTGAAACAAAACTCTCACAACATTTTGCGTATAAGCAGGATGGTAAACTGGTAGAGAGACGACTGCACCAAAGGAAATGGAAATGGGTAGTTTATGGAAGTCCCAAGGATCAGCGCCTGACATCTATCACACCAGTGCTGCTGCAAGATGACACAAACGGAAGATTATTCTCGTTGTTTTTCACCACATCCACTGGATCAGTTTTCGAATATCAAATACCAAGACAATCAGGTGAGTTGAGGAATTATGGAAAAAATGAATTATTCCAATCTTATAAACCGTACAACTTGAACAGAGTTTTCCCAAATTCAAATCTTTCCCTCCTGTGATGTTCAAAAAGATACCAATGTGATAACTGCAAATGTATATTATATTGTTTGCCACATCACATAACAGAAGATTAACTTCAATTAGTTATGCTTCACTGAGGATCATATTTAGGAGGAACTTTAAAAGCGAAAATAAAACAGTTCCTTATTGGAATGAGCTGATAAACCAATTTCAACGCCGAACAGTCAGCCTAATTCTCGATATAGTTTGCTAGCAAACGAGGTGCACTCATCTGTTCTATGGAAGTTTCATCAGAGGTTGCAAGGAGGTTATAGTTTAACATAAGCTCCACAAAAACTGTGCTTCCACATACTAGTCATTCAAGAGTCTAAATAACATCTCATGACCCCCACCCCAAACAAAGTATAAACATACAAAAGAGCTACAAAAGCAAACCAGACAAGAAAAGAAAACCAAAGTAATTTGCCTATCAAAATCATACTTCTTCAAAGTTGCTTTGAGACATTGATTAGTTACTGTTTAAATTTATTCCTTGAGATTGAAAGATGGTGAGAAAAGAAAGGAACTAGACCACATAAACACTATTAGCAAAAGTGATGTTTTGCAGGGCCTGATAGCAGCAGATAGTTAATAAGGCTAAGAAATTGCAGAATCAAGTGATCACACAGCACCAATCATACTAAGATCCATGCAACTGAATTACAGTATAATCTGTACATAGGAATCTTAACTTATTCATCCGCCTATTCGACCAGGAAAAATAAGAAAAAGATAAAAGAAAGCAAGCACTATGTAATAAGAAAAAGATTATTCCATACTACTTATGCCAAAATTTTAAAGCAATGTGCCATTGTACCTGTTTAAGAAATTGATAATCATGAGATCTATTTCTTTGTGAAGCATATTATAGGCATTCATGACCAACTGTACGTTGAATTTTAATAAGATTAACTATGAAGCACTTCAAATTTTGATTTATAGAAGAGAAGCTGATAGACTTATGAAGATACAAAACTGAATTCTGAATGTGCACCTTAGATCTAAGAGTTTCCCACATTAATACAGGTATTGCTCAAGAGAACCAAATTCCAGAAGCATGGGTAAGCCATATACATCCCCTACATGCAAAAGTTGCCAGAGGTATTAGTGGACTACAAATTCACGTTGGTAGGATTCTGTTTCCACTGGATGATGGAAGACTGGCGGAACTTCATCTATCAGGCTTAGGTGGTGAAAACTCTGGTCCATCTCATCAAGTAATGTTCCGAAAGAAAGCGGCAGTCAAATATTTGTGGTCAATATTAGATGCCCCAGAATCGGAAGGCTGGAATGCAGAATACTGCGTAGAACAGCGTGGACCCACAAATTGCATCACAGGCGTAAAAGATGAACCAAATGATTTAGGAATTGCAAGAACAATGACACGAAGGCGAAAAGGAAGCCAGGCACAGCAGCATTACTTAACTCCAGGAACATCAGGTAGTGCCCCAACAAAACCTCTGGAAGAATACAGTTTTCCTGACAACTGGATTAACACAAATTTCCATTTGAGAGCGATGCATGGAGGCAGATCATTTTTCCTCATAACAGATGGTGGTTTTACTTTTGAATATCTTTATACTGAAAATGTATGGATGTGGCTGAGGCATGAGCACTCAACAGCTATTAAGGGTGCACTAGGAAACTACAATGGAAGCTTGTATGTCGTTGACGCATATGGCAGTGTGCTTCTAAGGGAAAGGAACAGCAATGATCTAGCATGGATAAATTGCACTGCCTTGAGGAAAGGAAGGCAAGTTGTTGGAGGTCCTCCATGGGATGGAATTCCTGGCAGAACTATGAGAGTGACAGCAGAAGACGCCCTCTTCTTTGTGAGCAGAAATGGCAGATTACTACAGTTCACGGTAAGTTTGGAAAGGAACAAAAAAAGAAAATATCTACTTCTGTGAAGATTCGATGACCTTAAATTTTAAAAAGAAAAGATCACAAACATATTTACTACGGCATTATCTTAAGTCTGATGTATACCTCACTACGCAACCACGAAATGAAAGCAAGAGCTTTCATCATAATTGATAACATGACTGTCATACATCACATTCATATCACCATTACCATCATCATAGTTGCATTTGAAAAAAAGTCAATGTTATACTGGATTTGTGACTACCAATGGTCATGAGCTTTGTGAGTTTAAACAAAAGGTTTTATTCTTTTCCAGTTATGCTAAAGAAATATATTAGAGGTATATGTATACTGGAATATATTTAACAATTTGTGAACATTAAATAAAAAATTAGCTGTAAAGGGAAATAATATTGTTATAATTTCACAAATGATGATATCACTACAGTTGGTGACAGACTGACAACTTATATTCTTCCATAGGTTGCCCTGAGGAAGTTCAATGGAAAGATTGCCGAAACCCTCCAAATACCAAGATTGCCTCTATAGTAGATCAGGAACTGCTGAGGGAAAACATAGTGTTTGTTGTTGGAAGGAATGGTCGGCTATATCAGTATAATAAAGTGACTGAACTGTGGCATGAGCACTACCAATCTCAGCATTTGATTCTATCAAGACTGCCTGGAACTGCTATGAGGCCATCATTGCTTTCACTAACAGGTTCACTTTTCATGCTTTCAGTAGATGGAGGACTAGTTGAATACCACTGGAACACATTCGATGGATGGAATTGGGTAGAACATGGAAGTCCACATAAAGTTGTGACATTGGTTGGTTCACCCGGTCCATCCTTCGAAGGTAATCAACTGTTTCTTATTGGCTCCAATGGAAATGTTTATCTGAGGTATATGGATGAAATGACATGGAGGTGGAAGAACTGCGGTTTCCCTTTTTCGAGAAATGCGAATGTTGAAGGTCGAAGAGGTGAGGAAGGAAATGACAAGGAACAATTCTGTACCGACGTAGACTTTGCAGCTAGTTCAAAGAAGGATTATGAAAGAGTTAATGAACTAAGCAGTGACTGTAATCAAGAGGTTAGTAATGAGCTGCACTAATTGCTAATACATTGCTGATGTGAAGTTATTAAGCTAATGCTCATTGGTTTCATTTTATGCAGGTGGCACCAATACGACCAATTCCCTTGGCTGAAGATTCAATAATCTTTGAGCTAAGAGATGGCAGAGTAAGAAATTGCTATCTTAATTTACTTGTGTTAATCATTTTCTTAGTAGAGAATAAAAAAGAATTCCAGCATAACCAAGTGAACATATTCTGTAGTGGGAAAAGACATATAACCTAGAAATGCCAAACAATCTTCCATGATAAGAGCAATTTTGACAAACATTAACTAGGAGTCACAGAAATCCATTGCATCATTTTAAGAACTGTGATGAAAAAGCCATATCCATCTGCTAGATCCTTAATGATGATGTCATTTATCAACACCTTACTTATGAGCTCTTTAGATTTTCCTCATTTTCTTCTTCAATTCTAACTTAAACCACACTCATTAGCGATGGAGCATCCTTGTATTACCACAGATGTATATAATTTTATTTCAATATCCATTCTTGTATTATCGAAAACCTTCTTGCAAAATGTCATTGAAAAGAAAAAACAACCCCACAATCTAAATACCATTGTGAAAATTAATAAGGATATTGCTGAGTTTGATATTTCATTGCAGTTGGCAGAAATGCGACGAATAGAAGGCACGCATTGGATGTGGTCACGTATAATAGGCACACCTACAAGCTTATGCACAGCAAGTTACTGGACTGCCTTGGCATCATGAAACAGCAGCACAACACAGCTCTCTATGTACAAATCACACATCATGTACAGACTACTCTTCTACAATATTGCCCTTTTAACGTAGACAAGTCACAAGCCACAAGCTACTGTAAAGAAAATTTACACATTACCAACAGAACAGTTGTACAAAGCTATAATTCGATAGTAAGTTGAAATAAAACATTATATTCAATAAATGAAGGCATTTTCATTGTATCTCGTAATGTTATACATATATCTCTCTGAGCTACTTATCTATCCAAAGTACCCTACTAATGGCTGTTTCCATTGACATTAGTGAAAAATTGGCATGTTTTACACCATTTAATAGCTTTTTCTTTTTCTTTTCTTTCTAAAACTGGATTTAATTGATAAATAGGATTAAAAATATTAAACTCAGGGTTTCTAACATAAATAATCAATCAGCGTAGGCTCTCATTATTAAAAGAACTAACCTGTTTTGGACTTGAAATGACCAAGATGGAGTCAAAATGTTAGGCAAGGGATGGGGTTGAGATCTCTAATTCTCACCGAATACCAAATTGAGATGGTTGGTTAAATGATGAAGATTAGGTTGACAATGCAACGGCTCCAAACATCCACATGTTTATGCATCCTCACGATTTCATGCTAGTAAGAGAATTTCTAAGATTAGGTAAACTCTTGACTTTAAGTGCAGTAGAACATTGAGTGTTTCCATTATGATCTTTTAATCCCATGATTACTCCTCATGGCATATAGGACATGCGTGCCTTGGTTATGTGGCATAGGACATGCTTGACTTGGGACATGATGCCTTGTTCATCAAGTTTCACTAACTTCGTAATTTAGATATGATGGGATCATTGGTAGAACGGTGGATCATGCTGGTGTCCTTGTCTTTTAGGCCTGTGTTGCAAAAATAGGCTCGTTTGGGCCTCATAAGAAAGGGTTAATCCAACGGCGTAAAAATTTGTGATTGTAAAGTTGTTTTTTCCAACTTTAGAAAATAAAAACGAAACTGTTACGAGCCTAAAAGCACAAGGGGTGTGAAATGTAATTGACCCATACATCCAAAATAAGAGAATCTCTCATAGTTTGATAGAAACTTATTCGTCACATGTAAGTAAAACTTTCATACAAGAATTCTCGATTGATTGCATTTAGTAATCACTCTCTATTGAGCACTTATACACTTTACAAATTATCAATGTCAATTGACAATTGACAATCCTATGACTAAGAACTATTTAAGATATGAAAGTTCGAGAGGAATGTCTCCTGAACCTATTTGATTACTTTCTCTATCTTTCATTTTCTTTGGACTATTGTTTAAGTACATAACTATAATGAGACATTTGCTATAAACAATAAACTTGCCTTTTAATAAAGCTAAAGAAGTTTAAGATATAACATATTCATAAAATATTATATCACATAATCGGCTTTTAGGTCATATTTCCAACATTGGGCTCCAAAGTTCATGTTCCCTTATTTATCCCCAAATGTGCAAGTATTCCATGACAGGCATGGTGGGTGATGTAGGCTTTAATAAATGGGGCTCATGACATGCTTGCCTTGGTTATGCGGCATGAGACATGCATGCCTTGGGCCATGATAACTTGGTCATCAAGGCCTCACTCTAATTGCTTAATTTCATACAAACGATCATGGGTAGAATGATGGATCATTTTGCTTGATTGTAGGCTCACTGTCCAAATTTAGGGTGCTTGAGTAGTGACTTGATTTCTTAAGGAGTAACTCACACACCTGCTTAATTCAATTCGAAGTTTTTTTTTAAAGAAATGAAATTCATTCATAGAATCAAAGTAGCGTATATAGAACGACACAAAATAGTGGCTTCGTTAAAATGTACAAACCTCAGTTTAGGAAAGAGTACCACACATATCATTGATTAGCAAGAGAGTCTGAAATAGTCACTCAGGACCAATGCTAGAGCAAGATAAAATAAAATAGTAAACGGACACATAGACCTCTGACGCATAGACCTCCAATGAGAACACTACAACACAATCCAACTATCAAAAAATTCCTGCTATGAAATCATAGTCCTTTGCACAGTCACAAGACATTGAGAGCATCCGACAAAGAACACAATATGCCAAGAAGAAAGAAAACATCCACTAAGTGTTGGTGAGTACACTAAGCACACCATCTCCATCCACCTCCAATAGCAATTGGCGATGAAAGATGAGAAATTTGCAAGGAACAACACAAAGAATAGACTAACCCCGCAAACAAGCTAGGAAAGAAAATAAAATAAAAAGCCCCCAAGCACGCCATATCATCTCAACACTGACAAAGAAACCTCCTATGAAAACACAGTCATTAAAACAGGCAGAGAATCAAAGATCAACTAAGGGGAGAACGAAGAAAACACCATGCAACATTAACAAAACTGTCCTAGCCACTTAAACTGAACACGGGGATCAAGCACAAGAGCATTCGGCGGATGCCAAGCCCACGAATGCTCCAAGAACACATTAAGGAAAGCACCTAAGAGACTCCACTCAGCCAGTCTCCATACGTTTATTAGGAGGAACACAAACATTACCCAAATTCGCAGTCCCTATTGCAGAGTAACCATCCAAACTTGTAAAGATGGGTAAAAGAATGGTACCCAACAACTTTAGTTGCCAAAAACCTTGCCCAACACTATGAAAAGGAGGACCAAAACTATAGACCCTAGGTGAAGAGCCACCCACGCCAAATCTCTAGACAGTGGTCGTTTTCTCATGAAGGTAAGGCTTGAGATCGCAGATCGGTCGATGAAGGGGGCATGAGGAAAGCCACCTTTACCTTGACCGCTGACCCCAACGAAGCAGCTTACACCATAGTCGTCGTTGACTTGGAGACTATCGGCACAATAGCAGTAGCAGACTCGTTGAAACCACCGTACCAAGGCAACCATCAGAAACGCGAACACACAAAGGAGAAAATGAAAGACAAAACTAACGCACAGGATCTGAGAGAGAGACAACAACGAGGCCAGAACCCTAGAATTGAAGAGAGGAGTGACAGTAATGACTCGACGTGGAAGAGAAATGGCAATGACTCAACATGGAAGAAAAGTGACTCGACGTTGTCAAGTCGAGAGGGGCAACGATGGCTGAACGTGGATGAAAACTAGAGTTGTTAAGATGAGAAGGGGATAATGGCTGAACATGAAAAATTTAAACCCTAATATTTGACACACGTCTCTCCTCGAGTAGCGAGATAGCAACCCAAATGAGAATAAGTTTGTGGGCCCCTTTAATTCAATTCAAAGTTACTAATTAATAAAATCTTAAACTGGATTGAATTAGATTCTCATGAGCAAATCCGTGAACTGATCAAATCATGTTGTTTATGATTTACATGTCCAATATAACTTGCTAGAGTCATCCAAATATGTGATACATGAATCTCACATTTGAACTGTGTTAGGAAAATGTTGAGTACTTTAGTAAGATCTAGGAACCAAAAAGTCAACTTCGGCTAGTACTTTTGGATGAAGTCTTGGCTTGTTACAAATAGTATTAAAGGACAACCCAACCTATATGTGGTACTCATGGGTCATGGTCATGACGATGAGAGAAAGGAAGTCCCTCACTATGAGGTAAAATGTTATGTCTTATGTCTGAAAGGCCAGCCTATTAAATAAGTAAACTTGATGAGGACACCAATTCCTAAAGGGTGGAGATTTTGATACCTTAAATCCCACGTCAGACCCATGGTCTTAGGTTCGAACTCTCATGACACATTGACAGTGTGTAAGTAAGACCCCCCCCCCCCCCCCCCCCCTCCTTTTCGTAACATTGGCACAAAAAAAAATCGGATGTTGAAATGTTCCTGAGAAGATCTTAGGGACTTACGGAGTGTTTGGATGAGGAAATTTAAAATAATGTTCTGGAATTTGTAAAATTTCTTCTTTAGCTAATGGATTTAAACATGGAATTGTAAAACTTAAAAACCACAAAAGAATGATTTGGCTCAATTGATCCATCAGTATGATAGAGCCCTTGTATTTATAATTGGAAAGTGATATACAATACAACCATTACAAGAAGTAGGGTAAATCCCTATTTACATGTGAGTTCTATCAACACTTCAAACACAACACAACAACTTATATAGAGTTTGAAAAATACAAACAACGGATAAAATCTGGAGTTTGAATTTGAAACTACAGATAAAACTTTGTCTAACATCCCCCCGCAAGCAAAAAGGTCGAGGAAGAACTGGAAGTGTGTGGTGGACAACCTTTGTGTGAACAAATCTACAACTTGATCCTCGGAGCATATAAAATTAACAACTAGTTCACCCGAATCACCTTCTCCCTAATATAATCGTAGTCATCCTCAAGATGCTTGGTCCTAGAATGAAATACATGATTGGAAGCCATAGCAATAGAGGACACACATATCACACCATATACTTGGGCAAGATAAAGGCAACTGCAAATCATGAAAAATTATCTAAGCCAAGATATCTCTACTGCCGTGTAGGCTTGCTTACGATACTCACCCTATGTGCTTGACCTAGAGACTGTGCGTTACTTTTTGGAGCTCCAAGACACCAAGTTGTTGCCCAAATACACACAGTAGACGCTAGTAGATTAACGATAGTTTGGATCACCAGCATAATCTGCATCTGAAAAAGCAATAAGCTGTAACTCACCAAGTTTATATACAAGACCATGATCATAGGTGGACTTGAGATAATGCAAAATCCTATTGACAACCAATGCATGGACTTGGGAGAGTGCATGACTTGGCAAACTTGATTAATTGCATAGGATAGGTAATGCCTAGTAATAGTGATACCTTATTTATTATGGGAGTTACAAATCGTTTAATTTTCAGTTTTTATTTTCTATTCATTGCTTTAATTTTTCTGGTTAAATGTGTCTGGAGGTTACAAGTGTTGGATGCCTATAAAAGGCCACTCCTCCTTGATGCACTCTATTTTGTCCACTATTTCACTCACCAGCTATCCAACTAGGGCAAGGTAGTCGGATACAGAGAGATCACCTTTCATAGTACGCATTAATTCATTGCGTATATGCAAAATCATAATAGAATGCATCAAGGAAACCTGGTTGAATGAAATAGTAGACAAAATAGAGTGCATCAAGGAATTGTTGATCAAGTTGAGAAACAATTGGTCCTGCTACACCTAAGTAGTGTAAGGAGGATTAACAATTGGCCCTGCTACACCCAAGATGTTTTGAAGGACACTAACTCGAGCTGTCGACAAAACCCATGAAATCACGACTCCTCAAAATCGAAACAAATTGAGCCAACAAAGCGAGTAGTTGGATGGAACAAGTTTAATAGTAACAACCACATTCATGGGAGAAACCATGGGACTGATGGGGAAGGGGTGGGTTGGGCGTTGTTGGTGCTTGCATAATTATTGTTGGCAATTTAGGAAAAGAGAAAAAAAAACTAGTGATTAAGTCATAAGACAAAGGGCTCGTGATACCATTTAAAACTTAAGAACCACAGGAGAATGATTTGGCTCAATTGATCCATCAGTGGAGCCATTGTATTGATAATTCAATAGTGATATACATCAGTTACAAGAAGTAGGGTAAATCCCTATTTACACGTGAGCTCTATCAACACTTCAAACACAACACAATAACTTATCTAGAGTTTGAAAAATATAAGGGCTCATTCGGTACTGTTTTCTAGGCTCGTTTTCTGTTTTCCAAAAATAAAAATCTAATGGATATGCATTCGGTGGGCCATTTAAAAAAATATATATATACGGTCTTTTGGAAATGAGTAAAACACAAGGCGTAAAAGTGAAAATGCTGAAAAGATGTTTTCTGTATTTTCAACAAATACGAAGCACGCTGTTTTCAAAAGCACGAGATTCAAGCGTATCTCATGTTCTCTTCGTTTCATCGCGAGCTCTCCATCCTACATGACTAATCTCCACAACTGGTGCTAGACTATTGTATCTTCCATCCTTTTCCTCTTCAAAAGTTTCTTTGTTGAAACAGGTACAAATTGTTCATTAAGAAAAACAAATCTTTCCTTCTTTTTTTTTAACCAAATCTTTCCTAGTTCTGAATTTTATCTACACATAATTATAGTAAAATTTGTTTCAATGTGTTTGGCTAATTTTTGGGCTTTTTTTGCTGTGATTTGTTATGGGTTTCATATTTGAATTTTGTAATTGTGAGTTTGGTTATGTTCAACTTAGGGTTTTTCTTCTCTATGACTGTAGGGGTTTAGATATGGATTTGGTATATTTGTGTTTTACTCCATTAATTTTTATCTAAGTGTTCAAAAATTGATATGGTGCATATTTGGTTTAGAATGCTTTTGTTGTTTTCGTTTGTTAAATGTCTGCAAAGATGGTATCATGGTTCTTTCTCACATTAATAGAGTAGTTATTAATTACAAATTAAATAGCAAAAGTTTTTGGTATACCTAAATAGATCCATAACTATATGCATGCAATCCATTTGTTTCTCTGTTGTTAATATATGACTAAAAGATCATTTGTTGTTCCTTTTTAGAGATGACCACTAAGAATGTTGTTAACAAAAAAGCTTATGAAGCTAATTGGCCCTCAAAACACGAGGAAATATTTATACGTATATTACATGACCATGCAAAGAAGGGTGACTTGCAGGGATCTACTTTCAAAGGGAAAGTTTGGTTAGAAATAGGTAACGACTTATGTGCAGAATGTGGAAAAAGATGTACTACTGTACAACTCAAATCTAAATTTAATAGATTGCGATCAAAACATCGTGAGTTTTCAGATCTTATTGATCATACATGATTTTAGTGCAACGTGAGTTTTCAGTGCATCCATGATGCCCTCTTGAGGAGCCCAAAAAAGAAGAGTTGATGAACCACTGGCTCGAGACGTTGGGAAAAGGCGGGTTGAAGAATAGCTGAGAAGAGATAGTGGAAAAAGACAAGTGGCATTGTCTACCCAAGAGGTGGGAAAAAGGAAAAGTGTGGAACCTTTCAGCGGTCCGTTGGAGCCGTGGGTGGAAGCTGATCTTGTCCTAAGCTCATATCAGGAGGCGAGCAAGAGGGTCTTGAGGCTAGAGATCATTGAGGGACTATCCTCTAAAGAGATAGGATACAGTGGCATGACCCTATCGACCCTGGAAGATCAAATAAAGGTGGTGTATTCTGATGTTCCCTTGTCTGCAATCATTTTATTGTGATTGTCAGTCTCACCGTGTTTTAATACAAGCTACAATGAAGTTGTACGTTGTTGCTCAGAACGTGGCTGCTCATCGCGAATTTGATAGGGGCAAAAGGGATGAGCAGATGGTGACCATAGTGAAGCTAAATAGGACAATCAGAGATAAGACGCGAGTTGAGGAGGAGCTAGAAGTTGTGCAGGGTCTTCTTAAGGGGGAGATCAAGAAGAACGCCTAGCTATCTTCCGTCATTGAGAAACAATGTGACGAAAAGCACGGCCTAAACCTGAAGTTGTCCAGCGCACATAAAGAATTGGGTGAAGCTAAGCAGCAGATTGAAGCTTTTTCATACGAGCTGCGATCGAGCTATGATGATGCGGTGAAGGACTTCATCGAGTCGGCTGAGTATCAGGATTGGCTCGCTGGTCAAAGGGTTGGGGGTACTTTGACCTAATTGACAAAGTTGGCAAAAAATACCCCTTCTTGGATTGGAGCTTCCTGGATGACAATGTTGAGGAGACCCCAGCAGAGCAAGGTGAAGGGTCGCGCACGAAGGTGGTAGCTCCGAAGACTGACCCAATTGCTCCAAGTGCACACCCAGTTGTTCAAGATGTCGGCCCAGTTGGGGAGGTTGGGGTAGTTATTGAACCTATTGAGACTAATGCTAGATACGCTTAAGTTTGCGTTGTACCCCATTCGTCCTATAGTTCCTCTAAAAAATTCTAAACCATACGTGGATGTGTTATTCGTATTATTTTTTGCAAGTCTTAAAATTTGGTGTGTGAGGATTGTGTAAGCGGAGTCGACCAAAAGTTTTTGCAAAAAGTAAAAACATTCCATTAATCACATAGTAAGTAGGGTACAAGGATTTCAAGTTGAGCACGGCACTAAGTCAGGTGGTTCACTGCCGTGTGCACACGGTCGAAGGGAAAACATAGTAGATGGTATACAAAAGACAAAAATAATGATGCGACTAGGTGAGGTCTCATGTTATGCATAAGGATAGTATTTCCTTAGGTGCTCAACGTTCCTTGGATATGGCTGTTTCTTGCCGTTTAGTTGCGCGAGTCGATACATTCCGAGTCGGGCAATATAGATGACTTAGTATGGTCCTTCCCAGTTGGCTCCTAGGGTACCAGTTGTTTTGTTCCTGGTCACCAGCAGTACTTTGTGAAGAACTAAATCCCTTAATCGAAAGGTGCTCGAACATGCTGATTTTAGTACCGAGCAGTTAGTTGCTGATATATGGCAAGATAGAGAACAGCGCCGCGGAGTTTGTGCTCTTCTAATAAGTCCATGCTAAAAGTGAGCTGCTTCATATTTTATTGGGGTGTAAAGTGGTCGACTTGGTGTGTGGGGATATCGAACCAGGAAACGATATTTTTCCAGACGAAGCTCTAGACCTTTACTGTTGTCATGGTTGCCAGAGGTTCTGCCTCAGCTCACTTTATGAAGTAATCCACAACAACGATTGCAAAGCTAGTCTGCCCTTTTCCCTTAGACATAGGTCTGATCAAATCTAGCCCCCATTGTGCGAATGGCCAAGGGCTAGTCACTGTGGTGAGGCGCTTGGGTGGTTGGTAGGGTATGTTTGCGAAGAGCTAGTAGGCCAAAAGTATCCTCGTCGTATAACCTTGTTTGTCATTGATTGGGCCGCAGCATGGTCACCACATATCCCTTCATGGATTTCTTGGAGGGCTTCCAATTCTTTCTCCAGAGTTACACGTAATAATAGGGGTAAGGAATGACCTTGCTTGTATAGCTTTTCCCCTATGATGACATAGCGAGTAGCTCACACCTGGATTTTTTGGGCTTGGACCTTACCTTGGGGTAGGATGCCGTTGGTGAGAAAGTCCCGCATAGAGTCATCTAGTTTGGAGCTTCGTCCAAGGCCATAATTGTGCAGTCAGTCTAATCGATGCTTTTTTTTGCCAAGTACTTGATTGGGATTTTTCGAGTGAGCTCCCAATCCCGAGCTAAGGCGAGTCGAGCTAACGAGTCAGCTCAGGTGTTCTCCTTATGTGAGATATGGGTGATTATATAGGTCCGAAAAGAATAGAGAAGGTTTTTGACCTTTTGGACATAAGCGGTCATGTACTGCAACTAGCCTGGTACTCGTTCGTGGCTTGGTTGACCACAAGTTATGAATTGTCATTGACATTGAAATGAATGGCCCCTAGTTCTTTTGTCAAACGGAGTCCGACGAAGAGGGCTTTGTACTCTGCTTCATTGTTGGAGGCCTGGAATCGAAATCAGAGAGCATATTTCACCGCAATCCTACTAGGAGAGATGAGAACCAATCATGTGCTGCTTCCCTGCAAGTTAAATACATCATCCACATATATGGTCCATTGTGGTAGGCACGGGTCAATGGTAGGGGTGGTGTGTTACACTACTGGTGCTTAGGTTGGGATTGTATCAGGAGACCATGGTGCAATTACGAATGTTGGTGATGTAAATTCCAAGATAAAGTCAGTAACGGCCTGGGCCTTCATGGCCGTAAGTGGCTGATAGGTGATATCAAACTCTCCAATTCTATCGACCACTTGATTAACCTACCAAATGTTTCAGGCTTCCGCAGAACGTGGCTGAGTGGCTGATCGGTTAAGATAACGATAGAGTGTGTTTGGTAGTATGGTCCTAGTTTCTGAGCCTAGACGATCAGAGCTAGGGCTAGCTTTTCGATCTCTAAGTATCGAGTCTCTATATCGACCTCAAACCATAAAGCCCAAGAATTTGCCCGAGCCAACCCCAAATACATACTTAGCCAAATTCAATTTCATTCCATACTCTTTTAAGATGGCAAGGGTCTTGGCTAGGTTTGTGACGTGTTGGTCGACGTAGACACTCTTTACTAGCATATTGTCTACATACACTTCCATGCTATTACCAATATGCTAGGCAAATATATGGTTAACTAGTTGCATTTTTTAGTGCAAAAGGCATGACTTTATAGCAATATGTGCCCTAATCGGTGATAAAGGATGTGCTCTCTTGGTCGGCTGGGTGCATCTGGATTTGGTTATACCCTGAATAGGCATCCATGAAACTCAACAACTCGTGCTTTGTCGTAGCGTCAACCAGCTGGTTGATTCTTGGTAAAGGAAAGTTATCTTTGGGGCATGCCTTATTGAGGTTGGTGAAGTCAACACAGTCAACCAGCTGGTTGATTCTTGGTAAAGGAAAGTTATCTTTGGGGCATGCCTTATTGAGGTTGGTGAAGTCAACACACATCCGCTATTTGTCCATTTTTCGAACCATAACCAGGTTTGATAGCTATTTAGGATAATCTACCGAGCGGATGAAATTATTTTTTTTATAGCTTGTCTACCTCTATTTTCATGGTGACGTACCTGATGGTGTTGTATGCGCCGTGCTTTTGACGGATAGATCGGTATTGTGGGTCGATGCTAAGTTGGTTAGTGATTAAATTCGGGCTTATTCCCCTCATATCGTCATAGGACCAAGCAAATATGTCACTATTTTCTTCTAAGAACTTCATAAGTTCTTAGCGGATCTCTTGTGTCACCTGTGAGTCGATTCTTAAGAGTTGCTCCAGGTGATCAGGAAAATGCATTATTTGTTCTAGCTCTTCCACCGATTGTGGATTCATGGGGCTGATTTCTCCTTGAGGATTCACAACCACAGTATGGTTGGAAATAGTGCTACCATTTGTATCTACGTAGAAGGCTTTATAGGTTATCTTGGTTTTCAATTTAACTGAGGTGGCATAACAAATCCGAGCTGATTCCTAATTTCCCCTCACGATGCCGACCTTATAAAGCGTAGGAAATTTGATCAGCAGTGCTCTCATGTTGATTGATAGGTTGAGGTCGCCAATTAAGGGCAGTCGAGGATGACATTGTATGACGAAGGACATTCAGCCATGATGAAGTCAGTTGTAATGCTGACGCATCTTGAATGCACACCTATTGATAAGGTGAAGGGCATGTGCTCGATGGGCTGTATATGTCCTCCACCGAAAGCAACGAGGGCAGGGCACCTTCGGTCGAGAAGATCTTTGCTAACCCCGAACTACCGGAAGACGTCGAGAAAAATGACATTGATCAAACTACCCCTATCCAAGAATACCCGAGCCACCTCAAAATGAGCAATCTGGGCGGTGATGACCATGGGGTCATGGTGGGGGAAGGTAACATCCACAGTATCACTCTCTGTGAATGTGATTGGCTCAAACCTTATCTTGGGAGTTTTAGGCGGACGCTCCACTGTTTCAACCGACATCATCTCAGTAGTTCCTTGTCGATACACCTGGGCATAACTTTTGATGGCTCGGTTTGAGTTCCCTACTAAGGTTGATCCCCTGGATATGGTCGATATAAATACCCAAGATGTTTCAGGCTTATCGTTGACATCCCTATGCTCGTGGTCGCTGGTAAAGGCCGCCTCTCCTGCTACATATTCCCTCAGCTTTCCTCATCTGATCAAAGCTTCAATCTCCTCCTTGAGTTGGTAGCAATCATTCGTATGGTGGCCATGAGCGTAGTGATACTTCTAATACTTGCTATCATCTCTCCTTCCGCGGTATGAGAACCTTATTTTGCTTGGGTTGGGAGCTCATTGGCTATTACAACGAGGATCTCTCCCTTAGACTTATTTAGAGGAGTATAATTAGTGTACTGATTATGCTTCTTGAGTCTGACCTCGCGGCATCAAGCTGACGCCCCAAGTTCTCTTTTCTTCATTTTATCTGATTGATTGTATGCATAATCATTAGGTCTCTTCTTTTTGTGTTGATATGGTACCAGGGCGTTTGGGTTTGGCCCGGCAATTGCTTTTTTTACTAAGTTTAGTTGTTCAAGCCTTGAGTAGTTGGTGGCTTCACGAAGGAGGTCCTTGCATGTCTCTGAGGGGTTCCTGGTAATGGAAAAATAGAAGTTCCCCCCTTAGAGTCCACCCATCAACCCGTTGTGCACCGTTTCCTCGTCGCAACCTTCACATTGTGCCTACTCATTGTTCAATTGGGTGATATAATCCATGAGCTTCTCGTCAAAAAGCTGTCTGACTGTCGATAAGTCGTTTGCAGTGTATAGCCAATCTGAAATGATCATGTATCGTTCTAGGAAGACTTTTCTGAGCTCGACGAAAGAATTGATTGATTTTGGAGCGAGCCGCTTAAACCAGCTCGTGATGGGGCCTTTGAGCGTTGTTAGGAACATGCGGCACTTGGTCACTTCATTCGCGTCGCACCCTTCAATGGCATAACGAAAATTATCCAGGTGGTCGTAAAGATCGGTCATTCCATCATACATGGGGATCTTTGGGGCCTTTGAATCTCCTATTACTCTGGCCTCTAGTAGGTCCTGGGTATAAGGTAGCTGGATTTCCTCCTTGGTGAACTCTGGTCCTCTGGGCATTTTTGATTTCTCTACCTGCCCAAGCTGATCCCAAACACTTCTTAACTCGCCAATAACCAAATCCCTAAACACGAAGGTGATGTTGCTGACGTCCTCCTCAGTGGCGCTCGTACCGACCCGGGCTTTATCCTTCTACAAGCTTTCCACCAGACATTTGTTGCGCTTCCACCAGGCTTTTTTGTTTCCTTCCATATAACCCTCGCATCGGTTGTTGCCTACCTCGGTACCTTAGCCTCCTTTGATTCGGACAAGGTCTCGCTGGTATGCTTGGTATTGGTCTACTTCTGGTTTCGTTGTGAGCTCACCTTATCTACCAGTTTGATATGGCTTTCCTATAGTATTTCATTTTGCGCGCGAAGGCTATTGTTAAGGTTTTGGATGTCCTTCACGCACTTAAAGATTCGGTTCATCTTGTCCTCCAAGTTTTTGAAACTATCCGTTCGTTATTTCTCCTTCTTCCGTCTATGAATGTTTCTCTTAGCTGTAGCTAAGGGGGCCTTCCTTCTAAGATGCTGACTCTTCGGCATAGTTTGGTATTGCTTATGTCAAAGCTCGTTTGGATGAGGGAATGTTACTTCTGTTTGCAATAAGTTCCCACATACGGCCCCAAATGTTGATACGGAGTCTTTCCTATAATATATGGGGTCCTAACTTGGGTCAAGACCACGGCGTGCCCTGGACTGTGAGGTTGGGTTGATCTTTCAAGCTTACTTGCACACTTCAAGCAACTATCAGAAGAGGAGTAAACTGGCTATGCACTAGTCGAACCCCCTCTGATGTCTAAGTTAGAAATGAGTTTAGAGTACAAAGATGGATAGAGAGTTTTTGGATGATGATATTTATCACCTTTGTCTCAATGCAGGTGAAAAGTATTTATAGAGAGAGAAGGAGATATCACATCTCCTTAAATATTGACAAAAAAATGATCTTTAGCCATTCCCAATGATGGGACTGAAGAGTGGTTATGAGCACCAGTCACTATGTTAATTATCAGGGATCAAGTAGCAAGGCAGCACCTAGCTTGGATGCGAAGCGCATGAAATGATCCATTTCAGTCACCATGCTGGTATTAGGTGCGTGAAGTGACATGGCCTAATAGGGATCTAGTCGTATTAGAATATTAGCGCTTCTGCCTTTTCGGTCACAAGACATCACAGTGGACCTGGGGCGGTCAATTTGGCCAGGTCGGTACATGAGCACCAAAACTCTAGGTCGCGCGACGTCTTCTGATAAGCCCGGTTGGAAGGCCTACTAGTAGTACCTGGGGTGGTCAACCTGGTCGGGTCGGTATATGAATGACCTAGCCTTTCTTGGCCACGTGGTGCTTTCTGATAGCCTTGGCTATATGACCCATTAACAAACTTAATAAGTAATTACATAAGATGACGTGCTTAACATTAATTATCATATAATTAGTTGGCTTTAAGGGCACACTACTAACATTTAATTGAGTGGTGCTTTGGTGTATTGAAAGCACGTTTTCTAATTTTGAAGTTGATGCCTAATTACCCTCCATGTAGACAACGACGTATCCCTATTGCATGTTATGTGTTACATAATTTTATCAGAAGGGAAGCATGTCATGATAAAATGTTTGAAGAGTTTCAAGTAGAAGACATGATTGTTGATGATAAAAATATGGCAACACCAAATATAGATATGTCTTTAGGAAATATTGCACACACCATTAGAGATAAGATTGCAATAGATTTATGGAGCAATTTTACTCAAGGCTCTTGATTTTGTTGTAATATTATATAATTTTTATAATGATCACGTTAATGTAATATTTTGTCTAGAGATTTGGGGCCTGTTCGGTAGCGTTTTAAGAGGTTGTTTTCATTTTCAAAGAACAAAAATTAGGCAAAATCACGTTCGGTGGCCCAAAAACAAAATACACTGAGAATGCTTTTATAAAATGAAAACAAGTTTATGTGTACTTGTAGAAAACATAAAAAAGTTGTTTTCATTCTCATGGGAAATGTTTTCATAAAAATAACTCACATATTATTATTTCAAATTGTACTACCACACATGTTTTCATTGTTTATGTTTTTTGAAGATGTTTTCTAATTAATCTACCAGAAGCATTTTCACTTCTTGAAAATGTAAATTCGTTTTCTTTTTTTCATTCTTTAAAAATATTCTAAAAAAACATTCTCCGAAAACATTACTAGACGGGCTCTTGTATGGCTAGGAAAACCTATTTTGCTTGTCTTTACAATGATAACTTGGAGGAACATATAAGATCATGGAATTGTGTTTTGGTTAATTCTTAATATAGTTTTTTAGTCAAATTTTATCTAATTGAGTTTAGGAAAATATGTTTGGGTCATTAATATCCATAATGGAAATTGAGTTTGACTAATTATATATATAAATTAATCAAAATATTATGTCAAAAAAATGAATTTAAAAATCCTTGTATCAAATGCATATTCACTGTTTTTATCATTTTCATTTATTGCTGCCAAATGCGTTTCCACTGTTTTTGTTCTCCGAAACTGTTTTTCATACTAACTACCAAACGCATTCTCGAATCTTAGAAATGCATTTTCGTTTTCTAAGAATATTCTACCAAAATGATTTCCGAAAATGTTACCAGACGAGCTCTAAATAACATATAACATTAAGAGTTTGAATTTGAAACTACATAAAGACTTTGTCTAACAAGAATTTAATATTTTAAAACTTCTACTTTTTTGGAATTTTAAAAATGATAACTATTAAGATAGAATTTAAAGTTAGGATTCATGACTTTTAAATTTCATATGTTATTTCCACGTGGAATTTCTAAATTCCTATGTTTTTGGTGTATGTCAATTTAGAAATTCTGACTTTTGTCCAAATTCCAACCCAAATTGACTTCCCCCCATCAAAACACTACAAAAGTTAGTTTTTTTTTTAAAGTACAAAAGTTAGTTTTTTTTTAAGTACAAAAGTTAGTTTAGTTAGCATTTTAGATTTTTTTTAGTTCACCAGTAAAAAAATAATGATATGTTCATTTAAGCTCTGATTAAATACTATGGTTTCACATTAATAATGTGTGGAAAAAATCTTGATTTGAACATTTAATATATATATATATATCTATATATTTTAGATGAAGAAAATGTAACTTTTTTTTTCTTTTCTTTTTTATATATGATATTGTAAACTATCTATAGAAAGGAGAATTTGAACTCAATGTCATACACTACAATCATACCTCTTCTATTTGCGGAAGGCCATCATCAAGGTGCTAGGTTTTAATGTCGGTTATTATTTTTATTTTTTCAGAAAAATAATTTAAGAAATAACCATCATACCTCTTCTAATAAAATTATTATAAAAAAGAAAATAAAAAAAGAGAGAGCCATCGAGACAAAGCCCAAGGTAAACCCTTAAATCCCAACCCAAACCTTTGTGCCTTTCCTCATCTACACAGAGAGAGAGAGAGAGAACGAGCACATTCTGAAGAGGTAACTAGAAGCGTTGGAACTGAGAGAAAATCAGCTATGGCAAGCGCAGACGTAGAGACCGTGGACTTCGATTTTCAAGAAGACGATCTCATGGACGAGGAAGGAGCCGCCGACGCCGAGCCCTCGGCGTCCCCTAGGGCCCCACAACCCAAGCTCAAGTCCGCAATCACCGGCGTCGGCGCGTCCGCCTCCCCCGCCGCCCCTAAAAAGACTAAAGGTCGCGGATTTCGTGAAGATCTCAATGCCGACCGCAACAACCGCCTCGCTGCCTCCGACTTCGACTCCCTAAACTCCTCAGACGGCCTCGAACCCCAACGATGTAAGTCCTATCTCTCCCTCTCTCTCTCTCTCTCTCTCTCTCTCTCTCTCTCTCTCACACACACACACACACACACACACATATATGTCTCTCTCTCCTTTTGTGTATCTCTTTATGTACATCTTTGGTTTTTGTTGTGTTAGCGAAAGTTTGAATTTTTATAATTGATTGGTAGCTATGGTTTGACGAATCTTGGAGTTTTATCTGATAAAAAGAGTTTCTTGGTTGAAATTGTAGCTTGGGTTGTATGTTTTGGGGAAAATTTCACTTTTTAGAATCGATTGGTAGCTAGGGCTTTAGGATTTTTGGAGGTTTTTTTTTATCTTTCCCTGGTGAAAGAGGTCTTGATTGGATTGGTAGCTGGCATTGTAGAATTCTTCACTTTTGTTCACCCGGATTCATTGGGGAAATTTAAGCGGGTGTGTAAGTTTTTCAATTCAGTTATGCTAAAAAGTGATTAGGTTCTCGAAAGTTTCAGTTTTTTTGGTTCGGATTTTGGATTCCCATTCTTTAGTTTGAAGTTTGGATTTCTGCTTTTGAGTTTGGACATTGGATTTATGTCGAGGGATCATTTTGTGGAAGTATACTTCCGTTATTCACATATGTGTCTATAGAAGTCAGGGTCAAGCATATTTTCATGGTACACAGTTTTCAGCTGCTTTTTTTTTATCAAATGTGTGAGAGTGCAGTTTTAATAGGCCATGAATTTTGGAGGATAGTGCATGCCATAGAGCTCCTTAATTAGTGTGCCACAGCTGTAGGTTGTAGGTTGAACCAAATAACCATGTTTGTAGAAGACATTAATCTGTGGCAACGGTGAAAGTTTGGAGCATAGTGGCAGTCAAAATGTGTCTAAATAGTTTAAATTCAGTATAAAAATCTTTCGGCATGACTAGAAAGGAACAGTGAAAATGCATATGATGTGTAGAAAAGCTGGGTTTATGACTTTAATTTCTGGACTTTATGGAGCTTGTAAGAAAGTATGCCTTTTCATATTGAACTTTGGCCGGAACGTGATGAGAGAGAGATTCTTTTTTCCTTTTTTCTCTAGGTAAATTGAAAAAATAAAGAATATGGGAAACTCCTCCATGGAGCAGAAATCATTCAATTCCCATATTTTCTCAGTGTAAGTTGTGATATTTGTACTCAATTTCACTGCTTAATACTGTAAGTTCTTTCCTTCTTTCCAGGGAAAATAGGATCTCATTTTGTTGCACTTATGGGTCAAATCTTGTCTTGTGTATTACTTGCTGACTTTAAATGCTTGTCTAGGCTCTTAATAGAAACTTCCAGGGGCTAGCCTTCTTTTGTTAAGCATAGCCTACCATATGTTCAGTCTAGGTCTGGAATGCTCTTCTGCATTCTGTGTAAATAACAGGGTCCTAGTTCCTTGGAAGTCATGTTTTCCCTTCTCTGTGGTGCGGATATAGCCTCTTGGTCTGTTCATTATCTCACCTACCTCTTTGCAATATCTTTTTACCACTAGTTCAAATTTTAAACATTCAACTTCAACTGTAATGTCTTTGATTTTAACCTCGAGTGGGTAATATGTCCTTTCATAGAATTTGGGTAGGTGCCCTGTAATGCCACCTATTCAAGAAGCTGCCTGAATGGGTACCAAGTCAAAAATTCGTCCTTCATTTCCATTATTGATTTAAAACAAATTAAAAAGGATTATATTTACATATTTTTGGCCCACTCTTGCTTTCCATTTCGTGTTTGATTTCTTGCAGTAATGTCAAGACCTTTACAATTCAATTGTTCAGTATCCTTCCTGATTTTAATTCTGCTAAATCAAGAATGATAATCTTGTTTTCCAGTTTACATAGAACCTTTTTATGTATTTGTTAGAGTTTCATGTATTTTTGTAACCATAGGGTAAGGAGTATGTTTCCTACTTACATGTAGTTGGCATTGCTTCCCCTGAAAATTTCTTCTTTTCATTTTAAAAATGTCTGCAGCCGTTGAGGGATGGATTATTCTGGTCACTGGGGTACATGAGGAAGCCCAAGAGGATCATCTACATAATGCATTTGGTGAATTTGGAGAGATAAAAAATTTGCATTTAAATCTTGATCGCCGCACTGGGTTTGTGAAGGTACGATAGGACTTTCATTATGTATACTATGGAGTTTGGATATGCATTTTTTTTTTTTTTTCAATTATTTATTTTTTGGAATATTGTATCTTATTATTGAAATTTGTAAAACTAGGGTAATAAGTCATTCATCAGTTATAAACTATGGAGAATAACAGAACAACAGAAAGTAAAGAAAAATTATGGGTGAAATCTGTAACCTTGTGTAGAACAAGAATGGAAATTATCGGAATTTGTATTAAGCATGGAATTTTGAATTGAATGCTAGGAAATATGAGCTGTTGGATTGCCAGCCGTTTAAATTATAAGATTGTAAATTCTCATATTGTATGGTGCATATACATGTGCACATATGTAAATGTGTATGAGAGGTTAACTCTAAGAAATGAAGCCCAATATGCCAGATTGGCAATTCTCCTATTTAATGGGGCATATACTAAGCACATATGCATTATGCATATATGCGTGTAAGCAATTAACTCTAAGAAGTGAAGCCCAATAGGCCCATGACCTATTTGGACTGTTTAAAAAAGGAAATCAGAAACAGGCATATTCTTTTGAATAAGAAAAGGGTAAGGAAGAAAATTAGAAAGTTGCCTCTCTCTCTTTTTGTGTGTGTGTGCATATAAAGTAGCCCACATACTAGCTTGTCTCTTGGCCAATTCACTTCATCACTTTTGACTCGTTTCTAGAACATACTCTACAAACCACATCACCCACTTAGATCAATTCTGAAGCTTGATAAAAAAATTCAATTTTGCCTTAAAGAATCTAGTTGACTTTCATAAGGTAACAGCGTAGATGAGTTTACCTTCTCACCCTGTTCTCAGTTTTGGCACTTGGTATATTGGCCAGAATTATAACCTAAGTGTAGACTACATAATCTTTTCAGGCTATTAAGTGGTTACTGGCAACTTTGTATGCCCTGTATTATCTACCGAAGCCAATTTCTTGAAATGGAAACCCAAAACACCAGAATATCATTTTTGGTTGGAATGTCAACTTCGTGAAACGTCAACTGACATGAAATGGGAAGATGTTTCTCAAGCAAAAATTGACATGAAATGGAGACTCTTAAAATGGGGATTTTATTTAAGATCAGTAATATTTTGGTTTATTAATCAGGGGCTTGAGTGAGGTTGTAGGTTCATTCCTCACCAACATGAAAGCTAGAATAATATTGTGTTATCTGCATGGACCTTCCCTTACTTTGATTAAGCAACTCAACTGGAAGTTCTTACATCCTAATCACCCGAATGGGCTCAATTATGGAAAATGGTCTTAGGTGGAATGAAGATTTAAAGATGCTGAGTATTGTTGCCAGGATGTTAAATGCATATATCTATCTGTGATAAATTTGTTCCAGTAAATGGAAAGAATATTGACTTATTTCTGTATCAAAAGATTCGCAGCAGTTATCTTTCTCAAGCCGCATTCTTTTTGCATCTCATGATGAGCATTTAAACAATCTAATGAATTAATTGTTTGAGCCTAAATTTCTTCATTAAGGTAATTTTTCTAGTTTATTTTTGGAAAAATCAATATTCATACGACAATATGGGATGATTAGAAAGCTATTTGACAACCTAATGAACTAATAGTTGTTTCTTGCTCTTGATTTGATGATGCATTTGGGAGTAGTTATATCCTTAAAGATAATATTGGATGAGTCCGTCAAATGACGCATCATTAGATATTGTTTTGACTGGTTGAGTCCATCAAAAGTTGATAATTGTTTTTAAGTGACTTATTGTGAATTATTTTTGCTGCTAGGGATATGCGCTGATTGAATATGAGAGTTTTGAAGAGGCACAAGCTGCGATATCTGGAATGAATGAAGCTGCATTACTTACACAGATTCTTAATGTTGATTGGGCCTTCAGCAATGGATCCTTCCTTGATGGATCCAGGAAGAAGACCACAAGGTTTTACATTGCACCTAATTTTCTTGTGAAATTCTTAAGGGATGATTCTTTTCACATAAAAAGAAGTTCTAATTGCATATTTAAAGAGATGAATGTGTTTGCCAATAATTAATTCACATCTCGGAGTTTAGAAGAAACTTAGGCCATTTTTGCATTTTTTTAACTTTAGGTTATTCATAGACATGGCCTGTGCTGCAGTGTTTTCATTTAAATTAAAAGTGGTGCTCCTTTGATGCGGGCAACTGTTAATAGAATTGTTTTAGATGGTGGAGAATGTTCCGCCCCTAGTTACCCCTGCTTCACACTATCAATATATTTGTATATCTCTTTTGTGATTGTCCCTTAAGGTGCGGTCTCTTTCAACCTGGATCCAATGCTTGATGCCTTGAACTTTGATTACCAGTAGAACAAGGACTTTTCTGATCCTATAGGGACCTTCTTAAGACCTGTACAATGTCTTCTGTTACTGATCTGTTTAGTCCCGTCAAGATTACTGTTTTATCATACATACTTAGTGTAGTTCTCAAACTATAGGGGGGAAAAAAATCCGTCACCTATCAACTGTTAATGTCGGGTGCAATAACTGTTGGCTCCGGGTTTTTTTTCTTCAAAATAGTGCTAAGTGCTTTTGACAATGAAAGAGAGTTTTGAGGGACTTATTTGTGAAGAGCCCTATATGATATAAGTTATAACTTAGTTCTAAGTGTATGGTTTTCTTTAAATATCTTATGCTGACGTTTGTAATTTTTGCAGACCTCTACGAGAACGTCGTTCGAGGAGCCCCCCTAGGAGGAGATACTAATGTGGCATGCATAGTTCTGTCATGAGGGGGCTTGGATTTTGAACAGTGGGTTGGATATTTTATCATTGAGTTACTAAAGATTTGGGTTGATGTGTGGAATTCACTTATTTTATGGATTCATCTCAATTTGCCCCGGAGCTCTCACCTTTTTTTCCCCTTATTGTATGCATTCGAAGTGATTTCCCAGTTTAGTCATGGTTCTTATTAACATGAGTATGTTTCTCTAGCGTGATTACTTTATCTGACTTTGAAGATGCTGCTAAGACCATAATTTTTGTAATTGTAATGTAGATTAACCTTAATTTATCTTTTCAAGTTTTTTTTCCCTCGTTTCTTGCCCACCTCAATTGTTGTATGTTATGCTGATAATGTCATGTGGCTTTTGTTTTGGAACATTATAATATGATTATGAACTGTTGATGGGGAATATCTCATTCCATGGCCGAAGGTGGAGGCAGCCAATGCTGGAATCTATGATATGTTGTAGAGTCTCTGCAGTTCTTGCAATAAGTAGGTGCAGCCAACCGTCCGGTGGTTGCCAACTTCACTAAGGAAAGGGTTCTTTGAGGAGTGAACTCATGGAAGCAAAATCAAGGAAGTCACAATAAGAGTTATCTTGGGTACACAGGTGATGATCGGGTATATATTGTACCAAGGAGTAGCATTCCAAAGGCGTAAGAAGACTAAAAACTGTGTTAGAAGAGGCTAGGCGAAGGTCAAGAAGCAATAAATTCTTTCAGTGGTACTTTCTTTTTTAATGTTGGAAAATGTCATAAATTCGAATCTCCCCCCCTTGTTGATTGCAAAAAAAAATTAAAAATTGTCAAGACCCAATGTTCTTAGATGATGGTTATGGTTATGGTGATGGCGGTAACAGAGGTGGTGATGCTGACAACAGTGGTGTTGATAGTAACTATATAGTAACAGTGGTGGTGCTAGAAGGGAGTGGGAGATGAGGTGCAGTTATTAGGGGGGTTCGGTGGTGGAGACGGGGATGGTGCTAGTGGCAGAAAGGGTTGTGGGAGCGGGGTGATGGTTGGCTGTGTGGGGGAGGTTGGCTTGTCCTATATTTCTTTTTTTGAAAGCTACGAACTCAATGAAATTTTGAGGTTGGAATTTATGATCCCTAAATTTCACATAATTTCTATATTTTCTTTTTAATGATCGAAATGATTTTAACTTGGAACAAATGAGCCAATGGTTTCATGGCTCAATGATAAAAGCATTTGCTTGTAGATCAGTGATCTCATATTCGAATCCCGCCGACCCTCCCTTCCAAACTTTGACCCCCAAAAAAAAACTTGGAACAAATGCCATCAAACCTCGTTGTTTCAAGATTTTTGTGTTCAAATACCAAATGGGCCCATACCACCTAACAAAATTGATATTGATTATTTTTTCCAGATCTCAACTTTCCCTGAAATATTGATTTTTTATATAAACTTTTAATGCCCTGAGTTGAATTTTCAAATCTAAATCCAAAAAGTGTTTTGGAATGTCCATCCGAACCTATAAGCCCACATGGTTTATTTTGGGAGTGTGATTAAAGAATGCACATGAATAAAAGCGAGTGATCTTACTGTTCCCCCTTTCTAATTTTTCTTTGTTTTTTTTTCTTTTTTGGTTCGAGTTGCCCTTTCTACTCTCGAACCAGGTTGAATCCCTTCTCCCACTTTGTCTATTTTTGTCTCTTTCTGTAAAGACAACAAAACCTCGAAATTAATATTTTTTAAAGAAAGAGAGACGAAATAATGAACGAGAGAGAAAGTAGAGAGAAAGTACTGAGAGAGAGAGAGAGAGAGAGAGAGAGGTTGCTGCTGCTTGTGCAGGGTTTTTGTACTGTCATCAAAGTTGTGGTTCTAAAATTTGTAAAATAAAAGAGGAGCAGCAAGAGCAGCAGCAGCATCAAAGCACCTTTGAATTGATACTCTCTCTCTCTCTCTCTCTTCTTCTTCTCCTTCTCCTTCATCAAATCATCCTCAAAGTTCAAAACCCGCTACTTGTTAAGCTTACTCCTTGAGCTCATCGGAGTAAATAAAGTTTCACCTACTCATTCATATATTTGCTTCTCTATTTCTATGGCCTTACAATGATTACACTAAAATAATGATCTGCCCATTATTGCTTCTTTCTCTTTTTCTTTGAATTTTTATAAATTAGCAAGGGCCAGCTTCACACTCTACTCTCCTCTCCTCTCTCTCTCTCTCTCTCTCTCTCTCTAGGACACTCAAGTGTTTCTTTTTTTTTCTCCATGGATTCTTATGAAGCTACTAAGATAGTTTACTCGAGGATCCAAAGTTTGGATCCAGAAAATGCCTCAAAAATCATGGGGTTCCTTTTGATACAAGACCATGGTGACAAGGAGATGATACGCTTGGCATTTGGACCAGAGACTCTGCTGCACAATCTCATCATCAATGCCAAAACCCAACTTGGCCTTCTTCAGTCAAAACCCAACTCTGCTACACCTTCTTCTCCTTCAACCTTCAACCCCATCTCAAGGCCCAACCCTTTGTCCCTGTCCTCCATATCAAATCCCTCCTCCCCATCTTCAAACCTTTGGAGCCTCAGCAATCCCATGAGCCCCAGCTCCACTTCTTCACCCTCTTATGCCAATATTGTTAGCAAAAACAGTAACCCTGGTTCTGTTTCTGGGTCTTTGTTGTCACCCACCATATCATCATCATCTTTATCTTCAGCCTACCATTCTTCTACCAGTGAACTTGCTGAAAAATACCAGCTTCAGAGCCATCTTTCTTTCCTCAGTGATCCAAAGACTGATGATTTGTTTGATGGAAGCCAAAGTGCTTATAGCAGTTCACTGCAAAAGCAAAGTTACTCTGTACCCAGCATGTGTTTCGGAGCTGAAGATGTAAATTCTGGGGTTGGATGGAAGCCATGCTTGTATTACTCAAGAGGGTTCTGTAAAAATGGAAGCAGCTGCCGTTTTCTCCACAGTGGCTCCATTAACGCTGATGGTGCCTCCGTTGATGTTGGTTCTCCTAGCAATGTCAATGTACTTGAGCAGTGTCAAGAGTTACTCAGATCCAATGCTGCTACCCAGCAGCAGAAACAAGCCGCAGTCTCACATTTTATGGCTGGTGGTACTTCTTTTCCATACAACAAGTGCATGAATTTTTTTATGCAGCAACAAAATGACACTAAAAGGTATAATGCTTGTAATTCTGCAAGAAAAAGTATTATGTTGCTTTTTGAATGAGTTTTGGTCTTGGATTGGTTTGTTAATGGGGAATCTTTGGTTGCATTTTGATGTGTTTCAGGTCAGCGACATCTACATTGATGATGGGAGATGAGCTTCACAAGTTTGGGAGATACCAATATGAGAGAAATGACATTTCAACTTTAACTTTGGGAGGAAATGTTAATCACAGTTCAAGGCAGATCTACTTGACATTCCCAGCTGATAGTACATTTAGAGAAGAAGATGTCTCTAATTATTTTAGGTAAAATTACTGATCATTTTGTTTCTAGCAATCTTATGATGAAGTGTTCGACATTGAGGACTTGAACTAAAAGCATAGTTTCTTTGTATAATTATGTGGTTTTGAAGCATTTATGGACCAGTTCAAGATGTGAGGATTCCATACCAGCAAAAGAGGATGTTTGGATTTGTTACATTTGTGTATTCAGAGACTGTGAAGATTATTCTGGCTAAAGGGAACCCTCATTTTGTCTGTGATTCGCGGGTGCTTGTGAAGCCTTACAAGGAGAAGGGGAAAATACCAGACAAGTAAATAGCAATTTTGAGTCTTCTGGTTTGTCTTGTTTTACAAATTTTGCCCTCTTTCCACATTGTTTATTTTTGCTTTGAATTACACATTTTCAGGAAGCAACAACACCAGCAGTTGGAGAGGGGAGACCATCATATCTGCACAAGCCTGTCTGGGATTGATTCTAGGGAGCCTTCTGACCTCAATCTTGGTAAGAAAATACGCAAACTAATTTTATTCCTTTGATGGTGTTAAAAAATTCCTATATATTGAGGATTTGTGTTAAAAAATTCCTATATATTGAGGATTTGTTTTGATTTGATCTCTTTGTAGGATCAAGAATGTTTTACAATACCCATGAGATGTTAAGAAGGAAATTAGAGGAACAAGCTAATTTGCAGCAAGCCATTGAACTCCAAGAAAGAAGGCTTATGAACCTGCAACTTCTAGGCATCAAGAGTAACAATCATCATCATAATCAACATCAATACTATCATGGTCTTTCAGAAGGGTCTCCATTTCCCTCACCAACTTTATCTCATACACCCAAAAATCAATCCCTCATTGTTTCACCAAATGGGAATAAAGAAGAAGTCCTAGAAGGTTGGCTAATCAATATGTTCTGGAGTTCTTGATGTAAAAAGAGAAGCTAATTCAGGGTGGTTAAGTCATTTCTGTTTCATTTGTTGATATTACATTTCGTGCAGAATTTGAAGGTAGTCTAGCTGAACAACTGCAGCAGGAGATGGTGAATCCAGCTTTCAATCTCATTGACCATGGGAGTGAGGATGACAATGGCAATGACTTCGACCTCCTTGAATGGTATTAAACTTTTATGTATTCAGTCAGCAGAATTATATTTTTGGTCAGAATCTATTCAATTTTGAGATTAATGTGTTTTTTTGGTTTCAAATTTGGTTTCAAAAACAGTATGGAGCACATTCTGCCTGATAACCTCTTTGCTTCTCCAAAAAAATCAGCTGCTGACCAAATAAATGCCTTCTCAACTACTACTTCTGCAGAAGTCAGTACTGAAAGCACCAGAGTCACAACCATTTCTTCTTACAACAATAATAATAATTTACTGCCCACCACCTCTACCTCCTCCAATGCAAATGCAACTTCCCCAAAATCTGTTCTCTCAAAATGCCCAGGTACTGCTTTCCCTATTTAACAAAATATAGCAAAAACACACACTTACTACTAAAAATCCATGGACAGAATAAATTGGTAATTTTAACTTTTTAGGTTTTCTTTTGGGTATGGAACCATTGGAATGTAATTAAGCATGGCCAGCAGCAATGGGGAGATTGACTTTGCTAGGGTAAGCACTTCAATCTCACACAAGATTTTTGTAACCAATTGCAATTCTGGTCAAAGGGATTATTGCTGATGATAATACTTAATTTGTCCATTTTTTCCTACATTGCAGAAACAATTGAGAAGCATATACAAGGAAGGAAAAACAGATCCTCTAGCTATATAGCCAAAAGCATACCTACATCAAAAGACACTTCTAGACAAGATCTCAGCAAGATCACTACTGTCATTAATATATTTATATATATAAATACTGTTTAGAATAATACATAATTGTATACATAAAAGAACAAGATGGACTGATTTATTGGAGTGGGGTCTATTTACAACTCTGTACCCTCTCTCTCTAGGTATGTGCTGGACCACAGCAAGTAGCAATGTAACATAGCAACAAAGGGCTAGTAGTATGTGATTTACTTCATCTTTTACCATCTCTCTTTTTGTGTTGTGTGAGGTGTGTTTAGATTTTTTATCAGAGACCTGATTCTTGTGCAGACCCAATAAAGGGTGAGCAACAGTAGCAGAGGCATAACTATTGTACTGAAATGGAGCCCCCAAAGGGGCAAAAAAGTAGTGGGGGATGACTAAGTGGAGGGTAAAAGCTGTGTCTCTGCCACCATCTTTAGTTTTTTTGTTGTCTTTATTGCAGCATCTATCTATCTAGCATTTTAGATTTTGAAATAGGCAGAACAGAAAAAGAGGACTTTTAGATAATTTTTAAAATTAAATAAAATATTTGAGGGGGTTAAAAATAAAAATTATAAAAAGAAAAGTTGTTCTTTCATGTGAGTAAAGGCTTTCTTTCTTTAGGGGACTCTTTTGTCTCATTTTGTGATTTCTTTTTTAGATGGATGTGAAGGGGTAAGGGCCACACTCTCACATGGGTTCCTGACACCATTTGAATGGTATCTGCCTATCTGGGTACCACGCACCCCTTTCCCTTTCAGTTTCAGTGCCTTTAACCCCCTTTCTGATTTTAACATTTGCTTCTGAATTTATTTTTTTTTATTTATGGGTTTTTATTCCCATGTGTTTTGGTATGGTTTGAAAAGTTCAAATGATGGATTTGAGTTCATGCTTAGCGATATCTTGCCTGTTGATGTGTCCAAATCTTAGGGTCTGCCTCCTTCTAAACAACACCGCTTGAAGCACTGTTAATATGGACAGCACATCATTACGAAACAAAAAAACAGAGAGAAAATAGTTGTTGTAGGGATTGATTGATGACCAATTTTTGGGTTATCAATTAGTAGAGGAACTTTTCATGAAAAAATAAAATAAAAATTAAAGCAGAGAGCAACTTCTGTGTTACGTGTGCAACACATGCATTTTTCGGTCGTGTGATGAGCGAGATAAACGCAAAAGTACATTAAACCAGTGACACAGAAGTTATTTTCCTTACTCAGAAGCTTTTGAGCACATGAATTATATCATGGAAAAGTTTCTCATACCTGGATTACTGACCAACTTGTAGGAGTTTGTTGTTGTGGATGGTATTGTTGCCGATGTTTAGCCCAACATGTAGAGATACAGCAGGACCACTATAAAGATAGTCATGTTGGATAAGTTTATTAGTGTGTTGTTAAAACAGTGCTGCCCCTTGATGTGGTTAAGATGTCAGCATCATTAGGGACCCAAATTCTTGCAAATAGCTGGCCACCTCAATATGGTGTTATGGGCCTTTTTGTTCCGCAGTTTGCGTATTTGGAAATTAGTTTGATTTATATTGTGCTTAGTGTAGTGTCAAAATCAACCTAATGAGGAGATTAGTGAAATTTTCCATGTCATTTTTTTGTGGCATGCTTGTTTCTAGTGGGGAGCTTCATGTAGCTGTTATATCAAATTGTCACAATCACAAAGAGAGAAAAAAATCATCATATGAAATTTTTTAATATGTTTCTCATGATTATTAGTAGATTGATTATAGACCGGTGTTGCTAAGTTTGTGCACTTTCTTGTGTGCTTTGTGATTCCTTTATCAACTTTAATCATGGAGACTCGTGAATAGCATGGTAATTGTTTAACCAAAACTCAACTCTTTTTGGGTTTCCTGGTTTTTTTTTCCTAATGTCGTATCTAAAATGAAAATTTTACCTTATGTTCATAATATGAAAAATGGTTGGCAGCTATGAAGTTTGAGTTAAATTCAATGGAGAAAAAAATGAAGTATGGGAATTGGTTCCATTGCCTTAAGGATGTCGACCTATAGGGTGCAAGTGGATTTATAAAACTAAAAGAGACTCAAAGGGTTCATTGATAGATATAAAGTTAGAGTAGTATCTAAGGAATTCACAAAGCAAGAAGGAATTGATTACAATGAAACTTTCTCTCTAGTCTCTACAAAAGACTCATTTAGAGTTTTGTTGGCTTTAGTTACTCATTTCAATATGTATCTCCACCAAATGGATATAAAGACTGGATTCTTGAATGAAGATCTCTATGAGGAGATCTACATGAGGCAGCCTGAGGGTTTAATTCAAGAAGGGAGAGAGGAAATGGTGTGCAAGTTAAGAAAATCTATTTATGGACTGAAACAAGCTTCTAGACAATGGTATTTAAAATTTGATGAAGTGCTGAGGTCTCATGGCTTCACTGAAAGTCTTTTGGATGTGTTTTTATATTAAAATTAGTGGGAGAAATTTTATTTTTTTCTCATACTTTATGTGGATGACATACTATTGACAAGCAAGAATTTGACACTACTACATGATGTTAAAGTGTTTCTATCTCAAGATTTTGACATGAAAAATCTTGGAGTAGCCTCTTATGTACTAGACATTGCAATCAATCTTGATAGGGAGAGAGGTTCACTTGGCTTATCTTGGAAAGGGTACATAGAGAATGTGTTGAAAATGTTTAATATGGTACCGTGTTAAGGAGACAAACTAAGCAAGGAGCAATCACCACAAACTGAGCAAGAAAAATTGGAGACGGTAGATAAACCTTATGCTTTATTGGTGGGCAGTTTAATGTATGCTCAAGTTTGTAATAGACATGACTTGGCATTTGCAGTGAGTATTCTGGGTCAATTTCAATCCAATCCAGGTCAAGCACATTGGGTAGCTGCAAAGAAAGTGTTAAGGTATGTGCAGAGAACTAAAGATTGTAACTTAGTTTATAAGGAAAGTGATAATTTGGAGTTGGTAGGTTATACTTATGCAGATTTGGGAGGTTGGTGGACTCATTGAAGTCTACTTTTGGTTATGTCTTCTAATTTGGAGAAGGAGATGTTTCATGGAAGAGTGTGAACCAAACAATTACTGCAACTACAACAATGCAGGTAGAGTACATTGCATGTTATGAAGCAACAAGTCAAGCTATTTGGCTTAAGAACTTTTATCACAAGTCTGAAAGTTGTAGATTCTATTGAAAGCCCAATTCAAATTTGGAATGATAACAATGCTGCAATTTCCTTTACCAAAAGCAATAAAATGTCATCAGGAACTAGGCACTTAGCATTCAAATATTTGTCAGTAAGAGAGAATGTCAAGTTTGGCTTTGTAAGGATTGATGACATTGACACTCACTTGATGATAGCTAATCTATTCACTAAAGGTTTGCCAAATGGTGTTTTCCATGGACATATCAGAAACATGGGATTAGTGTCGAGTTTTGATAGGCTGGATTAGTGGGAGTCATGTTTTAATTCTGTTCATGTTGGTGGTTTTTGTTTGATGTTAATATTGCAGACAATGTTTTAACTAGTGTAGTTTAAATTTTCACTAGTGTTTGTGTTTTTGATTCAGTGATAAAGTGTATTTTCTATGAATGTTTGTCTGTTATTAGTTTTACTATGACAAATAAATTAAGTAGTATCGATATGGAGTCAAAGCTAGCTTCATTAACTGGACAAGATATATATTCATGAAAGTGTCGAGTTGTTTTTGCAGAAAAAGAGATTGTTCAATCTCATAGGGTGGATTGATGATGATAATGATATCAAGACACACTTAAAGTTAGTCATGTTCATCTTTTGGTTCTAATTATGATGAAGTTTGTGTGATAATTGAGACTATGTGTGTAATTGTAAAGATCGTGAGCATTTACTTCTCAAATCATCTTGATAGTTTCATGCAGTTTTGATATTGATTGAGGCCTAATAGTATAATTTGATTCATGAGAGCTCAATGGCAATAAAGTAGTCATACAAGAAGCCTTGATGATTATTTGATCAAGTGGAAGAATGTAAAATGTATTTATGTGTTAATCCACATAAGTGTGATATTCTAATCATCATATAGGAGATCCAAGTTATTGTAATGACCAAGGAGCTTGATGTAAATCAGACTTTTGATTATAAGGAAGTTGTGTTTAATTGCATTCCTAAAGCCAAAAGGTTTCCTATGTTCAATTAAGTTAGAGCTCCTAATACCAATGCAACTAAGAGATGTCGAGAGTTTCTTGATGGACAAGAAACCTTAATGATGCATATAAATACATAGTCCATACTCAATCGATCACCACTACTCGAGAGAACTCAAACCCTATTTGCAAGAGAGTATTAAGGATAGGCATTAAGGAGAAGTACCTTGTGTTGCAAGCCATCTTCAGAAACATCATCAACGGCGGTGAACAAGGTTAGTGTTCTTTGATATGCATCCTTAATGGTTTACATATAGATGATATAGTACTATCTGAGTTCTATGACCCATGTAGGTAACCTTTGTGATGCATCTAGGGTATAAAGTATAGTTCCAAGTAGATACTCATTAACAATAATAATTCAAAAAGATTGGAAGTAAGGCCTCAATCTTCTTGTGGAAATAACAAGGGCAAGTAAAACTTTTTTGAATCCTAAAACATCTAGCCTCTACATCAAGAAGAGTTTTTGAGACATAGAATAACGGTTTATAGGGCCCAACTTTCTCCAATAAGGGCTAAACTAACTGCAACATATGATATAGCTAAGTACAACAAAAGATCTTCTCCTGGCTCTTGCTTGGAGAAGGACATTGAAAAAATTAATGGGAGTTTCACTAAAACACCCAAAATATGGGCTGAAATTATAAAAAAACCCAACACTCAAAACACTTTATAAACACACCCAAAACCCATCATTACACACACTCAAAACCCATTTATAAACACACCCAAAAACTATACAATTGTTGATTTTGGGTGTGTTTCTATGTTTAAATAGTGCTTGGGTTTTTTTATAAATACATGTCTATGATTGAGTTTATTTATAAATTTGTAAAAATTAATTTCTCATAAAAAAAATTGATGATTTCATTGAATAAAACTTCTTCAAATGACAATATTAACATCAATGCTTAGACCTCAAGGGTGCATGTGCAAGAGTTATTTACATTGATACTCCCCTCAGGTTTTATTGTTTTGCACCCCCCCCCCTCCCCAAGCCGTAGCTTGACGAATCCGTGAACCCGCATTTAGCCATCCTTCCCGCACACTCCGCTTCCTCTTCCATAGGACTTCTTGTTAATAGTTTTTTGAACCACCTTTGGTTTGTAAATTAAATCTAAGTGCCTAGCGTGCTATGGTATTGCCCATGTTAGGCTTGGATTACTGGCCTGAGGCCTGTAGAATTGTGTATAAGTTTGTGTGTTTTATCTTGTGAGTGTTGGAAGTTGAGGATTTCGTTATTATTTGTTTTTACATGTGGATTTTCTTTGGGATTTGTTCCTTTTAAAGGGAAGATTCTACCGAATTTTCAATAGAGGTCATTGCATTTTTGCTTCTAAATTGGGAAAGAATGGCATTCTAGTAAAATGGGCCCAACCTCAGTGAGATGTCGAACATGCACATGGTTTGTCACAAGTTCCAAAAGGGAATCTAGCGCGGGTCATGTGATCATCCTTTTGCTCTTGTCCTAAAATGATAAAATAGGAGTAATAACTCTTAAGAAAACCAAAGTAAGGTTGAGGGTTATAGAACAGAAGATGAACAATTGGATGAATATTTTCATGTATATTTCTTATATCAATAGAACAAAGTATATATACATATACAACATTCAATCACGTCTAACTTTAAGGCTTAGAAACCGAGATCCACTTTTAGTGGGATTTACCCTAGACTAATTTAGAAAGTAAATATATTACAATAATAATTCTTAATACTCACCCTCAAGTTGGAGAGTAAATTTCATGAACTCCTAATTTGTCACGTAGTGCCACAAATTGATCTTTCCCCAAGGCTCTTGTAAATACATCTGCCAACTAGAAGCACGTAGATACATGTGAAGGACTAATCATTCCAGCTTGCAGTTTTTCTAGTACCATGTGACAATCTATCTCAATGTGCTTTGTATGCTCATGAAAAACTAGATTCGCTGCAATGTACAAAGCTACCTAATTATCACAAAACAATGGTGTAAGAGCAATTTGTGGGACTTTTAAATCCAGTCATATATAGCGTAGCCAGGTCAGCTCCAAACATGTGTTAGCCATAGCTCGATATTCGACTTCTGCTGAAGATCTAGAAACATTAGCATGTTTCTTAGATTTCCATGAGATAAGAGAATTTCCTAGAAAAACACAATAGCCTGTAACCGATCTCCTGGTGGTACAACAACCACCCCAATCTGAATCACAGAAGGCTTTCAAGGCAAGATTGTTGGTGGCAGGAAATAGCAAACATTGACCAGGAGTACCTTTGATGTATTTGAGGATCCGTATGGTAGCATCCTAATGAGGTTTGCAAGGTTGATGCATGAATTGACTTCATGTTCGAACATAATAGACTGTGTCAAGCCTTGTGACAGTAAGATAAATAAGTTTGCCAACCAATCTTCTACACTTAGTTGCATCATTTAGCAATGCTCCATCTGTGGGAGTGAGTTTCAAATTCTGCTTCATTGGAAACTTGCTAGGGCATGTGCCGAGAAGTCCCAAGTCTTGCAAAATATCTAGTGCGTATTTTCTCTGAGACATGAAAATGTCTTTCTTGGAATGAGAGAATTCAATGCCTAAAAAATATTTCAAATCTCCAAGATCTTTGATACGGAAGCGTTTGAGAAGAAACATTTTGAGACGTTCCATTTCTTGAAGATCATTTCCTATGAGAAGTATATCGTCAACATAGATAAGAACTGTAGTAAATGAAGTACCTTGAGCCTTGGTGAAAAGAGAATAATCATCCTTTGATTGTTGATAACCTACTTTCTGAATGGTATTTGAAGATGTGGAGAACCAGTTTCTGGATGCCTATTTAAGTCTATAGAAGAACTTATTGAGCCGACATACAATGTTCTCCCCCTATCGGCGAAGTCCAGGAGGAGGCTCCATGTAAACCACTTCATGCAAATTGCCATGAAAAAAAGCATTTTGGACGTTCAATTGGTGGATGAACCAATGACGGGCAGCAGCAGCAGTAAGAAGGCATCAGAGGGTTGTGAATTTGGCGGTAGGGGAAAAAGTTTCTTGATAATCAACTCCCTCAACCTGAGTGTATCCCTCAGCAACAAAGCTAGCCTTGTAGCGCTCAATAGTGCCATCAGACTTGTATTTGATTTTGTAGACCCATTTGCAACTGATTGGTTTATGACCAACGGGTAGAGTAACCATACTCCATGTGTTATTGTGTTGTAATGCCTCTAATTCTGCATTCATGGCTTGTCGCCAATTAGGATAAAGGAGAGCCTGAGCATAAGATGTGGGCTCGGTGTGACCTGTAATGTTAGCTAGAAAAGCACAATGGGCAAAGGAGAAACGAGAATATGAAAGAAAATGAGAAAGCAGATATCGAGTACTTAAGGTAGGATGAGGCGCCGAGGCAGAGTGTGGTTGACTTGGTTGGACATGCAGTAGTCATAATGCCATGCTAGAAGTTGCTTAGGACAAAGGGACTGACTGAGTGAGGTGAGGGTATGGATTGTGTGGAAGAACCTGGGAGTGCTGAAGAAATAGGGGATTGGCTCACCGAGTGTGTGGTTGTATCAAAGGGTGCGGAAGTAATGAGTTGGGGGTCACGGGGGGAGCAATGATGGTGTAATTGTTAGGCACATGGGTAGGCAAACTGTTTGGTAGGTTAGGGCTAGCTGACATTTGGGTTGTCTTGGTTAGGTCAGGTAGATGGGCCTATGGGGTTGGCTGGGCTTGTGGAGGTGGATTTGTGGTGGGAAAAAGTGGTGGTGGGGGCCCGCTATCAGTGACGTTAGTGGAGAAAGAGGACAACATAGAATTGGGATCAAGTAGTGGCAGAATAGAAGAAAATGGAAAAATGTTTTCATAAAATTTAACGTCACGACTTACGAAAAATTTCTTTGTGACTAAATCATAAAGTTTGTAACCTTTTTACCAGTCGGGTATCCAACAAAGACACAACGTTTAGCACAGGGGTCAAATTTGTGAGTAGGATGGATAACAGTTGCATAACATAGACAATCAAAAACTTTCAAGTGAGCAAATAATGGTGGATGATGGTATAACAATTCACAAGGGGATTTAGTGGATAATAATGGTGATGGAAGGCGGTTAATGAGATAAACAGTGGTCACGACACATTCTCCCTAGATAGAAAGTGGTAAATGGGATTGAAAAAGTAAGGCACGTGCTACAGTGAGAATACTCCATTTTGTTATGGAGTGTAAATGCAAGTGCATTGATATTCAATGCCATGAGTTTGAAAGAAATCTCTCATTGAAAAAAAATTCAGACCCATTGTCGACTCTGATGGCTTTAATATTAGCATGAAATTGAGTATGAGCTAAAGCAACAAAAGATTTTAACTCGTGAGCTTGAGCACTAAACTATGGACTCGTGAGCTTGAGCACTAAACTATGGAACCAAGGAAAATTCAAAAACTAGTCCTGAACAAAGAGTGAACCCCAAACCACTTAGAAAACCTAGGGGCAAAGTCGTCCTTCCATTTAGAATTTTGAAAATTAAATTAAATTTCAAGACGAGATGTTATAGTTTGATTGAGGGCGTCCCCACCTTTTGTTGGCTCCTTGATCCGTTGGTTTCCTCCATGTACGTAGCTTTTTGGTTTCCTTAAATTATTTTATTTAACAAAAAAAAATTATGGAATATTCTCTCCACATTTTGAGTTAACTTTCTTTTACTTTTTAGGTTCATGTGGGTTTTAGTTTTCAGGGCATTTTTGTTGTTGAGAAAAGATGATATTTCATTAAACACATAAGAAACAATACATGAGAAGAAACTAGCATGATAAAAGGCAGCCTTGTTAAAACCTTCTCGGAGAAAAGAATACTTGGGGTAGGAAAGTACCACCCATGCTAATGACTAAATAGATAAATCAAACAGCTTATGCAAAATCGACATAATATAGAACCTACTTGTAAACCCTTAAAAAAAAATCCCAACACTCCGCTGATATTGTTAAAGGAGGCCTCCTATGATATAAAGAAAACATCATAGTCCTTTGTACATATACAAAACGCATTGTGGAGATAAAACATATCCAACCAAACACCAACCACAAAGTCGTTGAAGCACATCCCTATTAGAAATATGCCCTAAAGCCAAACATGTGATATTGCTTTTTGGATATTTCACCATCACTAATGAGAAAGATCGTTGTTTAAACCATGATATTTGGTATATTATAATAATAAAAAAAATAACAATTCCTTGGAATATGAAATAGTATGAGGGCTATGCAATGATATTGGATATAAGGATACCTCTTATACTTCCACATCATTTCCTAAACGTTCCCAGTTGTAGGATTATCAATTGGGTGTTGATCATCCACAAAGACGAGTGCACATTATATCTGCTCAATTGAGAGAATGACTAGTCTCAAGTCATTACATGTATAGACACTAAGATAAGTGTGTAGGTGCTTATAAGGACAAGTACATTGAACACGATCAAACAACCATGAGTTCTAGTATAGAAGGAAGTCTTGCTCACATATCAAACTAGAACTCATAATTTGCAATAGTGAAAAGTAGTCCTCAAACTTGAGACATTAGAGTTGTCTTGTGGACGACTCATTTGTCTTTGATATCATTATACGGTCATTGAAAGAAAAAATGACTCAAAGGTGATTATCAAGATTCTCGACAAGCTCATGAAGGCAAGTGAACATACAACAAAGGATCTTTGCTCTAAATAAGGAGAAAGAATGCTCCAAAGATATGATTGAGAAATCTTTGCAAAGTATCATATATGATTAGAAAAGAAGTTTCTAAACATAACCAATGTAATCATATAAGTGGAAAATTCATATTAGTGTTTTGACAAAAGTATTCATAGCCTAATAATATGAATTAGGAGCATTGTAATAGAGAAGGACTCAATTGCACATAAATTCCAACTTGAATAGGTTCTTCACCTTTTCTGATTAGCTTGGGTAGCCATGACATGCTAGGCATCAACCATGGCTTGTGGAAGTCTTGTAAGGTTCAATTATAATTGGCCTTCGTTAATAGGAAGAATTAAATGGTGGGATTTAATTCACATCAACTCAAAAAAGTTGAGACAACCCACTGCCTCGCTAAAAGGAACCTACAGATTGCACACCCAAAAATGTAGTTAGAGAAACAAATGAAAAAGAAGAAGAAACTTGAGGAAAATATGAAGAAGATAAGACTATGAAATTCAATAGTCAAAGTCAACGATCAAAATCAAAGTTAATGCATTTGACCTCAAATGGTTGACCCAGTCAAACCATTCGGACTATGATTAGGACTTAATGGTTAAGTCACAAATCATAATTAAAATTAAAATTATGAAGTTAGTTTTACGGTTGGACTAAATTTGGGCTTCAAATGCATTTTAGGCCAAAGGGAAAAATAGCCCAAGGACCCATTGGGTCGAGGAACAAGTGTTGCATGAAAACACAAGTTAAATGAGCCCAAGAGGAGCCCAAAATAGACTCATGGCCATCATCTTTGTGTTGGCTTTAGAAGCCACAATTAGACTATTCTCAAGTTAGGGTTTGGGCCTTCTAAGAAATTGGGTTGTGATGTTGAGAATAAGGAGAAATCCTTTCCTCCGCCTTAGCTAAAATTGGTCCACCAAGAGGGAATCTTGCATCTCTATCATCTTGGTTGTTTCCTTCTTCATCCTCTTTGCATTTGGTGTGTTGAAATAGAGGGCATCTCCTTTGGTGCCTTTGTTGAAGAATATCTACAAGTTCCAAGGAAGAAAGAAGGCCTTGCATAAGGTGTTCAAACTTGGTTTACAAAAGATGAGATTCAAGGGTATTTTCTCATCCTTCTTCCCTTTTAGATTTGTGTATAAAGAGATTACGCCTCAAAGATACAAGGGTAAAATTTGAATACACTTAGCCTAAGAAGTTTTAAGTAAATTGCTTCCGCTTTTGAATAGATGATTCATATGTTTTGTGGCTAAAATTTAATTGAAAGTTTTTAGGAACATGTTTCCTTCAATCCCATCACTACTAGAGGAACTGTTAAAAAGGTTTCCTATGATCTAGAGAAAGCATCATAGTCATTTGTACACAGCCAGAAAGCATGCTATGGGTATCAAATAGATCCAACCAAAATTGGCCTCTTAGCCTAAAGAAATTTTCGAAGAAATATCTTCACAGAAGGAACGTTCATTGGATGCCAAGCCCACGAACATTCTCAAGTAAAGATCATAGAGAGCTTGGAGACCCCTCGAGGCTGGTCTCCTCTGCCATATTAGAAGCATTGTCAGCATAGAGTCTTTGTTTGCCCCCACCCGGATCCGTGATCCCTATTACAACTGTAGATGTGGGTACATAGTTGGTACCCAACAGCCCATGTCACTGAAAATCATTACAAATCATGCCACAAAACATAAACCTATACCACTGGGTTAGAGAGAAATATAGATGCCCCCTTGGAAGAAGCCCATGGGGCTACATACCTCATTCCCACCAAACATCGACGCCCTTAAGAGAACAAACAATCGAAACCACTTGGAGAGATCAAGAACCCAAGGCCCTAGGAGCAAGGGCCTTCAATCAAACGTAGCACATCAAAGAGAAGAAGGTAGGCACTAGCAAAGGAGCACACGATAAGTGGTGTAGATTGGTGGCACAGTTAGAGGAAGAAAACCCTAACCCAAAAATATACTCTCCTCGCTCACACGATAGAGCGACCCCTATGTGATTTTAGTTTTGAGGGCATTTAAGTATATTTAAGTGAGTTTTTTGTAATTTTTGAAAGTTTTAGAAAAACTAACATTTATGAAAATATGAGGTAAATTTTATTTTTTTATTATATAAAAAACTCCATAATTAGTTTATATGGAACATTTTACGAATTGATGTGTGAATTTTTCATGCTTATGGTGTGGGTCATTGAATACGTAATGATAAGTTCATAAATGTAATCATTTATGTACTTTTTATACTTAATTTTAATAAGAAAATTTGATTTTAAAGGGTCTTATTACTTTATTTTCTTCATTTTCAGCTTTACGGAGGACTTAATTGTTTTTCAATGGAAATATGACTTTTAATACAGTCTTTATGCAAGGCTAGTTGGAGATTGAAGCTAAGACCTTGAAAATGCTTGTGCAATTTTTGTAGAATTTTTGGAGCGGCCAATGATTGCAGTTTTTTGAAGTCAACTTCAGCTTAAGGTGAAAGTCGAGCATATCTGAGTTACTATGTGAAAATGAAGATGTGAAGACTTTCCTGATTTTTTCTCAAGACATGCGATATATGGTTAAAAAGAGAAGACAAATATCTACACTTTACATTTTTTTTCCAGAATTTTCTTGAAGGAGAAATGACCCAAAAACATGCGTACAAAGAAGCTAATATGTTATCCCAATCACAGTAGGAAGATGAGTCAATTAGTTACCCATTTAGGATTTCTGTTTTAATTAGGTTTTTCTTTGTTTTTGGGTTGCTGTAAAAGCCCAGCTAGGATAAGAATAGGCATGGTTCTCTATTTAAACGTGAGAAACAACTCCTTATTGAGTTTCGGAAGACGTGGAGAAATTAGAGAGTGCCGAAAGAGTAACGCAACTTTGCTAGAGTTTTAATATTTCTTCCTTATGTTTTTGCTTATGTCGAATTCTATGATTATTGCTAGGACATGATGCAACCCTAGTATGATAATCTAGTTTTCTTATTTTACCTATCTATTGATCGCCGTTTGATGTTGGATTCTTAATCACTGTGCTTAATAACTTGGTTGATTTTCTTGATGCTTGATCACCATCTAGATTTTTAATTGAGTTTATCTTATGAAAATTAGAATAAATACCATACTTAATTTGAGGCTTTCTTCTTGTGATTAAGATTTGTAATTCTTATGCAAATGACCTACTAATGTAGTGGTTTGGAACAATTGCTCCCTCAGGAAAGGTCCTGGGTTCGAGTCCTATCATCTGTGTAGTGTGTGTGAGTTTAGTATGTTGTCACCTCTCTCAACAAGAAATGTCCTAAAAAAAGAAAAAAAAGAATTGTAATTCTTCTAGGTTAAATGTCATGCTTATAGGGTTTACATGCTTGTTAGAGGTTTTCACTGATCTTAATGAGTTTCTATGTGTGTTCATATTTGATCTAAATACCATAGTTGAATTGCATGTAGAAATATTTGGGTTAGCCTAAATACCATAGGTAATTCATGAAAAAAAAAATTAAGCAGCAACATCAATTGGTTAATTAATAGGTGGGTGAATAAAAGGCTAGATCGGATTATTATTAGTGAATTCATTGTCCTAGTAATTTTATCAATTTAAATTTATCATCTTTATGTTTCATGACTTTCTACTTTGTTTTATCTTTTAATTTCGTTGTTCTAGTTAATTAAATCACTTATTCAAAAATCCCCTTTGTGTTTACATGAGTATGCTATGTGTTTAATTTCTCGTTTATATAAAGTAGAGTAGTTAAAATGTTTTGTGAAGTAAATTGGGTTAAATTAATTGAAATTTAAACTCAATCCTAGTAGGAATGACCTTGTTCTTGCTATACTAAATTACTATTGACCTTGTGCACTTGCGAGTATAATTTGTGTTTAGAATAATCCTTGTTTTTAGGTTGTCTAAAATTCACAACACGTAACATGCATAAATAGGCTAATACCTTAGCAAGCATAAATGGACTAATAATTTTGTAGCCTCATATAATATTTTAACTAAAAAGTTTCTAATTAGTAGTTTTGTAGCATAAACGGTCTAAGAAATTGGGTCATTTGTAACTCATAGCATTCTAACTTATGAGTTGGTAGTTATGTAATGCAAATGTGCTTGTACTATGTGACAGTGATGTACTTGTGTTCAGGTCATAAATTAGCCAGTACCTTTGTAGGTTCATTTAACATTTTACTTAGAACTTGGTAGTTAGTTGGCTTTATAATAGGAATGTGTGTATGTTACGTGATCGTGTCACATTTAACATTCGGGCCATCTGACATAACACGAAGCATAAATGAACAAGTCTGATTTATAAGGTGAGCCCGCTGTGTGACCACATAAGGCCCCACAAAAAGGGGGTCTTCTATAAATTATTTAAGCATGCCTCCTATAAAAGCACAAAGGTATTTTTTGTGTGGTTGATTAATTTTGGACTTTTTTTTTTCCTTATTTTCCATAAAAGGTGGACATTTTTTCAAATAGCTAAATCAACTATATAATTATATATTCTACTACATATTTTGTTAGTAAAAACAAAAAGGGCCCCAATTTTTCTTTTCCGCATAGGGACTTTAAAATCCATGGACCGGTCATGTAATATAAGTGTGACTGTGCTATGTACCTGTTTCGTGCTCAGGATGGAGTCATGATATGACATAAACAGCATATGCATGAAGTCTTATATAAACTTGTGTACACTTTTAACTAATTAGTTGCTAGTTATGTATTGTCATGAATATATTTTAGTTGAAAGAAGATACCGTCGTTATGATTTGAATTATTTAAATGAACTAGTGTCATCATAGCATAATTTACGTATACACATCTCTTTTAAGTGACAGGTTGCCACTTCAAGCAAGACATGACAATTTACTCTCTAAAAAAATAATAATAACATATGACATGACAATTCTAGACATGAATAAGAGACTCAACATTAAAGGAAAATTGCATTTTGAGAAGGTTGAAAATGTGATCAACTTTCTAATTGGGGATGATTTGTTGAAGTAATTGCCTAATATAGATAACATAGCAATCAAAATGCACAACAAATGAATTGGATTTTCATTTAATCTAGAAGGTGCATGGTTGAAATATTATATTTATCATCAACATTAGTTTTATTATTAAATGTTGTCCCATATGTAATATGTCTATAGTAGTAGATATATTAGTTAATTGTATCTCAAATTGCGTTGTTGTTGTATTTTGTTTGATGGGTTATTCTTTTTTAATAAAATGATATACAAAGTGCTTGTTTCTAAATCAATATGTATTGACTTGCTCATCGAATCCTAAAATAAAATTCATTAATTAAGGGCCCATTTGATAATCATTTTAATTTTAGTTTTTAGTTTTCATTTGTTTTAAAGTAAGCAATAATTTTATTCATAACTTAGCCACCAAGACCATCAGCAACAAGGGCATAAACTACACAAAAAGAATTAATACAAATGTGGAAGCACAGGAACCACACATGGTTATTCTAGATATAGAGAAATACACCACAAGGTATATCTCTACTAATAGTGGCATAAAGCCAAATAAATTTCAGCATGAAGCCGCAAGTCTGAATAAATCAGACATGCACCGTAGCGGCCAAAACTACCAATACAACTATAATTTTTAAACTCTCATAAGTAAAAAATACAAGTAAAGACTCAACTTGAAACAGAGCACCCAACTCACAAAAAGGTGTAATTATTACAACCCAAAAAATTACAAAACCAACCGAGATGACAAAAAAGTAGAGTTACTGCCGTCACCACCACGAAAAACAGGAACACCACCGTCAAAGCCTAGGTTGAGGGGAAAACTGCAGCCACACAAAAACCTACTACAAAAAAAAAACCACAAGCAAGAAGAACCCAAACAAAACCAAGACAAAGCCGCAAAACAAAGAGGCAACACAAGGTGAAAGGGATTTAAAGGGATTTGGGGCAACAAAAAACTAGAGCAAAGAGCCACAAATGCAGCCAAAAAAATCCTAAAGGAAGGCAAGAGAAAAAGAGCGATGACGAGGAGGAGAGAAGATAAGGAAGGAGAAGGAAAGACAATGACCTTCTCCCCCCGTTAGGATAGGAGCGGTAGCTAGATAGAGAGAGAAGTCACTTTATATTCTTTTAAGAAAAAGTGCAAAGACAGGAATTAATTTTCATTTTTTATACTAGAGTATAAAGAAAGAATGAGAGTGAGAATAAGAGTGAGAGATGAGGATTGAGAGAGAGGGGAGAATGAGAATGAGAGGGAGAGGGATGAGAGTAACAAAATTGAAAACAAAAAATTAAAAAAAAAAAAAAAAAAAAAAAAAAAAAAAAAATAAATTTTTAGTTTTTGTTTTCACTTTTGTTACTCCTCCCACCCATCCCCCTCTCTCATCTTCCCTCTCAATCAGTGGCGGATCCACGTTGGGACAACAGGGGTCGGACGACCCCTTGGAAGGTTGGAAAAATGGCTTGGGACTCCATTGAAGCCCCCTTGGACAGCTGCTGGAAGCCCCCTTGGATGCACGCCATCTGCTCGATGAAAGTCCCAGGAGAAGAAGAGGAAGCTTGCTGCGCAGCTGCGCTGCGCCTTGCGCGTAATTTTTTTTAAAAACTGCCTTGCCAAACGACGTCGTTTGGCAAAGGCTCAGTCAATTTTTTTTTAAATGACCTGGCCTCAAAACGACGTCGTTTTGAGCCAGTTAAAAAATAAAAAAAAATAAAAAAAATAAAAAAAAACAGAACAACCCAGCCTTGCGAATCTGCACAGCAGCCCCAAACCCTTCATTTCCAATTTCACACTTCCTCTCCCCACCCTCTCAAACCCTAACCTCTCCCCCAACCTCCCAACCTCCAACAACCTCCATCATCAACTCTTCGCTGGGCCACCAATCACCGCCGTTCGCCGCCGTCCTCCTCCCTCCTCCTCCATTGTTTTCAACTACAAGTAAGCTTAGCTATGAAATTTATGGAAAATGTTTAAATATATTGTTGTTGTTGTTGATATTGAAATTTATTGTTGTTGTTGATATGAAATTTATGGAAAATGTTTAATATATATTGTTGTTGTTGTTGATATTGAAATTTATTGTTGTTGTTGATATGAAATTTATATATATTGTTGTTGTTGTTGATATTGAAATTTATTGTTGTTGTTGATATGAAATTTATGGAAAATGTTTAATTTATTGCTATATGATGATTATTGAATTTATGCTTTATTGAGTTAATGCTTGAAATTTATGGATATGAATAATATTGATATTTTTTGTATGTAATGAAATTTATGGATATGATATGAATCATAGTGAATTTTGAGAGTGGGTTATTGACATTTTCATATTCATATGATAATTTGGGTAAAAATTAATGATTGATTGAATTAATTGATTTGTAGATTTATGGAACGATTCTTTAAAAGAAAATTATCTACGGATAGTTCTTCTCCGTCTAATCCGGGTAGTTCAAATGCAAGACCAATTGAAGTAGATGAGATCTTAGCTAATCTTCAGGCCCTGGACTAAGAACTCGAATGGCGGATTATAGTCCTAATATTCGGGATGAGATTCAAAGAGCATATCTACAAAAGGGACCTTGTCAACCTAGAAGTTATAAATTCCCACAAACTAATCAATCAGGAATTAATAGACGCTTCATTGCTAATTGGTTTGATGATCATGATTGGTTGGAATATAGTATTGCTAAAGATGCTGCATTTTGTCTTCATTGTTATCTCTTCAAATCAAATTTTGATCAAGTGGGTGGTGATGCATTCACTGGGGTAGGCTTCAATAATTGGAAGAAGGCGAAAGAAAGATTTAATCTTCATGTTGGACCGGTTGGTAGTGTTCACAACCAAGCTAGAGAAGTTGCTTACAATTTGATGCATCAAACTACACACATTGAAACAATTGTCATCAAGCAAACAAGCCAAGCTCGCACGGCTTATCGCACTTGCTTGGATGCATCATTAAGTGCACTAGGTATTTGTTGCGACAAGGTCTTTCTTTTCGTGGTCATGATGAAAGTGCACAATCAAGCAATATAGGGAATTATTTAGAGCTCTTGCAATTTCTTGCGGATCATGATGAAAAAGTTAAGGCCGTTGTGTTGGAAAATGCTTCAGGAAATTTGAAGTTAATAGCTCCTTCAATTCAAAAAGATCTTGTCAATTCTTGTGCTAAAGAAACCATTGGTCTTATCTTGAGTGATGTGAAAGATAAATATTTTTCCATAATGGTGGATGAAGCACGTGATGTTTCAATTAAGGAGCAAATGGCGATGGTGCTTCGTTATGTGAATGACAAAGGACAAATAATTGAAAGGTTTGTGGGGGTTCAACATGTGACCGATACTACTTCAAGTGCACTAAAGGAAGCCATTGATGAATTCTTTTCTTCCGCGAATTTGAGCTTTTCCAAGCTACGAGGACAAGGTTATGATGGAGCTAGTAATATGAGAGGTGAGTTCAATGGCCTTAAGACAAAGATTTTGAGAGAACAACCTTGTGCATTTTATGTTCATTGTTTTGCTCATCAACTTCAACTAGCTCTTGTTGCGGTAGCAAAGAAAAACATTGATGTCAACTCTTTTTTCACAACGGCTAATAGTTTGGTCAATGTTGTTGGAGCATCTTGTAAGCGTCGGGATGCACTTAGAGCACAATACCAAGAAGAGCTTGTGAGAGCTTTTGAAGAAGATTGTCTTATAACGGGGCGGGGCTTAAATCAAGAAACTACTCTCAAACGTGCCGGCGATACACGATGGAACTCACATTATGGTACGTTGATTAGTATCATTTCTATGTTCCCATCTGTGGTGAATGTGCTTCAAATGATTGTTGATGATAATCCTAATGATAGTTCGGGTGAAGCCTATAAGTTATGGAGAGAAATACAATCTTTTGAGTTTGTGTTTCACTTATTTTTAATGAAAGCTATATTGGGAATAACAAACACTTTGTCTCTAGCATTGCAAAAGAAAGATCAAGACATTGTGAGTGCAATGAGTTTAGTGACAACATGCAAGGAAAACCTGCAGTTCATGAGGGATAATGAGTTTGAAGAATTGGTTGAGCAAGCATCTTTGTTTTGTTACAAACATGATATTATAGTTCCTACCATGGATGAGGAATATGTAATTCCAGGGAGGTCACGGCGTAATGCTCCAATGAAGACAAATTATCATCGTTATCGTGTTGAGATGTTTATTCATGTAATTGATGGACAACTTGTGGAACTAAATGATCGCTTCAACGAGGTAAATACTGAGTTACTTACTTGTTTGGCATGCTTGAGTCCGAAAAATAACTTTGTAGCTTTTGACAAACGAAAGCTAGTTCGTCTTGCTCAATTTTATCCTTATGATTTTTCGGATAGAGACTTATTGATGCTTGAAGATCAACTTGGTGTTTATGTTCATCATATGCGTTCGAGTATTGATTTTTCTCAATTGGAAGGGATTAGTAGTCTTGCGGAAAAAATGGTGGAGAAAGGAATGCATGAAATATTTCCTTATGTGTATTTGCTTCTGACATTGGCTTTGGTTTTACCGGTTGCAACTGCTTCAGTGGAGAGGGCATTTTCCGCCATGAATATTATTAAAAATCCACTTCGCAACAGAATGAGAGATCAATGGTTGAATGATAGCTTGATTGTTTACATTGAGAGAGATGTTTTTGCTTGTATTGATAATGAAACTATAATGCAACGTTTTCAGAATATGAAAACTCGTCGTGGACAATTGTAATTTGTATTATTGGTTTTGTTATGAATTATGAATGGAAGTACTATCTTTCTATCTTTTTAGCATTATTTTCTTTGTAGAAAAATTTCAGAACTTTTACACTAAGCCCCCTTGGCCACATAATCCTGGATCCGCCACTGCTCTCAATCCCATCTCCACTCTCATTCTCACTTTCATTTTCCATATTTTTTCTCTATAAGGTGTTCTATCTTATAATTTTGTGGGGATTAGATAGGATAAGTTTTTCTTCGTGAGTAATGCATCTTCTACCTTCAACTTAGTGAAAAAAATTTCCATTTCTTTCTTCAACATGCTTAAAATTTAAGGAGTTGTCTTATCTAATCCAATTCAAGGCACTAAAGTGGAGCATATACATGTGAAAATACTTAAGATAAAAAAGACTTTCAAATTGGAACAAACACAATACTAATTTTGATAGAATATAAACACATATGTGTTCATAGAAACAAAGTTACCCGCTCCCTCCTCCCCCCTTCCCTAATAATATGAGAGGAAGTTTTGTATTGTTTAATTGCCTCTTTCAATAGACCAAAAAGAAAAATCCCTCTTACAATACTCACATGGGATCTAATCACCACATTATATTGAGATTTACAAATATTAAGAAGACAAAATTATTTTATCACCTTTGTATTATAAATTTCTTGATCAAATTACAAGAATGCAATAGTTTAGTAATGGATCCCAAGCCTTTGCATTTAGGTCTTGTGCATTTACCTGTATTTCGTTAAATCTAAGCAACTCAAACAATCTAATGACTTAACACACGATACATCATCAAACATTTAAGTCAGATTATTTTATTTTATTTTAATATTCCAAAACTCATTAAACACTATCATTAACAGTGTTGAGGATTGTTAGTTTTAACACGGGTGTGTTTCTTCTCTTTCTCTCGCAAGCAGACTCTGTCTCTAAGAGCATGCTTCTTCTTCTCCTTCTTCTTCTTTTTGTTCTTTAACTTGTTTCTTCATGGTAATTATGGTAATTGGGCCTTCTTATTTTGTTTATAAAGAGAGGAAGATTAGGTTGAGTTAGTAATTGATGCGAATAATGGCTTATTAGGGATCAATTTTAACTAATTACCATGAAGTGATCGAGGTCGGGTTATCCATTGATAGGATTCGCTGGCTTTATTTCATCACCATCACAATCTAGTATCAGAATAATTAGCAAGTTTATGAAACAAACTCTCCAACAAGGGGATCAGTTGTTGTCCATGCTCCGTTCAAACATGATACAAGCCCAAAATTGTATGCAATTGTATGTTGATCAGCATCGTACAGAGACAACATTCAATGTGGGCGATTGGGTGTATCTGCGCATCTAGTCTTACAGACAAACTTCTTTTGCCTTCACTGGTAACCACAAATTATCCTCCAAATTTTATGGTCCCTATCAAGTGGAAGCTCGCATTGGCCAACATCCAAAATTCATTCGAGCTTTCATGTGTCTTTGCTCCCTATTAAGGGGAAGTCTGAAATATCATATGCAAAATTTCCTCTTTCTCTCTATGTTATTATTTCTGTTATTTTCTCTTTTTTCAATCCCTAGGCTTGATACCTATCATCTAAGCACGCCTAAACTGGCATTGTGGTCAAGATGCTTCATATCTCTGCCATCATCTCCCAAAGCTCTAGGTCACCATTAATTTCACCGAAATAAGTTAAAGAACAGAAAGAAGAAGAAGAAGAAGTACGCTCGCAGAGAGAAAGAGTTTGCTCGCTAGAGAAAAAGAAGAAACATGCTGCGTTAAAACTAACCATCCTCAATGCCGTTAAGGATAGGGTTTAATGAGTTTTGAAAAACTAAAATATAATAATATAATATGACTTAAATGTTTGATGACGTGTCATGTGTTAAGTCGTAAGATTGTTTGAGTGGCTTAGATTTAACGAAATGCAAGTAAATACATATGACCTAAATACAAAGACTCAGGATCCTTTTAGTAATAACTAAACATGTGTTTTTATGTTTTAGGTTTGCAAGTGGATTCTGGCAACTTTATTAGAGAAAAAGAAGAAACATGCTGTGTTAAAACTAACCATCCTCAATGCCGTTAAGGATAGGGTTTAATGAGTTTTGAAAAACTAAAATACAATAATATAATATGACTTAAATGTTTGATGACGTGTCATGTGTTAAGTCGTAAGATTGTTTGAGTGGCTTAGATTTAACGAAATGCAAGTAAATACATATGACCTAAATACAAAGACTCAGGATCCTTTTAGTAATAACTAAACATGTGTTTTTATGTTTTAGGTTTGCAAGTGGATTCTGGCAACTTTATTAGCTAATCTTCTATCATTTGATATTTAGGTATTGGGTTCTTTAAGATGAAATAATCTCTTCTTTAATATAAAGAATTATGAAATAATTTTAAAAAATAGGGACAAAATAGATGGAGCCTACCAATACACATTTGCATACCACGTCTTTAATAGGTTTAGCTCACCAATACAATGGGGTCCATCTTTGTTAAAAAGGTGTGGTATATAAATGTGACATGACTATTATTTTTTATGTAATAAAGGATAAATAGTTTCACATTTAAACCCACTTGGCCATTTAACTCTTGTCGTGTTTTTAGTCTCAAATATTTGAATGGTCTTTTCTTTTCGATACTCCAACTCTAGTCCCTTTCATGGGCTTGAAATCTAAGTCAAGCTCTATTCTTTAATGATATGAAAATATTTTACAATGTGGTAACTAAAAATTGAACTTCCATTTTATATCTCATTGACACGAACATTTCACAAACATTTTACAGTCTCTTGCTAATAATTTTAGATGTTGACACCATCAATATGATAAATAACAAGAGTCATTGAAAATGATTGCATGAAAGTTGTATTTAACGAACTATTCAACACAATATTTTTCATCAAATATTCAACACAATGTTGAAAACATGAATTTATATAGAGATTTTCTATTTAAACCCCGCACTTCTCTTTGTTCATCCCCAATACTTAAATCATTAAGCTATAAGCTTTATTATTGTGTAAAAAGACAAAAAATGTCATTCAACTTAATAAATAACCCTAGTACATCTATACAAACACCCCCACACACCCGACCACTCTTCATATTAAGTTTTAGAAATCTCCTTCCAACTTCCTGTTTACAAACTCTCTCTCTCTCTCTCTCTCTCTCTCTCTCTCTCTCTCTCTCTCTTTGAAGTTCTCAACTCAACAGTACCCATCTCTCTTTGAAGTTCTCAACTCAACAGTACCCAAGTGTTAGAATTCCAGTTACAGTTCTTGGAGAGAGGTAAAACTGTTTTCTTTCTCTAGAAAGTATTAAATTTCGGATTTGGGATTTCATTTATTTGTGTTTTTTTTTGGCTGGGAACAAAGAAAATTGTGGGGTTTAAATAGAAAATCTCTTTTAGTTCTTATTTTTTCAGTTTGGGATGTATTTAAGGGTAGTTTGAGAATATAGTGGGGTTTTCTTAGAAATTGTGAAAATTTAAATTAAAAGTTGGGGTAAACTTACAACATGGGGTGAACTAAGAGAAATGTGAAGTTTAAATAGAAAATCTCTTTATATAACTTATTAAAAAAAAGTGTATATAAAAAAAAAGGTAATGATTTCCCCACTCCAATTTTATCCACTTACACTTCTTTTTTAGTTATAAAATGGAGTGTAAGTAGATAAAATTGGAGTGGGGAAATCACCATTCAAAAAAAATTTGGGTTAGTAATTTATAAATTCAAACGAAATAAATTTGACTAGAAATGCTCAACAAGAGGGAGTTCAAGAGAACTATATATATAATCATATGATTGATATCCACAAATAAAAAAAAATCCTTAATTCCCTCCCACCAAAGAAAATGAATATTTAATTCCCATCCAAACTGGCCTAGAACTTATCAATTTGCAGCACCCAATTTTCTTTGACTGAAATGGAACAGATTTTATATTCAAAATTTGAATTTTGGGATAAAAGTTGGATGCTTTTTAAAAATACTTTTTATTCTTGAAATAGTTATTAAAAAAAGAGGGTGCGTGGGACAATGTTGGAAGTAGGGTTATGATGAGTGTTATGACTGTAATCACACATTTGTATATAATTAATTATATATTAGCCACACACACAATCAAGCGGGGGTGCTGTTGACAATTAACCTTTCAAGTAGATCTGAAATCTACCACTCCCCAGTCTCCCTCAAAAGATAGATTCCAGAGAGAGAGGGAGAGAGAGACAGGAGAGAGAGACAGAGACTTTCCAACTCTCTACTGAGCAAAACCCGCTTGTTTACACTTGAACCCTACTGAGTGAGTAGTAGTGATATACAGAGTCCAACAACTGTGTTGTTTTAGCCCCAAAAACCATTTTTCTCTCACTCTGTTTGTTTTTCTCTCTCTTTCAGAGAGAGGCAGACCCAAGAAAACCCCTCATGGGTTCCTATGAAGTTACAAACATACTCTTCACTAAGATCAAGGCCTTAGACCCAGAAAATGCCATCAAAATCATGGGTTTTCTTCTCATACAAGATCTTGCCGAGAAAGATTTGATTCGCTTGGCTTATGGTCCGGAGACCCTTTTGCACTCGCTGATTGTGAGGGCTAAAATCCAGTTGGGCCTTTGCTCGAGCACTTCGACTACATCTTCCACACCTTCCTCTCCTTCACCGCTAAATCCCATAGCCAGACCAACTAACGCCAACCCATTTTCACAGTCTTCCCCTAGAATCCCGAACGGTTTTGATTTTGGGAAAAACCCATCTTCTCCCTCCTCAAATGCCTGGCCACTTTCTGGGTTCCCAAACAACTCCATTAGCCCAAAGTCAAGCCCTTTACTCTCTTACGACAATATCCGAGCCGGGTCAGTTTCACTTCCAGTACATTCACCCCGCTACAGCAAGGATGGTGGGGCTGATGTTTGGCCTGGCGGCGACCTCATTGACGAGCACCAACTCAATGAGTACCTCTCATTTCTCAATGAGTCTTCGTCCTCGTCGAGGCCCGAGGATTTCATCGATCCTCGGCTCGAATTGGGTCATGGGGTTCCTGATTGGGCTCATTCTGTCAACAATGGTGATGCCCATTTCCACAGAAGGAGCTATTCGGCTAGCGATGCGTGTCTCGGGTCCGAAGATGCTGCTTTGGGAGGGGGGTTCAAGCCATGCCTTTACTTTGCCAGAGGGTTTTGCAAGAACGGAAGCAATTGCAAGTTTGTGCATGGCGGTTTTGCTGATTCCTTGGACGGTTCTGGTGCCATTGTGGGGTCTCCGAGTAATCTAGACAGTTTCGAGCAGCAGGAGGAGATGATGAGGTTGAAGGCTGCTCAGCAACAGAGATTAGCTGCTGCTTCTCAGTTCATGGGTGGAGGGTCACCTACTCCTTACAGCAAGTACATGAATTTCCTTTTGCAACAGCAAAATGACCCTCAGAGGTATATTGGGGTGGTCCATTTCTCTGTTTGCTGTTGCTTTTATTTGGGTGTAGTTATTGATTTTGAGTCTGTTGGAGACAACCCATTTTGCTCTTTATAGATTATTTTCTTTGTCATTAAGTGTGGTTTGTGTTGGTTATTGATTTTTTCTCTTTTCGGGTTCAAATTTTTTTTCCTTGGTGGCATTCTGTTGCATTGTAGAGTGGCAGCGATGATGATGGGGGAAGAATTTTACAAGTTTGGGCGATGTCGACCTGATAGAAACGACCTTTTGGCAATGTCTTCAGTTGAAAAGGCGAGCTCGGCTTCAAGACAGATCTACTTGACATTCCCAGCTGAGAGCACTTTTAAAGATGAAGATGTTTCAGAATACTTCTGGTAAAATTATACATCATATTATTTCCTTATTATTTGTTATTAGGACCAAGTCTTCGGTCAACCTTCAGTATGAGTTAAGTTGCTACTCGGATTATTGGTAGAATAGTTTTTTATTTTTATTTTTGATAATAATGCCTTAGCACTTTGGTCAGCTTTCATGACAACCAATTACTCAGTAACGGCAATCCTTACCATGCCAAGGTTTTAGAGTGTCTCTAGCCTTAGTGGCATCAGTCCTTTATGTTTGAACTTTTTCCAGAAGATAAAGTTAAGAAGTTGTTCAAGGTTTTCATTGCCTTGAAGGCCTCCAAAGCATCATCAATCGTTTATGGTCAAGTCTTGGATAGAGGTTGTGGCGTTTCAAGACCTTGACGTTAGTTAGTTTGTTTCTTCATTTGTAACCCTGGCCTTGATATACACGGTTTGGTTTTCTAGGGGAGTGGTACTTTGCATTTCAAGTACAGGATATTCAGAAGCAAGGGTTGTGCTTTTGCTTAAAGTTACACCTGATAGGAGAAAATGTTTGCACCACCTTGTCATATCAGTTATCTGTGTGTCCAACAAATAAATTTTAAATTTCAGAAGTTCAGGTATATTTTTGCTCCTCCGCTATGGTTTTAATGGGCTTGCATTTCATCTTGTATGAAAATCTATTTGTTTGGCTGCAATGAAAAGGTACGTATGTAACTTTACTATTCTGATAAGTTAGCTAGTATGAGAAGAAATTTTGGGATTGTTGGCTTTGTGTATTTGGATACATTGTTAAGAGTCTAAACCAATAAGGATTGCTCTTTCTATCCCTGCCTAATGCTTGCATAAGAGCCCTGCTAGTCAGCTGTAAAATTTTATACAGTGTGCCATATCATGCAATGAGCAAATTAAACAGGCTTTGATGGCTAATGCTAAGTCTTTGTGTTGACCCCTTCACCTGCTCCAACTTGACACTGAAGATCTTGAGTGTCTTTGATGGCCATTTGCAGAATTTCTGTGGTATATTTGCTCAAGGCCATTTTAAACTTGTAAAAGCTGTTTGGTTGTTTCTCTTATCTTTATTAACGATATGATTAATTTCATTAATTATCCACAACAACGATCAACTTATTGGAACACAAAGTTATTGCTGACTTCTAGTGTATATACTACTGTGTATTGTCACTAAAGTATTCAATTGGTCCTCTGCTGTGAATACAAGTGTATCGTCATCCATCATTTGACATCAAAGATATATCTGATCTAGTACTCTCCTGGAAGAGTTTCCATGACTCTCACCTTTTATTTTTTTTACACTAGCAATGAGACATCATTGTTTGAATCTGTCACATAACACACCTAAATATTTTTGCTCGGTATGCCATGATACGATTTAGTCATTGATGATTTCTTTTTTCTTTTCTAGAAATTAGATACAGATTAAGCAAGAAAATTGAAATAACGAGAACTGCACGACCTTGGAATTCACCAATGCATGATTATTGGAGACGTCCTACAGGATGTCACAGTGTGAATATGACAATAATAGGAAAACAATTTTTGAGTTCTCGTGATACAATATTTGAATCTTGAGTGAACTCATAAACACTTGATTTTAAGAATGGATGGCCAAATGTGGTTTGAATATTACCTAGGGTTTACTCAGTAAACTTTACTGTTACAAACCAAAGGAGTTCTTTGTATTATTACAAGGGAAGATATCATAATGTCATTCTTGTTATATTGTTTAAAGGTTCAGAACTTGGAATTTCTATTAAATAGTTCCTTTTTGTACTTTTGAAGCAAGTACGGGCCAGTTCAAGATGTAAGGATTCCATACCAGCAGAAAAGAATGTTTGGTTTTGTTACATTTGTCTACCCAGAAACTGTGAGGCTCATATTGTCCAAAGGAAATCCTCATTTTATATGTGATTCCCGTGTGCTTGTCAAGCCCTACAAGGAGAAGGGAAAAGTCCTGGATAAGTATGTATATCATTGCTCTTTTACAATCTAATCTTATGCTTTCTTCACTTTGCACTGATGCTTTAACTGCTGATTGTCTACAGGAGGCAACAGCAACAACAGCATCTAGAGAGGGGAGAATTTTCACAATCTTTGAGCCCTGGTGGTCTTGATTCTAGAGATCCCTATGATCTCCAACTTGGTTAGTGAAACAAGATTGGATACTTTTCTTCGTTACATATACTCTATTTGAAAGAGAATAGGGTTAAATGAATTTTATGATGGCTTCTCATTTGGCTAACAATTAAAAAAGAAAAAAACTCTCTCTACACACATGCACACGGACACACATGTTTGCGTATGTGCATTTATACATATTATTGTTCTTGTTTTTATTGAATGCAGCATCACAATTCTCATTGATTTTTTATTACTTGAATTTGTTTTCTACTAGGGGGAAGAATGTTCTATGGTACACAGGAGATGCTATTGAGAAGAAAATTGGAGGAGCAGGCCGAATTACAGCAAGCCATTGAACTCCAAGGGAGAAGAGTCATGAGTCTGCAGCTCCCAGACTGGAAGAATGACCGCTTACCCCATCACCAGCGCAGTCTGTCTGTTGGTGCTCATGTTCCCTTAAGTCCTCAGTCTCATGTGCAGATCAATCAAAATGTCATTCCGTTTGATAGCATTAAACAAGAAGTTTCAGAAGGTTGTCTGATTGACTTTAACCGTTCTAATATACATATGTAAACTTTAAGATGAAGTGTTGGGTTGCTGACTGCTGAATATACATGTTGCAGGCCACGGTGATATTCCAGCTGTCTCAATTTCTGTGACTGCTGAGCAGCACCTTCAGAAGGAAGATAATTTTGCTTTCATTCACAATAATGGCAATGGCAAAAACAAGGAGCAAGGCTCCTACTTGGAAACTCCTGATCTTCAGAAAAGGTATGGAGCTTAACTTTCATATCAAGAGAAAGTTGACAATAGCAAACAACATTATATGATTTTATCTATAGTGGTGCTTTTGTTTTTCTGGATTTTTCTAGTTTGAGCTTCTATTGTATCAGGTCCTTTTGTATTTTCGAATAATAAAGATATTTTTTTCCTTCTTTTGTGGTTGTCATGATAGCAGTGTAGAGCAGGTCCTTCCTGATTGCCTTTTTGCTGCTCCCTCAAATTCAGCTGGGGATCATCTCTCTGACTTGTCAACCGCTGTGTCAGATCTTAATGATACCATCGTAACTGCTGAAAACAAATCATCATCATCATCAGTCAATTCTGCCAGCTGCATGGCTTCTCATTAATGCTGATTGATTTTGCTAGGGTAATAGCTAATTCATTTTGTTCTCTGTAGATGTCCTTGCTAGGGATTGTAGTCATGCAGTCAAACAATCTTTTTATTATGTTGGGTTATGTTCCTATGCAGGAGAGTAGAGAAGCATATACAAGGAAGAAAAATCCTCTAGATGTATAGCTGAATTATACCTACATCAAAGAGTAGATCCATAGAGAAGATCGCAACAAGGTCTCACCGTCATCAATACATACTGCTAACCGATACTACATATTTCATACGCAAGGAGAAACGAAATGAAATTACGAGAGTAGGATTTGTCGCTTTTGCTACTTTGTACCCTCTCTGTAGGTGTGCTGACCACCACACAGGCTAGACCAGAACAAGGATTGTAACTTCTATCTACAGTCATATACACCACTTTTCTTTCTCTATCGTATTTTCCTTCTGATGTGAATTTTGGCTAGTGTTTTAAGTTTTGCATTAGAGTATTTGATGCTTTTGTACATATACTTGGACAGAAGTTTAAAGTAGACTTTTCACAAGTATACAAATTATTGTATCACTATAGCATGTATGATACGGATGGGGAAAAAAGCCACGGCTTCCCTTGACCTTTTTGTTTTGTTTGGTCATGATTGTTCCTGTCTGATGTTGCAGCATCACATGATCACCGAATATAGGGGTAGAAAGGGGATTTCATGTAACCTTTGATCAAAGTTTTCTTTTAGGTGGCTTTCGTAATGTACTGTAGTTTGCTTTTTCTGCTAAATCCACATGTGGGCCAACAACCAACTCGTCACATGGGTGCTGACATTTATATAAATGGTGTATCAGGCTCTATCACACTCCCGTCACTTTCACTTTCACTTTGTTGAAATGTTTGTTTATGAATCTTTGTATTTTTGGAAGCTGGAGCCCTCATGCTCTCTGTGGCTCGGTTTAAATTATGTTATGCTATATGTGGCTATAGGGATGCCCAATGGGTACCCATTTGAGCACCCAAATGGGTAACCATGAGGTGGTTGTGATAGAGGTTCGTGGCCGTGGTTGTGGGGTGGTTTTAATAGTGGTTATTTGTGGTTGGTGCCTTTTGTCTATCCATGTGCCTAACTTTTGTTGCTAATGTTCGCTTTTATTAAGCCAGTTGGCTAGTGAGCCAGCCTCCTTGCTTTCGAGTTCGAGTCCCTCTCTTCGTATGTTAGAATAATTTAGAGTACTTTAAGAAAAAAGAAAAAAAGAAAAAAGCAGCCAAGCGGCTTTTCAACAACTGGAACTGGTGGATGAATTTATACTGTAAACTCTTGGAACGGAAAATTCTCCACATTAATAAATGAGATGGTAGATTAATACAGAATAGGAACTAAATGTCTTTGTGCGTTTAAACTTTTCGCTAATGCTTTTTGTCAGTTTTCCAATCTAATAAAAGGCCGAAATTTCAATTATGGTTTGTTTGGATAACTTGAAATTAGACACAATTCATAAGTTTTGAAATGACGGATTTTGGGCAGAAGTTTGAAACTCAAGGCATCAAATGAATATTTGTGTAAACCTCCCTTTATCAATCGCTTGGACTAAAAAAAAACTCATTTTTAATTTTTAATTTTTTAAAATTCTATGTCTAAAAGAATTTGGGATGTCATAAATTCCTATTTTAAATTCCAATTAAATGGGCCTTAAAAAAATTATTTCAGGACAATCATTTTTTAGGAAAAAAAATTACTACCATCAACACCATCACTACATTTCCTAGTACCACTTTTCCCTTACCATGACCACCGCCCTTTCAACATTATGACCACCACTACTATAAGTTATAACCACCATCACTGTTACAAGGGACTTACTAGTGTAGTGGTTAAGGACATTATTCTTCCATATGAGGTCTTATTTTTGATTTTCTCCTCCCCCAATAACACGTGTATATAAAAATTCATTATTTTTAAACCTTATTATTTTTTTGCTATAACAAACTCTAGACCTTTAAAACACTTTTTATTTTCTTAAATAAAATCCCATAATTTGAAATTCTAGTTACTCTTGAACTCAAGGGTCATGCTAAAGAGGCCACATTATTAGACCACTTTGTAAACCACCTCTCTAATAGAGGTAACGCACACCAATACAATGAGTCCGACCTCTATTAGAGAAGCGGTTAAGGTCATCTATAAATATGGTCTCCCTAACATTTCCCTAAACTCAATTATCCCAATGCCATCATATTAGAAAAGTTGACTAATAAAATAACTATAACTATAAATGTAAATAATATAATATATATATTTTTAATGCTTTTATTTATCAAGCGGAGCATACGAGGAGGGAGCAGGGCGAAAATCGTAATTCCAGTACAAGCCCCATCAGAAGAGGGCCTATGAGGAACTGACCTTACGACAAACGTTTTCGTCCCCAAGTTTCAACAGTGTAATAAAATTAAACAATCTAAACTCGATCTTACAAACAAAATCTAAACCCAAATCCAGAACGACATGCTATCACTTAAGCCCTAAGTTGATTTTAGTTTTGCAATTTCTCTTTTCACTCTTTGTTCCGGCCGCATTGCTGCCCACCCTTTGTTGCTACTACACATCGCATGCCCTAAGCCCCCAAATCAGGTACCATTACTTTTCAATACTCATCTTTCGTGCAAGTTGTTTTTCATTTGCTATTTTCCTAATTGATTCATGAATCATGAATGGTGAAAGAAGAAAGTTAATGAATGTTGATGATTTGTTAGATTTAATAGTAGTGAAATGCTATTGAAAAATTAGAAAAATGCTTATGGTTTACTATTTTGCTCATCAAATAAAACCCTTGATAATAAATCTACAATCTAATTTTTGCATGTAAAAATTTGAATGTGGAATGAAACACTACTTGTGTCATCCGAATTTTATGGTGAAACTGAAATAGTTACATTATATTTTAGACTATTAGTGTTTGTGGTATTGTTAGTAATATCTTCTTTAATTGTTTAATATACAATTTTAATTTAGAAAAAGATCGAAGAGATAAACAAGTTTGGCCCATAAAATTTTTCCAAGCTTATAAAATGTTGCACCATAGACTCTTTACAACTACTTTAAAGAGAGGGGACTAGAGATGTAGTTACCCTTGGAGCGAATCTTGAACCCTAAGAAGGTGTTCAAGTAGAGTGCTTGATCTCTCCTTTCTTGATTTTCCACTATGGCTCTCCAATAGTTAAAATAGTGTGCAACTCACCAAACTCTTCACCAAGGATGGATAGAGATGAGAGATAGAGAACATGGGAGAGTACAAGAGTGCTAGCTCTTGCTCTCCAAAGTGGTTGGCCAAGGGGGACTTTAGAGAGAGGTTTGATGTATCTTCTCTTCCAATTTTCCAACTTGAAAACCCTAAATGAATTGGTGCTATGACATCTAATTTATAGATCCATGTTGTGACACATCTCCGCACCCTCCCTTTGGTTGGCCTAATTTTGGGGTTTTTTGGTCCAACACATTTATCCCTCCATGTGTCACATATGTCTAAAGTCCTATGGTTCAATTCTTAATTCTTTAAGTCATGTAGGACCCAACTAAGTTCAATAACTTTAATTATTTAAAATAAACTATTCTAATTAGTTTAATTAGTTTAATTACTTAATTAATTAAGTCGTTAAATTGTCTTACAAGTATTGATCCTGGTCAATCCTTGTTGACCATGTGAAGTGTCCGGTCAACTGTTGACTTTGACCAAGACTTCAAATCTATTTCTCTATTATATTTCTTAATCCACTCCATTGTGGTGTGCGATCTTATAGGTTCTAATTAGAAAGGCAGTGAATAAGTCCGATTCCTTCTGAATCGAGAATGAATTGAATCCCATCATTTAATTCTCCATATTAGTGAAGGCTAATTGTTATTAGACCTTACAAGGCTTCCACAAGCCATGAGTGACACCTAACAATATGTAATGACCACACAAGCTAAATAGAATTCATTAGAGAACCTAGTTAGTTTGCAATGCAATCCGCTTATTCTGTATAACAATACTTTATGTCACATTATCGGGATACGGTTAACTTGTATTAAATCCCCAGTGTGAAATTTCTTGGTCATATGATTCACTTGGAGGAGATTGAAAACTTTGCTATTGCAATCCTATCCAATACTTTGGCCCAATATTCAATGAATCATATCTCTAGAGTCCTCTATCTTTTTACTAAGAGTGGAGATTCCATATTGTACATTTGCATGTCTCTGTGAGCTTATCAGATATCCCGATGATTACCTTTAAGCCATATCTCTCAACACGACCGTATAATGATCTCAAAGATAAACCACTTGTCTACAAGACAACTGTGATGTCTCAGGTCTGAGGACTAATTTGCATTATCACAACTTAGAATTACTTGTTTGACACTTGTGAGTAAAACTACCATACAAGAATTCTTAGTCGATCACGATTAGTCAACTCTATCTCTATTGAGCATCTACTCACTTGTTTTAGTGTCTCTATACGGATGACTTGGGACTAGTCATCCTCTTGATTGAGAAGACACAGTGCGTAACAGTCTTTATGGGTCACCATTTGCTCAATTGGTGATCGTATAACTAGAAACATTTTAGGATGTGATATATCATAATGGAAACGTCTCATGAATCTAACATCTTTAGATGCTTTCCATATGTATCGTAATCCATAGACTTGTCACTTTATTGCCTATGTTTAAGTTTCCTAAAGTGACTTTCATGCCCTATTAATTATGTAGTGTTATGTCCATAGGGCCCTGTTTGGTACACCTCCTTGGATTGGATTGGATTGGACTAACTTAAATAACACCCCAAGCCCATGTTTGGTGCAGCCCATCTTTAAGTTAAATGAGACTATATAGTCCTGGCCTACAAAAAACACTTCACTCATTGGCACAAAATAGAGAACTCTGAAGAGGTGCTGCTAAATAACGAAGACGCTATTGAGTCTGCCTTTATCCAACGTTGCTTTGCTCTCCTTTTCTCTTCAACGTTGCTCTGGCTCTCCTCTTCCACGTTGCTTTGTTTTCATCTTCTGTTGTGCTCTACTCTCACTCACTCAGGTTAGTTGTTCAACTCTCTTCTTCTCTTTCCACTCTCTTTTGTCTCTCTCCTTGGTGATATTTGATGGGTTCAATTTGCTATTTCTTAGTTTGAATTTTAAGTTTTGATTATGTGGTTTTTTGTAGTTAGCTTAATTTTATGAGAAATAACATTTGTATTGGTTAATTTCATTGGATTATAATTGGGTATTTTTCTAGGGTTTTCAATTTTGAATTGTTTTGATTATTGGGTTTTTGTTTGGAATGAGAATAATAAAAGGGTAGAGGTCATGTGGTCAATTGCTCATGGATGTTCTATAATTTCTCTATGTATGGCTAGGCATAACTGTTTGTTAGATGCTGGTTTTTCTTTTTCATGGTGAAAGCAAACTGTGACTGCAATTGCATGTTGTGCTTGCACAAACCAAATGTCTGTGTGCAAACACAACATGTGATTAGCAACATGACCTCTACTTAGTGACGGTTTGGCCATTTACATTAGGGAAGTTGAACTTTCACATTTTGGAAATGTTCTTAAAATATAGGCAAGTTTTGGAAAATTTAATACCAATTTTTGGTCTTGGAATTATAGTAAAAATAGTTGATAATTAAAATATTATCACTTCAAAGAAAATTTAAAATTTTTTTTTGTCCTAGTCCGAGCATAAACCAAACACAGGATAGTACTATTTTTGTTATCTAGCTTCTTAGTCCGATGCAGGACCAAACGTAGGTCAGTACTCAATCCAGCTTAGACCAAGCCAAGCCAATCCAAGACAGTCCCAGGATTTAGTCTAGTCCATAACAGTCCGCTGTACCAAACAGAGCCTTAAGGTCTAATGCCCTATAGTGAGCGCTTCCATTGGTTATGAAAGTTGATCTAAAGTCCACTACATGGTTCTTGATAAAAAGTGGCTAATGAACTGCTTGTGGGCTCTAATGAGGACGTCATGCATTAAAATGAGAGAGATTATGACACTCCAAGTTGCTTTAATTTTTGTTGAGTCCTATATCCGTAAACTACGTCAATCTGATCTATATAAGCGATTGTAGGAAGCTGAATTAGTGACTAACCCTTTTGGAGTATTGCGATGTAGGAAGCTGAATTAGTGACTAACCCTTTAGATGTCATGAATGGAAAAGTGATAACCTCGACATCTGGTTTTGTCCAATAGGAGTATCAATTGGTTTACAATCTAACATACTTGTTTCTGCCAGTAAATCCAGAATATACTTCCTTTGAGATAGAAAAATACCAAGTTTAGGTCTAGCATCTTCGATCCCAACGAAGTATTTCAGCTCACCCAATTATTTCATATCAAACTCAGAAGCTAGATACTTCTGAAGACATTCTATCTCTGTGAGTAATGAAACTTCCTCATTAATGAGGTAAACCTAACAAACCACACTCTCGAAGATTGCTTCAAACAGTACAAGGATTTTCTCAATTTTCACACAACAACCTTTTGGGAAGCCACATGAGTACCCATAGGAAGATCCATGTACACCTGCTTCTTGAGATCGCCATAAAGGAATGCATTTTTAACCTTAAACCGTAATAAAGGCCACTCCAGGTTAGCAACAAGAGACAAAAGTACACGAACAATATTATTCTTTTCTACAAGAGCAAAAGTCTCCTAATAATCCACTCTATACGTCTGAGTATAACCCTTTGCTACCAATGTGGCCTTGTAACGATCAATAGAACCATTAGCTTGGTGTTTTTTTTTCTCTCCAAGGCTTCCATTTCAACATTCATGGCATTGACCCACTTAGGGTTTGATAGAGCATCTTGCAACTTAGTTGGAATATATACACTAGATAAATATGATTCATATGACTTGGGATAAATAATGACTTGACACATAATTATTAATAGGATATTTCGTTTTGGCATGTATATTAGGTGAGTATTGCACTTTAGGTTTTCCATGAGTACTTTGTGGAGGAAATTGATAAGTAGATATAGGCACAACATTAGAATTTACCTCATTGTGTCATGAATCGATTGAGACAATGGCAAGGCATAGGGGGTTATGGTGTCGCCATCAGTTACATCATCACAACAATCCACGATTTCACCATCATCACTCAGTTCATCCGCAACCAACTAGTCTACTCCTTATTGGTGACAAGTTGCTATAGACAGAGAGCTTCCATCGGTTCCAGATGTTACTGACCGGGTTGGTTTAGACATAGACGGAGATGGAAAAGTTACAATTTATTCTATATTTTAAACTCTCTTTTGCTTGATGACTCTCCATTTCACTCCCCCTTCCCCATGAAGTAGAGAGGCAGGAGCAGGTTGAACAAAATATGAAACATCTTCATGGAACATCACATCCAAGGTAATATGCATTTTCTGAGTAGGAGGATGGTAGCACTTGTAGCCTTTCTGAGTAGTAGAATAGCCAATAAACACGCACCATAGAGCACAAGGATCAATTTTACTTTGTTGATGAAGGTAAACATGGACAAACACCACACACCCAAACATCTTAAGAGGAAGCATGGATATAGAAACTGGGGAGACACATTCTTATAACACTTCAAGAGGAGTTTGAAAGTTAGAATCCGTCTAGCAGTATGATAATCAAATAGACCGCAGCTAAAACAATATGCCCCCAAAAGTAATTGGGAACTGACATATCCAACATTAGGGAGTGGGAAACTTTAAGCAATTGACGATTCTTTCATTTGGACACACCATTTTTTTGGGGTGTAAACGGAGTTGTTGTTTGATGAATAAAACCTTGATCATGGAAGAAACAAGCCAATGTATTATTCACATGTTCTCTTCCATTATCAATTCTGAATACTTTGACCCTAGTCTGAAATTCAGTAGACACCGTGGCACAAAATTCTTGAAAACCCAAGTTGACCGAGTGCAATCATCCATATAGGTAACGAACCAACGAAATCTATTCGAATCAATCTTAGCAAGATCCTACACATCAAAATGCACTAAATCAAAGGGCAACACAACTTATTTTTACTAAAAGGGAAAACAATACATTGGATTTTGGACAATACACATGTTGCGCACTTGAAAATAGACTAATCACAAGAACAGAATAAAGATGGAAACAAATGCTTAAGAAAGCCAAACGATGGGTGTCCCAAGTGACGATGCCATTGCCAGATTTTTTATTTTTCTTTGACACTGCCACTCTTAGAGCATCTCCACCCATAAGGGCTAAGTCTAGGGCAAGGGCAAGCAAGGGCTGCTACTATTCACATGAATAGTGTCAACCTTGCCATTTGTGGTTCCACCCATGAGAGCTAAGTCTAGGGTAAGTCTAAGGCAAATACTATTCATTGTACTTTATTTCCTATTTTTTTTTTATACTTTAAACCATTAATTTTGATAATCTTTTGTAATTAAATTTTCGAATAAGGTTTTTGGTTGTTACGTGTCCATTATTTTTCAGAAAAGATTTTCGGATAAGAATCTCGGTTGCCATGTGTCTTATTTCAGATAAAATTTTCAGATATTCATTATAAAAAAAATTATAATCTCATATTTCAGATAAGATTTACACCCTCTAAAATTGTGCCACGTGTCCCATGTCAGATAAAATTTTTAGATATTTAAAAAAATTATAATCTCATATTTCAGATAAGATTTTCACCCTCTAAAATTGTGCCACGTGCCATCTCTATCTTCTGAATCCCTCTATAAAACTACACCATCAACTCATACCTCTCACATCATCTCTTATCTATTCCTTCATTTCTCAGATTTTACAAAACACATTCTACTCTCAATGTCAAACTTGAGGAGGGTATTGGAGAGGCAACAGAAAGAAAGGAAAGAAATCTGGCGTAGACGTGCTGAAGAAGATTGGGACGCTTATGAAGAAGAGGAACAAATGCTTGTAGCAGCGGTGTGTATGCTTAATCAATCAAGGCAACACCGTCGTCGTCATGCCCCGAATGTGGACAGATGTAGGGAGTCTCGGGGTAAGAATCTCTTGGAGGATTACTTTATCCCAAATTCGTCATATCCTGTTTCTAAGTTTCGAGAGAGATATAGAATGTAGTCACATTTGTTCCAAAAAATCATGCATGATATTTGTAATTACGACACATACTTCATTCAAAAGCATGATGCTGTTGGAGTTTTTGGTATTATCCCGGGGCAAAAACTTACAGCTGCTTTGCGGATGCTTGCTTATGGGGCATCTGCAGAGCAGGTGGATGAGATTACAAGGATGAGAAAGTCTACTATCCTAGAGTGCTTGGTGAGATTCTGTGATGCAGTGTAAAATTTGTACACGAGGGAGTACCTTCGTAAACCCACACCGAGGGACCTCTAAAGGCTTCTACAAAAAGGCGAGGCTCGAGGTTTCCCAGGAATGATTGGAAGCATCGATTGCATGCACTGGCAGTGGAAGAATTGTCCTACTGCTTGGCAAGGGGAGTACGGGAATTGGAAGGGCCAAAAAAGTATAATTTTGGAGGCCGTAGCTTCATTCGACTGTTGGGTTTGGCATGCCTTCTTCGGGGTTGCCGGATCTCAGAATGACCTCAATGTCCTTGGTCAATCCCCGGTGTTCGACGAGGTATTGCGAGGTCATTCCCCCCCAAGTCACGTACCAAATCAACAATACCGTATACTCTGGTGCCTACTACCTTACCGACAGAATTTATCCTAGGTGGACGACGTTCGTGAAAACAATTCCGAATCCCCAATCCGAGAAGGAAAGAAGCTTTACTTCCTTTCAAGAAGGTTACAGGAAAGATGTGGAAAGGTGTTTCGGTATCTTGCAAGCTCGGATGCTAGATGAGGAGGTGCTGTGGAGTATTATGATGACTTGCAGCATCCTCCACAACATGATTGTGGAAGATGAGTATGATGACTACGATGCTCCAGAGGTGTTTGAACCCGATCCCATGAACACGACGTTGACAATAATATATGAAAGGCCGATGGGACCAAATGGACTACCAATGGAGCACGAACCGTTACTTCGGGATGGTCGATTCAACAACCCCATGATTGATCGTTATCAAGAAATGCAATCTTCATATGTTCACGAGAGAAGTCAAGTTGACTTGATCGAGCACTTGTGGGAGATCAAAGGCAATCACAATGGATGAAGTCAAGATTAGTGCTTTGTTTGGAATTATGCTTTGTTTTTAATTATGCTTTATTTTGTGTGTGGTGTTTTTTTGGAATTATGCTTTTATGTATGGTTTGTTTTGTGTGTTGTTTGCAATAAATTAAGGTTTGTTTTTAATTAATCTTTGTTTTGATGCTCAAATGTTTTAATAAATAGTCATATTATTTAATGATCTTTTTATTGAATAAAAAGGAAACGATACAACAAATTAAAGGATAATACAACAATACAACAATACAACAATACAACATATGGCAAAGGTGTTTCAATACAACCTAATGGTTTTCATCATTTAACCAATCCGTATTGCTAGGTCCGTCGTCATGGAAAAGTTTTCTTCTCATCACATCCCTTTGTCTATGCTTCCAATAGGCCTTTGTTTCAGGAGACATATGGCTGGTATCCATGGCCATGATTTTCATCTCTCTATCATCCATGTCTTTTTCTTGTGCCTGTTGCTGTTGAATAACAAATGCTTCCTCTCGTGCCATGTCCGCTTCATCTCTTTTCAAGTCTCTCTCAATTCTTAGTGAGGTGTTCTTAGCTATTTTCTCCAATAATTGTACACATTCATTGTTCAAAGTGCCCCCTCTCTTGGCCTTTGCCGCCTTTCTCCCAATAGGTCTCGGCGGACGTGGAAGTGGTGACTCCATTTCCATTGGGGAGTCCAATGGCGAATCGGGGAGCGACGTCTCATTCAACACAACCGGCGAACCGGTGGGAATAATTTTGAATCTTGAACAAAATTGATTATGCAAGAAAATATAGACAAATAAAAAAAAAAAAAAAAAAAAAAAAAAAAAAAAAAAAAGAAAGAAAAGAAATAGAATATGCAATAATAAAAAGTTAATTTAAATTGATTAAAATGGCAATTATAAATATTTTACCTCATCGGTAAAATTTTGACCGCTTCGAATGTTCTCCCTTGCTTTTGTCAAGGCATTTCTCCATTTCACTAACTCTTTATTCAGAAGTTTCCATCTACTAGACAAGGCCATTTCGGTCCGAATGGAACCCGATCTTTGACAAAATTCTCCATGAATTTTGCTCCACATATGATGGAACTTCATCTGATTGCCCGTGATAGGGTCATGACTAACGTTCACCCAAGACTGACACAACGCAATATCTTTCTGAGTTGACCACGAGCCTCCGACTTCGATAGAAGATGCCATTTGTTTATTTGTTTTTGTTTTTGTTTTTTATACAAATGGAAAGTAGTAGAAAAATGTGAGTGGAGAGTTAAAAATATTGGAAGGAGAAGAGTTTGTATGGAGAATTGGTGTGGAAAGTGAAAAATGTGAGTGGAGAGTAAAAAATATTGGAAGGAGAAGAGTTTGTATAGAGAATTGGTGTGGAAAGTGAATAATGTGAGTGGAGATTAAAAAATATTGGATAGAGAAGAAATTGTATGAAGATTTGGTGTGGAAAGTAAATAAAATGGTTAGGTATTTATAGGAAAAAATACATAATTTTTTGGTATTTAAAAAAAAATTTCAGAATTTTTTTGATTTTTTTTAGCCAAAAAAAGAGGACTGTCGGATTTCTGGAAAAAAAACCGATTGGAGCATACCTGTTGCGACACGTGGCACATCCCAATTGGATTCTGTCAAGGGTGACGTTAGCGCACGGAATTTTTTTTTTTTTTTTTTTTTTTTTTTTTTGTTGGCGCTTGTAATTCATGAGCCAACGGTAAAAAAAATTTGAATTACCGTGTTGTGACATCAGTGCTGATGTCACAGCCCTCAGGCTGAAGCCCAGGCAAAACTTGCCCTTGGGCCTGCCCGTGCTGGTGGGACCTAGCTGTTGCCCGGGCTTTTTCTCTCGCGCTGGAAGGCGTTTGGGCTCGCCAGGGGGGCCTTTCCCCTGGTTTGGGTTGCGTGTTGGAGATGATCTTAGCGACCCGATCACAAACTGCTTCTATCGGTAATTTCAAATAGTATAATCCCCCTATCCTTTTACCATGCCCAATTGTCTAGTGCGTCCTGAGATCCTAGAAAGAACAATGTTTATAATAGAAAGTAGCAAACTCATTAAGTAAATCAGGTAATCAGCCAACAAATAACAAATTACAATGGATATTCGGAACCAGTAACGCACGTGACAAAGACAATCTAGAAGTGAGGGTTATTATGCCCTTACCAGTAATTGGAGAGGGGGTAAGCCATTAGCACTAGTTATGTATGAGTCACAAGTATTACTAGACAAATTATCAAATAATTTAGCACCAGTGTCAATTATCCAAGTATTGTAAAAAGTACCTGGTATGGAGTCAGAAACACGAAAATTTGTAGACGGCACAGTGGGTTCAGTCTCTCCTTGAGTCATAGTGCAAGCAACCTTAGGGCCACACATACGGGCTTTGTAGTCAACAAGCCAGTATAGGTAACCATGTTCTTTAAAATAGTTTCCGGAAAGATGATCACCTCCATAATGAATACACTTGTGGGTTCCTTGGCCCCGGGGGAGGGTGGGTGGGACTAGGTTTGGCCTTGGCTAGGCAGAGTTGGTTGGTTGTCTAAGAAGGACCAGGTAGGCGGAAGCCAACAAAAGAGGACAAACGACTGGTTGTTGGGGTATGGCCAACCAGTCTAGAGCGGGTAGAATATGCCTTCATGGTAGCGGCACTTGCAAGCATGGTAGTCGTCGAGTGTTTTCCTCTATCACTATGACACAGGCTTCCAAGTTAGATGGGACTACGAACTCCATCAAATTGAGGGTCAAGTCCTCCAAGAAAATCATAGACTCGGTCGATTTCAATTTCTTTTTGGTGTCGAGCTACATCACTTGGATTGGTAAGTTCATTGGGGTGCAGACAATCAATCTCTTGCAAAATAACATGTAATTTCTCGTAAAACACATTCATAGGCTCACCATTCTGACATCTCACAGATTGCCGTCAAAATTGAAGAAACGAGAAGTATTTTGAGTAACAATATAGGTTTTCTAGGTAGCATCCCAGAAAGCAGTATCACACTGCTCAAACAAGGCGCACACCTTCTTGGTCATGGAATTGAGAAGCCATGACTGCATCAAACAATTGTCTTCTGTCCATTCAACATATTCATTAAAGTCTTCCTTTGGAGCTTCTTCCCATTGATAAATCCTACCATACGACAACTAGTAATCGTAAGGAGTGCACTACGTGACCAAGAGGCATAATTGGATCCATCCAATTTTTTAAGGGTAATAAGGACAAAATAGTCATGAGAGGGTCGATCCTCCTTGGAACTAGAAGCACACAGCAACATCAACACACCTTTTGAATCATCACCCATGCATGGCAAAAAACAAAAAAAAAAAAAAAAAAAAAAAAAAAAAAAAAAAAAAAATAAAAATAAATAGGGCACACGACACAAGCAGAGAGGGGGAACGACAAGGTGTGGAAAAACCCTACAACAAAATAGGGTTTGGCATAGGTTATTGAACAGGTGGGCACGACACACAAGGTCACTAGAAATTAAAGTGCTGCTTTGACACCATGTTAAACAATATGTGGAAATTTTCAGATGATTATTACTCTCCACTTTAGAGGCAATATATATAGTTTACAAGAGTGCTTTACAATTATACCTAAGTATACAAGGAATCCTAATTACATCGTGACTAAAACAAAAATAAAGATAATTCATAAAATTGTCTTACAACTCGGAACAAAGTGGAACATATACTATAATCCAAGAGGCATGAGATAACTAAGTTTAAGTCTTAGTGAATCCGCAATGGGCTCCTTAAACCACCTACTTAGACAAATTTTAGGGAGGAATTGGAAAAATACCACTCCAACCATACTCCCTATCCACCTCCTAATATAGAGAGACCTCTAAGAGCTCCTAAAAAAAATAAGGAGCATGATTGTAGATTTGTTAATGACTTTTAATGACGTGACTCGTCATTTCAAGATATGACGGTGTACCAATGGTATGGTTCACTCATGCAACTCATATATGCGAAAGGTCACCATTTATGATGGTCATAATTCTCTCAAGAACTGTTCTCCATAAAACTTATCCATTGTAGATAATTATGTCATAAATGACTAACTGTGGTAGGCCAAATTTGACCGCAGAAACACCAAGACTTCTTGCCAAATTATTTTACTACTAATATGAATGGTAGATATAATCAATATAGTCATCCAAAACTTATTTTCTTTTTCACGAAGGTGCTGTAAATAATTTGAATTGTAATGACCTATTTCTTGTAGCTATAACTAACGATTCAAATCGTTAAAAACGTTTAAAATTATAGCAACTAGGATACCTAGCTAGTAGCTTTGAATTAATAGATAAACTCTAGGGTTACTAACTATTAAAGAAGGAGACTTTTGGCCCTCCCATCTTTGGTGCCCTAGGATCAACTGAATATCAGCATTTTGTCTTAGACTAAAAACAAAGAGAAGATCTCATTGGGGTTGCCTAAAGAGATTTGATAGTATAGAATCACTTTCAGTGGTCCATTATAGTATGAGTACAAGGAACTTTTCCCCTTTACGCAAACCATTTGAAGTGGTGAGTCAATTTGAACGCAGCAAATTCAATACGATGCAAACCTACCAAATAGCTGAACATGAGGGCAAATTGGCATACGTATCATCTTCGGAAAAGGGCCTTTGACCCTTTTTTTTCTTCTTCTCAAAATGAAGTCTATATGCCAGTAGCCCCAAGCCCTGAATTAATTTTATTGGATTTCAACTTTCCAGAGTTTTTGTTGTGGAGGACAAAACACAAGAAAAATGAGGTCATGGTAATAGGTTGAAAGTTGGAAACGCATGCTTGTCTGTGGCAAACGTGCAGAGATATTCTGATTCCTGGATGGTGGTACAATAATTATATATGTAACAGCAGGGATGTGAGGAGGAGAGCAGGTTTCATACCCATGGACCAACATATCTATGTACCAAAATGTACGGCCCTGATTTGGTTTCCAGCAGAGGAAGATGCTCCAAATCATGGGTTTTTGGTTTCCACCAGAGGAAGATCCCCGTGACTTTTCTCTGATGTATAAAATTTGGGGCCAGTTTCATTTTTCATGGGTCAAAATATATTTTACTCTCTTCTTCGCAGTGAAGGGACCACCACAGAGAAATACAGTGAGGGCGGTTAGGTAGAGTGAGAGGGCGCAGTGCTTGGGGAGCAAAGTAAAAAGGTAAGGATCAATTTGTAATTAGTGATCAATATCTTACGGTTAACAGAGTTGTAAACGTGTCCAGTTGCTGCCTCAAGGTTGACACGTGGGACATTCCCCAATTAGGTCTTTATTTATTTATTTATTATTTTAAAATACCGGTGATATTAGAGTAGAAGAATTGAAACCATCACCCGAATGTAAGGATAACTGCTTTTAACCACTTGAATTACAACCCAATTACGTTATTATTAAATGGGCAGAAGCCCTGTGTCTGAAGATAACAACTAATAGGAATTGTTTTGCAAAACAACTATTTTATTTGTGGTTACAATGCTCATTTTTGGGTAGGCATGGTTTTATGAGTAATTAATAGGAAAAACCGAATATGTTTGTGCAGCACAATAGGCTTTCAAGTTTGAACTCAACAGTTTATGTTTCTTTTCTTGTTGGAATTCTGTGAAGCAATGGAAGGTAGCAGCTCAAACAACGTCGAAAATATCTTCCTTCCCGCCCACGGTATCTCCTTTCCCATGGCTCTCTCTCTCCCTCTCTCTCTCTCTCTCTGTGTTTCATTTCAATATGTTCCATTTTGAAGTTGAAAGAACTTTATAATTATAAACTAAGTACCAATATAATAAAAATATAAATGCAGAAAACCAAGTGCCAATATAATAACTTTATATACGAGACGGGTGTGCCAATTGGTTTTTTTTTAATTTTATAAATTATTTATTAAATTTATTCCAGAATATAAAAAAATAATGGGTAATTGTGTTTCATAAATATAGGATCCATTATCCGATTTTGTTTTTAATTATAATTATTTTTAATATAAACAATATAAATTTACCATATTATCCTCATTTAATTAAAAATTTCAATTCTTAATGTTTGCATTAACCAATGACATTTTCTGGTATTTTAAATGTTTCATCATTGATTTTTTGTTTTGTTGCACATGACTTATTGAAACCACAGGAAAACTATCCACAAATAGGTAGCCTTTCTCATGTAATTTTGTGTTATACTTTCAATGTACCAGTGTATTATTTTATCAACGGTTGATATTACTATTTGAATTTTTAAATTTTCAATCTTTTAACCCGATGACTAAAATAAAAAAAAGTGGAATGCACCGATGCATCGGATATGTCGCAGAAAGATAAACCTTTGTCTTACACTAGGATACATTTGACTCATTACTTTTGGATCCGCTTTGGTAACTTATAACAGATCCAAATGAGTTACGAAACCGACAGAACGAACTTGAGAAGAAAGAAGCACGGATTCAAGAGCTGAAGAAACAAATTGAATTAACCAAGCTTCATTTGGAGGAGATGAAGAAGAAGCCAGGTGCAAAGGAGAAAATGGAAGCTTTCAATCACCTGGTTGAGGCATATAACCGCATGAGAGAGGAGTACAATCCATGGTTGGCTGAGAGATCGAGGGACTCCAACAAGTGAACAAGGATTGATTCATTTTCAACCGTCTTTGTCAATGTTTTAATTGCAATTAAGTTAATCAGTAGTTAATTCACTTCTGTAGGAAGTAATTCTGTAATGTATGAATCAACTTCTATCAATATACTTTGTGCTATATAAAAAGTAAACTACCAGTTCCGTATGAATTTGAGCTTCACTTGTGCCCATGTGATTTATTAAAGAAGAGAAGAGAAGAGAAGAGAATTGACCAATACACTACATGACTGCTCTTAGTAGGAATACACCTATTGGCTAAAGCTTTGTTCTTCTCATTGAACCTAATTTGGTACTTGGGTTGTTTATCAGGAGAGAAGAGACCAAAGTGCCGCTCAATTTCTGCAGGACCCTTCTGGTTTTCATCAAACATGGCAAACAAGTAGGTTTCTACAGGTTTTCCACGCCTCTTGGGAGTCCCTCCCTTCACACTGTCAATCAAATTCTTGTAGTAAGTGCTTGCATTTTCAACTGTGGCTCCTTCCCCGCCTTGCGATGGCCAACCGGTCTCCGATACAACGATCTCCACACTCGAACCGCCGGCTTTCTCAAGAGCAGAGTAGAGGGCATCCACAGCTGCAGCAAAGAGATTTGTGTACCCAAATGCACCATCTTGTACTGTCACCCCAGGTGCAGCAAATAGGGCATAGCCAAGGCTGATGTCTTTGGTGTCACCGATGTAGCTGAAATAAGGGTACACATTGGCAAGAAATGGAGAGCCGTTACTTGCAAGGAAGGCAATGATAGGGTTTATGTATGAACTCGCAGCATCACTAAATGAGCCTGTTGACGGTGGATAAGAACTGCCCAACAGAGACATGTCTATGGCTGTTGAAACTTTGATTTGGTCCTGCAAATTGGCAGATGCAATTGCGGTTTTAATGTTTTTCATGGCTGCTAGAACACATATTGCTTCTGCATCTTGGGGCTTGATCTCATTTCCCACTGCAATGTACCTAAACTTGACATCAGGGAAGTAGTTTAGGACATTGTTTTGAACCCAAGCAGTGGCAGCTGCAACGTCATTTCCAAGGGACTGGATGTCTTGGTTTCGAACGCCGACGATGAGTTCGATGTTGGATCCTCTCAGGGCTTGGAGAGTTGGAGGATTTGGATCGAAAATTCGCATTCTTGTTATGCCATTTGCTTGGTAGAGACTTATGACTTCTGGATCAGGCGGCAGGTTGTCGGCAACCCGACCATAACAAACTCCTATTGACTCTGCACCTATCTCAAATTCAATCAAAACCAAATATGAACTACATCATGTCAGCCTGTGAATGTTTCTCGCGTAAGTAGAACATAAAAACTTTTGAGCCTAAGAAAACACTTTGGTCTACTTCTACCAAAGAATCGTTTGAGACTATTTCTGGAAATATCAAAAGTGATTTCCAAGGATAAACATTTCTGAAAGAACTTCTAACAACAACACTTGGGAGCATAACTGCTTCTTACAGAAGTAGTCCTAAACGGGCCCTAAATAATGTTATGCAAAATGTTTTTCTTAACATTTAGAACCTTTTGCTTTCTTTTTCTCGGAAGTCCTTAAATATAAACATACACTGAGACATGCAGGGATGTACCTGTTGTTGTGGAGCTTAATGTCAAAAGCCCAAGAAGTAGGAACGCAGAAACCACATATGGTTTGTTAGCTATAATCTCACAAAATGAAGCCATGATGAAAATGATTGGTATAACAAGCTAAGGAATAGATTGGTAACTTTGTATTGCCTTCTTTCACTAACAAATTACTTATATATAGAGCCAAAGTGCTTTAGATTAAATTATATATCATGCAAATGTGGGGTGAGATGAATGAACTAATCATGCCATGGATTACAAAAGACAGAATATCTTCTGATAAAAACTAATTTGTATTCCATTAACGTATTATATATAAATAATAATAATGGTTTATATCATGCTAACAGGCTTTAGAATCAATAGGGATATTTATGTATTTGGCATGTTAATGCTGAAATATAGAACATTGAAACCTTATTTTAACACGCCTATCTTTCTCATTATTAAAAACAAAAAACAAAAATTCTGATAATACCAATGTCGGCCAATGTCCTCCAAAATTGTTGTAAACATAATTATATTATATAGTACTTTCTTTATTTTATAAATAAATAAATATTTGACTTTTTCAATGACAATTGGGTCAAGTAGCACCAATTTGGTCAATGACAATTTCCATATTGTTCATGAGTTCAAATTCCATGTAGAATAATTGCTAAAATATAAAATTAATAAATCACTTGCCAAGTTTCGTCGATTTGCATCACTTGAGGTCCCTCACTTTTTTTAGGAGAAAAACTTCTGTGAAATGAGGATAGCACTATTTTGCTTGAGGTCCCTCACCTTCTTTAGACGCTCTACATGATTCGTTCGACGGGAAATTCTCATCGAACTTTTTTGGCTCATTTTAGTTTTACTTAACTAAATAAAAATTTCCTCTGAATAGAAAAGCTAAATATTAATTTCCTCTTTATTACAACCACGATTGGTATATAAGTAGTCAATTTCTCTAGCAAGTAATAATGTATATATTAAGGAAAATGCTAGGCATACCACATTCTGTGCTACCTCTTTAATATAGTAGGCTCCACCTCTATTAAAGATATGGTACACAATGTGGTATAAAAATGTGGTATATGCCTAGCATTACCCATGTATTAATCAACTTCTATCAATATACTTTGTGCTATAAGTAAACTACAAGTTCCATATGTTTTTGAGCTTCACTTGTGTGCGCCCATGTAATTTAATAATTGTTATTCTCATTTATGCAAGAATAATAGTAGGACAACAATTAGGTCAACAAATTTAATCTAAACATATAGAAACAACAAAGAAGAGAAGAGAATTAACCAAAACACTAAATTACTGTTCTTAATACTAGAAGACGTATTGAAAAAAACAACTTTCCTCTTCTTTTTTCTTTTGACAGATAAAACTTTACTCTTCCATTGAAACTAATTTGGTACTTGGGTTGTTTATCAGGAGAGAAGAAACCAAATTGTCGCTCAGTTTCTGCAGGGCCCTTTTGTTTTTCATCAAACATGGCAAACAAATAAGTTTCTACAGGTTTTCCAGGCTCCGTTCACACTGCCAATCAAATTCTTGTAGTAAGTGCTTGCATTTTCAACTATGGCTCCTTCCTCACCTTGGGATGGCCAACGGGTCTCCGATACAACGACTTCCACAGTGGAAACGCTGGATTTCTCAAGATCAGAGTAGAGAGCACCCACAGCTGCAGCAAAGAGATTTGTGTATCCAAATGCACCATCTTGTACTGTGACCCTAGGTGCAGAAAATTGTAAAGATATTATTATTAGTTGTTTATTTTTGAGTTGTTTGAATAATCCTTAAGTTGTAGGAACGTAGTTGTAGAAGTTTATCTTTGACTGTTTCTCTAGCCAGTATCCCATGAGATTAGGACTTGTTATTTGTGGGATAATGCTTCAGCTTTTTATGTTGGTTTCAGTTCATGTAAAGGCTATATAGCCTAGTTCTTTTATCTTGAATAAACACTGTGACAAAACTTATTCTTCTCAATCATATTCTCAAGCAAAACTTAGTTTAATACCAATAATTGGTATCAGAGCCCCAACTGGGGTAGAGAGAGAATAAGGAAGCTTGAAGTAGCAAGAATTAATGGTAGGAGAAGGAAGTAGCTTCGTGCAACCAGCGATTCCACGCTTCGATGGCCATTATGACCACCAGAGCATGTTGATGGAAAACTTTTTGACGTCCAAGGAATATTGGGGCGTAGTGGAGAATGGAATCACATAGTATGCAGAGGGTGCAGAGTTGACAGAAGCTCAATTCTGCTATCTTCTCTTCAACTGCTTCTACATCAACAACATTGCTCTGCTCACTTTGAGCAGGGGCAGGTCAAGATAAAGCTGCTTACCGTCTTCGTGTTCGAGAGGGCAACAAGGAGAAGCACTATTCCTGCAATCCAAGTATCCCAGCTTGTACGCATTAGCAACAATCTCATGCTTGGATGCCTCCGTGGCTTCAACATGAGTGTCGAACTTGACCAGCGGAGCTATCACCAACTCCTGGATCGGCAGTTTGCGCAACTTAAGGAATCTTTGCTCGAGCAGACGACTCTTTAGCTCTCTTGGACGTAACTCGCAACATTGAGTCAACTCCGTGATTGACTGTTTGTGGCTTTGCAGACGAGTTGTGATTGCTAGACAGATGTACAGTCCTCTCAGTTTGATCCCAGGATCGGCAAAAGCAACTCAAACCCGGCTTCTCAACAGCCTCTTCACAGGGTAGATCATGGGTTTTAGGCAGTTTGAGCGGATACCTGAGCATAATATCCTGGACCTCATGCATGTCATTGATCTTCTTACTGTTCATGCTGACGAGGCGCTTGATCCTGGCAGATGAAGAAGCAACTCCCATAGGGACATTCCCAGCAGACGAGACCCCCGTACGGAGACTTGTTCGTGGAAGAATGAGGAAGCTTGGTGGAGGACTTCTCCCGCTCAACTGGCAGATCATCTAGGTCCGAGCCATGCAGCTCCCATCTTTCAACATCTTCGGCTAGGGGCAGACCATCAGCCTCCTTCTGATGTTCACTTGTGGATGTCATTTTCTACAAGCAGAAGACAAAAGTCAGTCAGACACACAGTAAAGAATTCCATGGCTACTGTAGCATATCAAAGGGATGCAACTTACCATTATAGTAGGTGAGAGGAACGAGCGGACCGTCGCCAACCTCCCCTACCCATCTGCTGCTGACTTCCAACATGTCCGTGCTCCACACATGATCGCCTTCACTCATACCGTTCCTAGTTCGTGACACAAAAAGAAGGAATTGAAGCAGTTTGGATCAACCACAAATAAGCCGACCCAAACTGCCACCTGCTCCAGCAGCAGGCCGGCTCACCTCCAACCCAGTTACAGCTAGACCGCCCAAGTTAAAAGACCAAAGTGGCAAGTCAAAGACTTCCTCCACGCAGGAGCCCAAATCAAAAAAGGAAGCCCAGTTACAGCTGGATAGCCCAACAGATAATTCACATCTCCTACATGCCGTCACACGCCATGCAGAAGCTATGGGCATTTGTGGGAACCAATTACATCAAAACCCTAGGTCAAATAATTCCTTCCATTTGGGGATTATTTGACCTAATTGGGAATTACTCAACCTAATTGGGAGTTACTCAATTTAATTGGGGGTTACCCAATTAAATTGATAATTACCTAATTAAATTGAGATTTGATTTTATTCCTACCACATTTAGGGATTTGACTTACCCTAATAAATCAAATCCCTAATTAATCAAATCAATGCCAAATCGGGGAAGAATAATTCCTTACCAACTACGAAATTATTCCTTTGAAACCCTAGCCTCCGATACCACTATAAAAAGATGGTCACACACAAAGGTGAAGGTACGTCTAAATTCCTACTGAAACTCTGCAGAAATTATTTCTCACAAACCCTAGCCACCACTTTCTTTCTTTCTCTGACACAAGGCTCCGGCCACCACACACGACTCCGACCACCCGGTTTTCCTTAAAATACCCTACCTAACTTAGGCATCGGAGGGCCTTTGGCCAACACCCCCCGGGTGTGGTCCTTTTACCCCTGATTTGTTTTGCAGGGAGAAAGAGAAGTGGAGAAGACGAAGGAATCTTGGACGAATATTCTAGTGGGACGAAATTTGCTCCCACAGAGGTCAAGGAGGCTTTCGAGGACGTGGAAGAGGACGCCAAGGTAAATCAAATGTGGAGTGTTACTACTGCCATGAAATGGGACACTTTCAATAGGAGTGTCCCAAGAAGGGGAATGAAACAAAATCCATTATAGCTAAAACTAAAGAAGAGTTGTTGCTGATGGCATATGTGGAAGTCAAGGGAAAACAAATCAACAACACATGGTATTTGGATTCAGGCTGTAGCAATCACATGAGTGGAACCAAGAAGATGTTCACCAAACTTGATGAGAAGTTCAGGGAGAATGTAAAGCTTGGTAATGACTCAAGCTTAAAAGTACAAGGAAAAGGAGATGTCAAAATTAAAGTCAATGGTGCTGTACAAATCATATCAGGTGTGTTCTGTGTGCCTGACTTTAGAAGTAATCTGATCAGCCTTGGTTAGCTTCAAGAGTAGGGGTTCGCCATTCTAATTCAAAAGAATCGCTGCCAAATTCATCAAAGGTTAAATTATGCATGTTGAAATGGCTTATAATAGAATGCTTCCATTATAAACACAAGCAGCATTGACCAAGCAAGTCTGTCTGAAATCAACTATCCAAGATGATACTTGGTTGTGGCATTTTAGATATGGACAATTGAATTTCAAAGGCCTAAAGACTTTACAGCAAAAAAGCTTGGTGGGAGGACTACCTCAGTTGCAACCTCCAACTAGAGTTTGTGAAGAATGCATGATGGGAAAACAACACAGAGAATTTTTTTTCCAAAGGAAAGCACTTGGAGAGCATCATTAGTATTACAACTTGTTCATTCGGACATTTGTGGACCTATAAATTCTATTTCCAACAGCAACAAAAGGTATTACATTAACTTTATTAATGATTATAGCATGAAGACTTGTATATATTTCTTAGCTAGAAAGTCAAAAGCCTTGGCTATTTTCAAGAAGTTCAAAGTTGTTGTGGAGAAGGAAACTAGTTTGTTCTTCAAAACATTACAAATTGATTGTGAAGGAGAATTCACATCCTCCTTTAAACTAAATGCGATTAAGCAATCAGTGTACATCTGAACTTGAATAGACTCCAAGTCAACTGGGTATCCTTTTAAATGTTCATCATAACATTACGAACTGATCATGGCGGAGAATTCAATTCACAAGTGTTTGTTAATTTTTGTGAAATGAAAGGAATTAAAAGATAGTTGACAACAGCTTATTCACCACAACAAAATGGAGTAGCCAAGAGGAAGAATTGCATCATCATGAACATGGTCCGTAGTATGCTCGCTTTGAAGAAAGTTCCTAAAAGGTTTTGGCCAGAAGCAGTGAACTGGAGCAACCATATCCTCAACAAATGTCCAACCCTAACAGCGAAGAATGTTACTCTAGAAGAAGCTTGGGGTGGAAAAAAAAAAAACCTAATGTTGGCTACTTTAGAATATTTGGCTGCTTGGCATATGCTCATGTAAGTGATTCTCAATGTTTTAAACTTGATAATAAGAGTGTGAAAGGTGTAATGCTTGGTGTTAGTGAGGAATCAAAAGCTTACAGGTTGTACAACCCAAATACACAGAAGATTATTATTAGTAGAGATGTTGTTTTTGGTAAAGATGAAGGATGTGATTGGAGTAATGGAAAATATCAACATGTCACTGTTGACCTAGAAGCAAATGAAGAAATTGAAGATGTCACACATCAAGCTTCTCAAAATGAGTTACCAGAAAATGACTCATTAGAGAACAACTCCTCAGAACCTGATGAAGCAATGACTAGGGGAACTAGAACAAGAAGAGCACTTGGATGGCTAACTGATTATGTGACTAGAGAAGAACTAACAGATGAAGAAAATGGCGCTCACTTTAATTTGTTCATTGATAGTGATCCAATCACCTTTGATGAAGCTGTTAAAGCTCAAAATGGAGGAAAGCCATGGATGTTGAGATAGACGCCATTCAAAGAAACAATACATGAGAGCTTATTGATCTGCATGTAGGAGGAAAAACAATTGAAGTCAAGTGGATCTTTAAAACAAAGATCAAAGAAAATGGTGAGATTTTCAAGTACAAAGCTAGGTTAGTAGCTAAAGGATACTCTCAAAAGCATGGTATTGATTATACAGAAGTTTTTGCACCTATAGCTCAACATGATATCATTCGATTAGCAATTGCTTTAGCTGCCAAAAATGACTAGGATATCATAAACAAGTCCGCTGTAGCAATACTCACAAATGGATAATTGTAATCCAGGCTCGAATTCTGGTAGCGGAATTCGTTTCTCTTTTTCTTTTTTCTTTTCCTCTTTTTCTTTTTTGAGTTGGGTTGTTTACTTGGGCCTTAATATGATAAATGGGCTTGATAGCTCACACTAAAACCTATGAAGAATTCTAAATATTCTATTAACACTCAAAAGAATTTTGAATTTTTATTACCACCCTAAAATTTACCAACCAAAGAAATACAAAATGTCATAAAGGAAAAGAACCAGCCATTATTGGAATAAGCTCAAAGTAAAACCTACAAAGAATTTTGAATTTTCTATTAACACCCTTAAATTTGCCAATCAAAGAAATACAAAATAACATAAAGAAAAAAGAATCCAACCATTGCCGGAATATGTTCTTTTTAAGTTAGTATATCCAAGAGAAAAGTGAAAATTTGACCTTTTTTAGGTGTTTCGGTGTACTGATCAAATCATACGGGGGCATTTAGAAACTCTATTATAAAAAATAAAATAAAAAAGGTGAAATGATATTTGGTTCATGTGTTATATGCCTCGATCTCTATTTTGATAACTATCTTTTTGTTTTTTATTTTTTGTTATTGTCAAAGTTAGGAAGGGGAATGAGGTTTTCTCAGACACACTGTCAAGGTGCCATGGGGCTCGAAGCTGAAACCACTAATCTACAAGTCCATGTTCTTTTCCACTACGGTTGTGAACATCTTTTTGTTTTTCCCAATTGGATCATTTTGATCACTCTTCTTTATTCTTAAAGTTTTTATTGAGCTAAAAAAGGACCCAAAATAAAAATCCCTAGAAAGCATTTAAGTAAATTATATATTTATTTTTTTACAAATTTCTAGTGTAACTATAAAATTTCAAGCATGTCAAAAATGCTGCAACAAATAACTTGTGTCCAAATTAATGGAGTAGTCACTCCAAGGAGAGGGGGCCTTTTGTTGAAGTAGTGTGACAAGAACCTAAGAATCACCTTCAATGAATATACTAGTTATGTCTAACTGTTTTGCCCATAAGTCCAATTTTTAAGACATGAAGCTTTTGCTTCCAATATAGAGTTTATTCATAGAGGCAACAATCTTAGGGTCCGTTTGATAACCATTTTTATTTTACATTTTTTTATGGCAGAATATAGAGGAAAATGAGAGTGATAACACTACTAAAAAACAGGGCTAAAAGCACGAATTTATTTGTGCTCTTTGTTTCAAAAAGCACAGATAATCGTGCTCTATGAAGATGATCACGGTGCAACCACTTTATAGTGGTCAGTCTCCTACATAGGAGTTTCCATTGATTATAGAGCACAAATGTGTTGCTTTGTGACAAATATTTAGAGCATGAATCAAGCATTTGTGCTTCTATTTTGACAAGTGATTGAAGTGTTAGATATATTGATTTGACAAGTGTAAGCTAAGCACAATTTCAAAATCATGCCCGAAGGGGATGTATTTATATATAACTATAATTTTTTAAAACTAAGCACATAGTTTCAAAAGAGTGCTCAATGGGTATGTATATATATACAGTCGCCTTCTATTGAGGGATTCCTCAAATTATTAGTTGAGCGACATTCTTTAGGATAACCTACGAATTGTTTTCAAACAATCCAAACCGTTTATTTTTAAAGTCTTCATTCATAGATCATCATTGCAAAAAAATCATAAAAATTGAAAATCATTAAGGCATCTAATTGCTAGCAACAAAATAAATGAACACGATACTTCAAGAAAAGACTAAAATAAAAATAATCTAATTGAGTGGTCAAATAGTTTCGAATTCAAGTGTTTTTTGCAAATATGATCTTTGAGGGATATCTAAAAATTAGACAGTTGGGCTCTACAAGGAATATATATATATATATATTTATTTATAATTTATAAAAACTAAACACAATTTAAAACAGTGCTTAATACAATAATGAAATTACGAAAAGATAGATAACGAAGAGCTAAGCGAACCTGGCTGCAAATTTTTGAGATAGAATTTGAATGTGAGAAAGTTGCAGGCTGAGACAGCTTGGAAGGAAGGTGCTTATGTTTTCTTTTGCACATAGCAAGAGCTTCAGAAAAGACGAGTCTAAAATCTTGGGATTTATCCGATTTTAGCAGCAGAAAAGCTAATGAATGTACAGTGCCCAAAGACATTCCTTTATATAAGTATATCTCTTCATATTGTTAACAAATCCGCTGTAGCAATACTCACAAATGGATAATTGTAATCCGGGTTCGAATCCCGGCAGTGGAATCCCGTTTTATTTCTTATTTTTTGAGTTGGGTTGTTTACTTGGGCCATAATATAAATGGGCTTCAAAGCTCACACTAAAAACTAAAAAGAATTCTGAATTTTTTATTATCTATATATATCTCTATATATATAAAGCAAAAGGTAGAGAATGATGAAACATTCAGAATACCAGAAAATGTCATTGGTTAATTCAAACATTAAAAATTGAAATTATTAATTAAATGAGGATAATATGGTAAATTTATATTTTTTTATATTTAAAAAAAATTAAAAACAAAATCAAATAATAGGTCATATTTTTATGGAACATAGCTACCTCTATTATTTTTTCTTAATTCTAAAATAATAATAATAATAATAATAATAATAATAATAATAATAATAATAAAACCAATTAGCACATGTGTGAGCATGTGTCACTGTTTGCAAGCAGTGACGGATCTAGGATTGTCGCCTGATGGGGTTAAATATCGTGTAAAAGTTTCAAAAATTTTTTTCCCACCATATTTAGAGGTTGCGTTGTGTATAAATTTGAGCTCTGAAAGTTTACATACCAGATGGGTAATTTCCTTTAAAATCTCCTCAGGGAGAAGAGCTATAGTTTAATGGGCTTGAGCTAGGTTGGGCCGAGCTTTAAAGAGGAGAGAGAAAATAACGGGCTAGGCCAGGCCGGATTTTTTTTTTCTTCTAAAAATTCAAAACCCAAGCCTGGCCCATAGACTAGGCTTGAAAAAGCCCATTTGGTTGGGCAGAGTTAAGCCTAATGGGCTGGGCCGAAATGGGCCTACTTTATTTTGAAATTTTTTAATATTGATTTTTTTGTCAATTATTTATTTATTTTCTATGTTTTGGTGTGGGGTGTGTGTGTGTTCTCCCCCCACACCAACACAACACCCCCCCCCCCCCCCCCCCCCCCCCCCCCCCCCCCCCCACCCATAGTTCTCTATTTACATTTATCTATATGTTTATGTCTTTTTTTTTTTTCTTCTCCCACCACCCACCCCCCCCCCCCCCCCCCCCCATAGTTCTCTATTTACATTTATCTATATGTTTTTGTCTTCATTTTTTTTTCTTTGTTCATTTTATAAATTTACAATACATAAATTAAAATTTAGAAAAATACCACAAAAATTCATATGAACTATTGTAATATTCTCTTCACCATAAAGCTCTAAAAGAGGACATGGAAGGAAGAAGTGCCTTTTAAGTTTACATAGTTTGATGTAGCTCCAACATTATTATTGATATGGCTTAAATTCAGTTGTGGCAAGGTGTTTGATGAATCATATATAAATATCAAATGGTGTAGCATATAATCATTAAGTTGTCTATGGCATGGTAGATAAGTTGTGGGAATAGGATGAAAGTGGTAGGAGTTCGAAACCCCTTGTGTGTATCTCCATTTCCTTTCATTTTTAAACTAAATTTATATTTCTATAAAATATATGGGCCCCCGGGCCGGGCCTTAATGGGCTTTGCAAGTGGGGTAGGCCCATGGCCCACAATGCCGAGGCCGAGCTTTTTCCCAATGGGCCGGGCGGGCCCCCATTGGCCCACAGGCCTGTGGGCCAAATGATGAACCCTAAGTTTAAGTATGGAAAAATGGTGTTGCCAAATAGTAACAAAACAGGATGACATTGAGATTTTAATTTAACAATTAATAACAACAATAAGAGGTATACAATTTATTTAATGTATCCTAATAGGGTTTTTTAGTTGTTCTTAGTTAAAACTAATAGTCTTATGTTACCTTACATTTGGATATGGGTTAAAAGTGTTTTATTATTACACTTGAAACCAAAAATAGTCGGCCCATCTTGAAACCGAACCTTAATAAATAAATAAAAGTGTGTTATAGAAAAAGAAAAAAAAACTGCTTAGTATTCAATTAGGGGATATCATCTTCTTCGCTAGTGGTTGGTTTTCCACCTGGTGTTGCTGCTGAAAGATCTTCGAGCAGAAGCATCCAAGAACAAAGGGAGTAACTTACGGTGTGGAGGTGCTATAGGTGTTGTGGCGTGGAGGTGTTGCGGGCCTGCGGTGACAAGACTCGCCCTGAACTCCTTGGAATTCAGGACGAATATTGTAAATTATCCTATATCGTACTGATGTAGGTGTCACGACTCGACTCCCCTAGCAAGATATTGTCCGCTTTGGGCCTCCCCCCTCACGGTTTTGTTCTTGAGCTCAAGCTAATGCTATCTTGCCCAAAAAGCCTCTTGCTAGGAAGAGAAGTGCCCATACATATAAGGCACTTCACCTTTCCCTCCCCGAGCGATGTGGGATTGTTCACCGTTCTTGTTTCCCCAAGACACGGGTCTTACAATCCACCCCCCTTGGGGCTCAGCGTCCTCGCTGGCACACTTCGGTGGCTCAAGCTAATGTTATCTTGCCCAAAAGGCCTCTTGCTAGGAAGAGAAGTGCCCACACATATAATGCACTTCACCTTTCCCTCCCTGAGTGGTG